CAAAGGAAATGCATCTTAATGTGACTTTGTTTTCATCACAATTCCTCCCTATTACACTCCGTCCCTCTAACCTCAACCCCAGGATCATAGCACAGCTGATGTGGGGAATTGCCGTCTCTGCTCTAGAGAGAACTAGATCAGTGGTTCTCACCTTTAGCATATCTGGCATTTTGGACTACAGATTCTTTGTTGTGGAGGACCTGGGTGTGTGTTACTGGTTGTTTAACAGTATCGATACCATCAGAACCCTTTCAGTAATGACAGCTGAAGTGTCTCCACACTTTACTAATGTTCTCCTGGGAGTAAAAACAATCACCCTATTGAGTAGCAGTAGGCTAAACTAACTCAAAAGAAATTGCAAAAATGACTGTCATGTGTACTAATAAGAAAAAAAGGAAGTATTGTAAGAATAAATACTTACAAGTGTTAGGCCAAAGGAATAGATTAAAAGGCTGGACAAGGGCAAATATAGGCATGGAGTCAAGCTATGGTTTTCTATTTTGGCAAGGACAGGTGGAAGAAGTCCTAAAACACAGCTTTAGTGTCTTCTTAAAAACTGGACATAATTATGTGCTAAATGGGGATGAAGGTGCCAGAACAATCTAGAATAAGTACTGGGAACCAGAAGGCTGAGGTATGCAGGAATATTGGAATAGATTTATTATGTGAGAGTCAAGAACCCCCACTAGACGGTATTCCCAGAAGGAAGGATGTTGGAAGAATGTGAAATTATTAAATCCCCATCCCTTACATATGTTGTCCAGAAGGGTAGGCATGCCAGTTGCCCTACTATCAGTCCGTTTGTTCCAGAAGACCTAAAGATGCTTGAACAACTCTTGATGGATAAGAATGCTGTATCAGATTTCTAGTACGTGGCCCCTACTGCTCTGCAAGGCTGTGCCTTCTAAGGAAGAGAACAGTTCTCCATTGGGAAAGGCAGAGATATTGATTATGAGCTGTATATGATCAGTTCCAGCAAGGCATAGGCTCAGAAACAATCTATTGAAGTGTGTCAGTGCATAAGTTCAAGCCTGAGCAGGCCTAGAAGACAAGTAAATCACATAGAAGGGTAACTCAGACTCCACCAGCACTTACTTTTACAGCATGGACATCTCTTCCTCAACTCACTCCTATGGCCATACAAAGTACAGAAGAAAACACTTGGGACTGGCTCACACATGGGTTGGCAATGTCATATTGCTGGGTAAGTAACATTGGATTGCACATAGAATGGACTAGGGAAGAATACTCCATTAAGGAATCTTTCCAGTCAGCAGAGCTTGGAGAAGCACAACTTATTGGCCACTTTATAGAGAGGAAGAAGTACCCTGAAATGGAAATATTTACAAGACCCGAGATTTGCCTTTCTTGTTTATAGTGAGTCTGCCAATATCCACAATCACCAGAATTATAGTATTTTTTTTTTCTGTCAGTCATGGGACTTGAATTCAGGGACTGGGCACTGTCTCTGACTTCTTTTGCTCAAGAATAGTGCTTGTTCTACCACTTTGAGCCACAGCACCACTTCCAGTTTTCTGGTGGTTAGCTGGAGATAAGAGTCTCATGGACTTTCCTACCTGGGCCAACTTTGAACTGCAATTCTTAGATCTCAGCCCCCTGAGTAGCTAGGATTATAAGCATGAGCCTGGCTATAGTAGTTTTTAATGTTCATTATGATAGTTCTAGAATTTGAACTTGGGACATTCATTTGCTAGGAAAGTGCATTACCACTTGGTTTACTCTAATAGCCCCTTTTTGGGTACTGCTGGCATAGACTGTGATCCTCCTTTTTGTGATTCATTGCGATGCTGGGATGACTACTTGGGCCACCGTGTCCAGCAATTGGTTGAGACAGAGTCTTTCAAACTTTTTTGTTCTTGTTTTTTTTTTTAATTTTATTTATTTATTTGCCATCTTTGAACTGCAATCACTGGATTTCTCCAGTGGCTAGAATAGAAGGCTTGAGCCATCATGCCTGGCTGAATTATAGTATTCGTGTGTGTGTGTGTGTGTGTGTGTGTGTGTGTGTGTGTGTGTGTGTGTGTGTGTGTGTGTGTGTGTGTGTGTGTGTGTACCTTGGCCTGAATTCAGGATCTTGAGTTATCACTTGAGTTTTCTTTGCCCACAGCTGGCACTCTACTACTTGGGACTCCCTCCTCCACACACACACACACCAATCTGGTTAACTAGAAATAGAGCCTTCAAGGACTTTTCCTTCCCAGCTGGCTTCAAATAATGAGTCTAAGATCTCACCTTCCTGAGTAGCTAAGATTACAAGTATGAGCCACCAGCACCTAACTAAATTTCAGTGTTCTTGCTTGACAATAACCAAAATTTACAGCTTCTCCTTCCTACCCACCACCCACAAAGTGGCATAAAATACCTAAAATACAAATTTCACAACCATGAAATCCATTGATTTCACTAATCCCTCAATGGCCACTCTCATCACTCAAATGCAGCTAGCCTTATAAACTGGTGAAATGGCCTGTTACAGACTTGGCCTCTGTGCCCTCTTGGGACTGAGGGTGTTTTCCTAGAGGATGTGACAAATACACTGAACCAATTGTGTTCCCAACAATTCAAGGCTTAGGAACCCAGGAATGAGAACAGGATAGGTCCATCTTATCACTCCAAATAATCCACTTTTAAAATTTGTAATTCCTGCCTTTGGAATTTAGAACTTTAGATTGCAACAGTTGTTTCCTAAGGGTTGAGTAGGGGGTGCTTCCCCAAGGATACATAGAGTTTACTGAACTTGAAACTATCACTGTTATTTAGTTACTTTGGGCTTCTCATGGCAAAGAAAGGAGCTGTGATGCTTGTGGGAGTCAACTGTTATTAGCAAAAGGATCTGAGATTGTTGCTACACAATAGCTATACATAGGAATATGTCTGAATCAAAGGAATTCACTGGGGTTTATCCAGGAGGTCTGTTCCCTGTTCAACAGGCAATTAGAGCAGTCTAAATTGAAGGTTCTGGTTACCTAACTGTAGAAAAAATTTAAATCAGCTGATGTTCTGGCCAAGAAAGAAGGAAATTAGAATGAGTGGTGGAGGAAAGAGTTAACACAGGTGTACCTCAGGAGCTAAAGCTTATTTCACTAACTCTCATATTAATTGCTTACAGAGATTGTGGCTGCCCATCACCTTGAAGCAACCTGTGTGAAGGACTGAACTGAATGAAGGGCATGAGAAGGTCAGAGTGATGCATGGAAGGAATGGGTTGCAGCAGACACCTCTGTGCTTCTGCATGCTGTATGTTAACACGTCAAATCCCTTTAAATGACTCTTATTTCAACCACTGCTGCAGCACTGTTCTGAGAAGAGTTTGACAAGATTTGACCAAGTACAACATAAAAACTCTCCCCTCAATTCTTGCCTTAGTATATCTGTGAGTGTGAGTGTAAACCTGGTGTTCATAATTGTGCAATTTGGGAGTGTTGATTAGGTAACCTCCTATCTTTGATGAAAGGAAAACAGTTGCTAACATATAAATGTTTCTTCCAGTCTTGCTTGCAGCAGGCAGTTCTAAGACTGATCTCCCAAAGCTCCTTAGGAAGCCCTAAGGGATTTAGAAAATATTTAAACGTGGGGTGATCAATTCAATAACTCCTTCTTAAATGTCCATTCTTCTTCCATGTTTCATTTTTGCTCCCTATTTCCTTGTTGTTTTTCCTCACTTGGATCAAATCTCCAAATAAATTATTCGAGATACATTACACTGAAAGAAAATCCAGGAGGGGAGAAGAGGAATGAGAATGAAATTTCTGGACGTAAGATTGAGATGCCTGCAATTAATTCATCAGAATGGAATGGAAATGTCAGAGGCACAGGAGCAGAGACACAAATCTGGAGCTCAGGAAAGAAGTCTAGACTTCTGAAATGCAATTAATTTCCCAACTTTAATGAAGACTGTAATGTACAGACAAATAAAGGATAATAGGATGAAAAAAGCACACACAATTGTCTATAAAAAGTATCTAGGGTAAGAATTCTGGGACAAAATAGGAATGATCAAAAGAGTCTGTGAAAGGATAAGATTAGCTCAAGTTCTTAAAAGGAACTCAAAGAAAGTGAATAATTAATATTCCAATTAGCCTTGACTAGTGCCCAATAATCTCAGTAACAAACAATTCCTCTCTATTTTTTGTTGTTTTCCACCAAGTTTTATCTTCAGATAAAGCATGAAAGACACTGTAACAACTTGTTTGTCTCTTTCTCAGCGAATCCTCCATTGGCCGATAAAGTGAGCTCCTCCCTCTTTTGGATTTTCCCAGCCCAGTGCTATCACACACACTGTGAACTCCTTCAGGCTTGGATTAAAGTTTGAATCAACTTTGTGCCTGGAATCAGTGTCTGGCATAAAACAAGTGTCAGGAATGTGGACTAAGTGAAACATTTGTCTAGCAACCAGCACCACTAGCATCATATTTGGCTCTCAAGTTTAAATATATAAGCATCCTCTCGTTAAGATGCAGATTCTGATTCAGGTGCTGTGAAGAGAGGCAGCCTTGTCTAAACAGCCCTCAGGTGATGCTGAACCAGCTAGCCCGTGAAAGTGAAATAGAGTGTGAAGTCAGAATTGCCATGGAGTATATTAGGAATTATCTGGGAAGATATTTAAAAAAAAAAAAAACACTGCCCTCTGATCCCACCCCCAGAGATTCTGATTTAACTTACTTCATGTCTCCAAGCTTTAATCGTAAGGACTTAGCGTCAACAGAGTTTTGCATGTGTAAATAAAAATCGTTTTATGCACTCCTTAAATGAATTGCCATGAATATCGAGGGAAGGCTTCTAGAGAAAGTTATCAGCGAAGGGCTTCCAATCCCCACATTCCAATCGGCCTCAGCTGACTAGGCGCCACGCCCCTCTGGTGTGGCCACGCCCACCTGGGGCGGGGTCACGCTCCCGCGGCGTTTATTGGTCGCTCCTTTTAATCTTCTCCACCTCTACGTCCTTCTCTGGAGGGCCAACTTCCGGCGCGGGGGTTGTCACATGTCCGGATACGGGAAGTGGAGGAGGAACGGCCGCTTCCCGTCCGCTGCCTTCATTGAGGGGCTCACCCTAGTAGTGCCACAGTCCCCTCTGGCCTCGGTCTTGGAGGACCCGCCTCGGTACAGCCGGGCTCGGTCCGGCCTCGCGGTAAGCTTTCGGCCACGGCTGTCCGGCGGCGGGGTGTGGAGCGGCTCGGCGGGCGCCCGGCTCTGAGGTGGCTCCCGGGTCCGCGTCGCGGGGAGCCCCGCGCCCGTGGGGATCCGGCCCACGGCGTCCCTGCCCCCGCTCCCGTGGGGCCCCGCCCCCCGTGGTGGCCAGGCCCACGAGGAGCCCTTCCCTCCCCCCTCCCTTGGTGCAGTCCCCCGGGGTCCCGCCCTCCCGCCCTCCCGCTCTCGAGGTGCGTCCTCCCCAACCTCCGCCGCGGTGGCGGCCAGGCCTCGGTGCCCCCACGGTCCCCGCCCACCTGTCTGCACGAGAGGCCAAGCCCTGTGGGAGGGAGCCTTCTCCCTCCCTCGCGGTCCAGACCTCTGCGAGGACAGCCTCTGTCCTGCAGGGTTCCGCCCATTGGATCCAGATCCCGTCTGTGCCCCATAGCATGCCCGTACACTGTTGGGCCTGGGCTAGGTGAGCACCTGACGGGCCTTCCCCTCTCGGTCTCCTGCCACATGCCGTCCCCGTGCAGTTCTTTTTTTTTTTTTTTTTTTTTTAATGGCAGCGGGTACTCCCGCCATCCGGGCCTAACCCCACACAAGCACACGAACCAGCTATTTGTCACGCAGGGTGAGGGCCTGACTTGAGTGTAAAGAAACACGAACCTTTATAGAGTAAGGCGATGACTGGCCAGCCGCCTCCGGAACGATGGCTTCTTTGCCCTGGAAAATAATTTCAGAGGAACCACTTCTGATTTATGTACTGGAAAATGTCATAAAGACGGGAATTACCCATAGAGCGAACATACCCCGAAAGCATGGGTCACCTGCCTTCACCAACATGTCTGTCATGTTCACCACTAGAACCCAGAGCAGCGCCAGGGACTGAGTAGACATGAATATTTGCTAAATGGACAAATGGTCACTTTAATGCTTTTCATTGCCTAGCTCCTTTATGAGATCTACCTAGTCCTGTCTGTTTTATCACCTAACCATGCACCCAATCATTTTATCCAGAGGGACTATATGGATGGTAAACATTGTCCACCATTACTCGTTCAGTTGATCAGTTTGATGATGATGATGGTTATTACTATATTTGAGTTGTACAAAGAGGTTTCAATTCCAATGTCACCACTTATTTATTTGATAGGGTTTTTTTTTGTTCAGTTCAGATTACTTCAAGAAGTAATTGTTAAGTACTGACAAAGAACTCAAAACTATGGAAGAGCATTACTTTGCTTCGATTCCACACCCTTTTTAAGATGGCTCTGGAGATTCAGAAGCTTATGATCTCAATTAGATAGCAAGTTCTTGATTGTTCAGTAAGTGCTGTAGGAATTTAGATGCAAAACCAATTTGGATTAAGGTCTTTATTGAGTCAATTTCATATAAACTGTGGGATGTAATTAGGATTTGGATAGAGAGGATATATTTCCTGCATAGAATAGTGTGGAAGCAAAAATTTGAAGCCTGAAATCATCAGAGTACTTTGAGTGGGAAGTTTGTATTTGGGAACAGTAAGAAAACGTGAGAGGTTCTTTTGGTTGTTTTTACAGGATTGTAGAAACTTGTAAAGATAATCAGATGCTATCACAAAATTGATAGACACTTTAGTTAATGTGTTGACAATAGAAATAAAGAAAAATTAAATTATATATATAGGAAGAAATTTTAGAATATAACAAGTTTCATGTTGGCAATGGTGGAGGGAACCTATGTATTTGCTACAGATCTGAGAGTTGGAAAGGGGGAATCTTGATAGTACTATACCTGTTATGTTATTGCTATACTGTTAGTTCATTTAGACATTTATTAAATACTAACTATATGCCTTTTGCTAAGGTCTAGAAAAACAAAAGATAAGGTACAATCCTACAAAGAACTACTTTTTTTTTTTGGCTTGAACTTCGGGGCTTAATTTTGCTAGGCTGGTGGCTCTACAACTTAAGCCACACTTTTAGCCATACTTTCACTGGTTATTTTTAGGATGGGTATTGCTTCCTTCCTCAGGTGCACCTGGATAGGAATCCACAGACTTTAGGCTTCCTGTAGTGGCTCAGGTCACAGGGAAAATACCACTTTGTCCATCTTACTTCCCTGAAGATAGTCTCTCAGACACATGTGTGCCGCCTTTTCTCCAAATCTTCAACACTTGTTATTGTGTGTCCTCTTGATTTTAGTCATTCTAGCAAGTATAAAGCAATAAGTATCTCACTGTGGTTTTTATTTACATTTCCTTAGTGATTAATGAGTTTGAACATCTTTCTGTGACTCATTGACTCTTTGTTCATCCAGAAAATGCCTATTCATAGCTTTTATTCAGTTTTTAATTGGATTATTTGTCTTTTTGTTGAGTTGTACGTGTTCTCTATGTAGAAAATGTATAGGAAATTATATTTAAAGATTGAGCATGGGTTTAATTTTTTTCTTAAATCTGTGTGGGAGAAAGAATGGTTAGGATTTCCAAAGATTCTAAAATCCTTTAATTTTATTTCCAAATTTACAGCTTTATATTTTATGATGTGGGTATATTAATATATTAAATCATTTTCCCATGTATCTTAACCAAAAATTACAGTTTATGAATCAGAAAAAGGACAGTAAATGTAAAGTGGAATGACTTTGAGAATGAGCATCTGTATTCTGAATTTTTACAGCCGAGAAAAGATGACAGCAATCAAGCATGCTTTACAGAGAGATATTTTTACACCAAATGATGAACGCCTGCTGAGCATAGTCAATGTGTGCAAAGCAGGAAAAAAGAAAAAGAACTGCTTTTTATGTGCTACAGGTTGGTATTTAGAAGAAAAAATATTTGTTTGGCATTCTTTTATTCCTTAGGAGACATTTCCTTTCTTTCAAAAATATTCCTAGCCAGACCTGGTGAAACACATCTATGTAGCAAGCTCAAGACCAGCTTAGGCTACTATTTGTCTACTATTGAAAAATTTGTTGGATCTACTTAAGTTTTTGTTTTACTGAATAGTGAGTTGTTACAAAATATTTCTATGGCATACAACTAAGATGTAAAGATTGATGATAGAGCAGCACTTGCATATACCACTTGGTTTCATAAAACTGTTCCATTCCCTTGAAGTATACTGTGTGCCTTTTCTTGATCCCCTTCCCCTTCATCTGCTATTACAAAGTATCTGATATCCTAAATTTTAATTAGTATGTCTTTTCTTTTTTTCTTAACTGTATAATGTATTTTATTTTTATTGTCAAGGTGATGTACAGAGAGGTTAGTTACATAAGTAAGGTAGTGAATACATTTCTTGTCAAACTTGTTATCCCCCTCCTTCATTTTTTTCCCCCTTTCCCTCTCCCACCCTTTGCTTTTCTTTATCCCATTACCCTATTCCAAGGAACATGTTGTCTATTTTTGCATGTTGTTGAACTTTACATAAATTGAATTATACTGCATATATACTGCATATATTTTTTTCCATTCAGTTTTATGTTCTTAGTCATGATTTTCATAGAGCTATTAATTCTTTCTTATTGACTGCTATGGTATATTTGACCATATGAATGTCCCATAATTCACATACCAATTCTCCCAAGCATGAACATTAGTCTTTCCTAGGTTTTGCTGTTCTGACAGAATTTCTAAGAACATACTTGTCTTATATCCTATCCATAAGCCAGAATGTTTTTAGGGTAAAACTAAAATGTAGAATTGCTGAGAGTCTAGTCTGATTCAAATGCTTTTTGTAGGATTCTGTGAATTTTACTGTCCAGTTGTTATGAAACAGTACAGCACCAGGCAGTTGGAAGATATATTTGCAATGAGTGAATGAAAAATAAGTGACTGATTTTACATAATACATATATATGTATGTATATATGTACACACACACACACACATATATATATTTTTTTTTTTATGAAAATGTGTGTTTGCTCAACAGTGACAACTGAACGACCAGTTCAAGTGAAGGTGGTCAAAGTCAAGAAATCTGACAAGGGAGATTTTTATAAAAGGCAGATTGCTTGGGCCCTTCGAGATCTTGCTGTGGTAGATGCCAAAGATGCTATCAAAGTATGTTTTTCTTTGTTCTTCAACCTATTTTCAGAAAGTGTCTTTCATTTTATTAACACAATATTAGGTATTTTGAAATGTTGTGAACCTGTTGCTTTGTGACTGCCAGTCTTCCCGTCTAAAATATAATTCTGCTTTCTACTTCATAACCCCAATTACTCAGACTACTAAAAATAAGCATATATATATATATATATATTTGTTTTCATTCTTTTTATTTAAATACTACAATTATATTTGTTCACAAGCTATAAAAATTAGAGCAAAATGACTTTGACTATATACTTAGCTGTATTTAGACTAAGTAATACAAATTCTCTAAATTAGTATGCGTTTTAAAGTGGTATCTCATGTAAGTTCTTTTTTAATTTATATTGTTTTGGTAAAACCTGGTTCAACTCATATATTACATAACCAAACTGAGTCTTGCATAGAGAGTCCTTATGTATCATTGCTTCCTCAGCTGAAGCAGCCCAGCTAGACTTTTTAGGCCATGGCTGGATAGTGAGCTTCAAATAAAGGAAGTGATAGTGGGCTACATACTTATTTTGAAGAATTAAATAATCAGGATAATAAAGATGTAAATAAGGATATCACACTTAAATGGCAAAGATTTTAAATATTATGATAATTACCTTTAAAGACTTGCCTATGCTGGGCTCTGCGACTCACGCCTATAATCCTAGCTACTCAGGAGGCTGACATCTGAGCATCATGGTTCAAAGCCAGCCCAGGCAAGAAAGTCTGTGAGACACTTATCTCCAGATAACCACCAGAAAATTGGAAGTGGAGCTATGGCTCAAGTGGTAGAGCACTAGCCTTGAGCTGAAGAGCTCAGGGACAGCGCCCAGGCCCAGAGTTCAAGCCCCACAAACAACCAAAAGAAAAAAAAGACTTGTCTATAGTTCTGGCAGTTCAAGGCTTTTAGCAGTAATATCCTGTTTTAAAGAAATCAAGCGGAGCTCCTCTGATTCAGTTATCTGTAGCCCTGCCCTATCTTTCTCTGCAGCCTAAAGGCACCTCCAGAACACTAGGGAATTTTTTGTACCACATCCACTCATACTGTTGATGGGACTAATAGCCAGACTTACACTAATGAGTAAGGTGTACCTTAACTCGCTAAGTCCCATATGTTTATTAAAAAGCCACAAAGAAGGCTGAACACTCATGGCTCATGGCTGTAATCCTAGTTATTCTGGAGGCTGATATCTGTGGGTTACAGTTAACCAGCCTGGGAAGAAAAGTTTGTTACACTTTATTGGAGATAAGAATCTCCAGGAATAATAAATAAAACATTTTAACAAAGAATCTCCAATAAACCAGGAAAATGCCCAAAGTAGACGTATGGCTCAAATGGCCTTGAGTTAAAAAGCTAAGGGGCAGGACCTGGGGCTTGAGTTCATTTCCCAGAATCAATACAAACAAATAAAAAGGCACAACGAAGTAAAAACAGTATTTGTGAAACAATCTAGTAAGATTTCTTGGTTTTACTCTTACTTTGGTATAAACCTTTGAAGATCAAAATGCTGAACAATGGTGAAAAGGCAAAACAGTTTTAGGCAAGCTCTGCCTATCTGCACCATTCAGATTTCTTCAAAATGTAGATGCCTTTTCTTCAAGAATTTCAGGTATGCCAGGTGCAGGCTTATACCTGTACTCCTAACTACTCAGAAGACTGAGATCTGAGGATCAAGGTTCAAAGCCAACCCAGGAAAAATGTCTATGACACTGTTATCTCCAATTAACTGCCAAAAAGCTGGAAGTGGAGCTGTGGCTCAAGTGGTAGAGTGCATTTAGCAAAAAAGCTCACCGACTGCTCTCAGACCCTGAATTTAAACCCTAGGACTAGAAAAAAATGGGAGGGAGGGAGGGAGGGAGGGAAGGAAGAAAGGAGGGAGGGAGGGAAAGCATAATTTTAGATAAACTTGGCCCTTGCTTTAATACCTGAGGAGCAACCAGTTTTTAGAAAAATATGCAAATAGTTTGACAGGTAGAAAGAGAAACAGGAAGGAAGAAGGGAGGGAGATGATGTGAAGGAGAACATGTTTGGGAAGAAAGTTAGATTTCTTTTTTTCAAAAACCTTCAGTAGGTAATTTGTTACTATGGGTAGCAATGAAGAGTAGAGAGTTTTTAGTAGATTTCTGTTTAAGAGAAGATACATTAAGGACTTCTTAGAAATGCATTTGATTTTAAAACTATTTTTCTCTTCCCTAGTTTTCACTTCATGACCCTGTTGACTTGCATAATTCACTACCATTGCTGAATGCTTATTTGAATGCTTTCTCAAAGCTGACGCCTATTTGCTGACTTACTTAATGGATTTTTTTTTTTCATTTTATATAACCACCTTGGTGTGTGTATACTATATACGGACATAAAATATGAAATTTTTATACATAGTCTAACATTAGCCATTTAGTATCACACATTGATTTGTGTGAATGTTGCCACTGGAGCACTCAGCCTCTTTTATGGCATTATGGGAAGTATTCCCAGGGAAGAGATCATTTCCCATCAAGTTTCATGTTAGTGCCAATACCCTTAGATAGTTTTATAAGTGATGAGCTGATTACCTTCTTATTGTAAATGTTGATTTTTTTTCAGGTGGGGGAGAGGCATTGACACTTAAATTCTGCTTATTAAGCTCTAAGCAAAACTAATTAATAGAGTGTTATACCATTGCTATTGTACCAAAGGTCAACTCCTGATCCCTAAATATCCCAACTCTTTGAAGTAAAAGTACCAAGTAATTTCTTCTCTGATCTTTAAGGTCTGTTTAAATAATGCTTCAAATGAATGAAATACGTTATTATCTTTCAACTCTACAGAGCATTCAGACCTATTTTTTAGTTCTTTGAAAGTGAAGGAAAATATACATTCATATGTTTTCTGTTTTAACATAATTCTCAAGCAGTTGTGTAGTTAACAAATACTAGCCTAGAGTTGCTCTTGTTTGACTTAAGAGACATGTAGAAAGCATGGTGCAAATCTCTCAGACTTTCAATTTCTTTGTCTCTTGAAATAACCTGAAGCCCCATGACATTTTTATCTTTTGAGACCACTGTAGTAATTATTCTGTCTCTGCTTTTTACTTCATTTGTTTTTGAAAAGTACATTCAGATAAACATTGTCATTTTTCCATATATTATAATTAGAACATATATCCTTATCATTTGTGCATAATACCTTACCAAAGAAAATACAGTATCAAACTTAATAGGCAATTTAAAAAAAAAAATTAGGCTCTCATCAAAATGAAGGTCCAGTGGCTAATGTCTGTAATCTTAGCTTCTCAAGAGGCTGAGACCTGAGGATCATGAATCAAAGCTAGCCCCAGCAAGAAAGTCCATGAGACCCTTATCTCTTAATTAACTACCAAAACATCCTGAGCAAAAAGGCTTGAGTTCAAACCTCAGGACCGGCTCCAAGAAAAGAAATTTTTAAAAAGAAAGAAAGAAAAGAAAACTAGAGACTATACCTTGGTAGTGCAAGGCATTGTCCAAATTCCAGTACTGTCAAATATATAGACTAGAGGCCATTGTTACCCTGTTAATGGCGAAGCTGAGCCACAAAGTCCCAAGTATGCAACTGACATTCCACTCACAGGCATAGGAAGAAAATGACCTCGACTACATGTTTTTCATTCAGCTTCTTTTGAATGACAGTTTTTGCTATAAGCAATGTTCTCTAAAGCCTTCCCTTGAGCTTATTTTTAGTGATACCCTCTTCAAAGAATGGCTCCAATTCTTTCTTTTTTAAAATAAAAATTTACTTACATGTGTATTGGTACAAGGGCTTGAACTCAGGGCTTGGGCACTGTCCCTGAACTTTTTTGCTCAAGGCCTGCTCTCTACCACTTGAGCCACACCTCCACTTCCAGCCTTTTGGTAGTTAACTGGATATAAGTGTCTCATGGACTTTCCTGCCGAGGGTAGCTTTGAACTGCAATCCTCAGATCTCAGCCTTCTGTTTTGTTTTTTTTTTTTTTGGGGGGGGGGGGGTCCGGTCGTGGGGCCTGAACTCTGGGCCTGAGCTCTGTCCCTCAGCTCTTCAGCTCAAGGCTAGCGCTCTACCACTTGAGCCACAGCCCCACTTCCGGCTTTTCTTTTCTGCTTATGTGGTGCTGAGGAATCGAACCCAGGGCCTCAGGCATGCAAGGCAAGCGCTCTACCACTGAGCCACCTTCCCAGCCCCAGATCTCAGCCTTCTGAATAGCTAGGATTACAGGCAAGATCCACAGGCAGCTGTCTTTAATAAAGATTTTGCACTAATAATAATGTGATCAAAACGGTATCTTTGTTTGTATGTAGGAAAATCCTGAATTTGATTTACATTTTGAAAAAGTGTATAAGTGGGTTGCCAGCAGCACTGCTGAAAAGAATGCATTTATCTCCTGTATTTGGAAACTGAATCAGCGATATCTCCGGAAGAAAATCGATTTCGTCAATGTCAGCTCACAACTTTTGGAAGGTAAAATTAAATAGAAAGGTATATGTAAAATCAAGTGTATCTTTTAAATGAATATATAATTTGGCATTACTCAATGTAAGTAGAATATTGAATTACTGTACATCATAAAGGAATTTTGTATTGCAGAAATGATGTTATTCATTATAGAATACTGATAACATTACATAAAATAAACCCACCTATAAACCTACCCCAGAGAAATAAATACTGATCACATTTTGGTGCTTTAGGCTTTTTTTTCTGTGCATATTTAAATAGATTTTGAGAATAGGAAGTTTATGTTGTTTTTTTTTTTTTTTGTTTATGTTGTTTTCTAACATTCTCTTTCATATATCATGAACATTTTTCATATTGTTGTATATTTACCCCAACATTATTTTTAAAGCATCACAGTATCCCATTGTGTGTGTATACATACCATGATTCATTTAACAATATACCATAATTTGTAATTCATTCATATATATATATATATATATATATATATATATATATATATGCCATAATTCATTTAGTTAAATGAAGTTTTCAGTCTTTCTTCTTTTAAACAGTCCTGGGATGACTATCCTTAGAGCAATATTTTTTTTTTTTTTTTGGGGTCCGGTTGTGGGGCCTGAACTCTGGGCCTGGGCACTGTCCCTCAGCTCTTCAGCTCAAGGCTAGCGCTCTACCACTTGAGCCACAGCGCCACTTCCGGCTTTTTTCTTATGTGGTGCTAAGGAATCGAACCCAGGGCCTCATGCGTTGCAAGGCAAGCGCTCTGCCACTGAGCCACCTTCCCAGCCCGTTTTAAATCGCCGAGGTTCTGAGTGCTCTATATAGTTTTTTTTTTTTTTTTTTGTCGGTCGTGGGGCTTGAACTCTGGGCCTGGGCGTTGTCCCTCAGCTCTTCAACTCAAGGCGAGCGCTCTACCACTTGAGCTACAGCGCCACTTCCTCTTAGAGCAATATTTTTATGCAGATTGTGAGTAACTTAAAAACACAACTCTGGAGTCAGACTACCTGGGTTCATATTTTTGGCTTTACCAAAATTATTACCTCAAATAGTTACTTGCTGTGTTTCATCTTCTCTTGTGTCAGAACCAGATATAATAGTGTCTATGTCATAAGCTGTGGACTAAACATCTCAGTATATAATGTGATGAGAAAAGTGCCAGTTGTATAATACTCAGATGTTTGCTATTACCAACATAAAATTCTTAGACATGAACTTAATTGGGAAATTTTTTGATCAGTCTGGGCTTGGGCACTGTCCCTCACCTCTTCAGCTCAAAGTGAGCTCTTTACCACTTGAGCCACAGTGCCACTTCCGGTTTTCTAGTGGTTTATTGGAGATAAGAGTCTCAGGGACTTTCCTGCCTGGGCTGGCTTCTCACGGTGATCCTCAGATCTCAGCCTCCTGAGTAGCTAGAATTACAGGCGTGAGCCACCGGTGCCCAGCTCATTTATAGTGATTTTTTTTCTGCCTTTAATTGTGGATTAATTTGCTTCAAATGCCTTTTTATTTATTTGTTTTTTGCCATTTTCAGAGAAGAACATTCTTGTGAGTCAGTAATTCATTGACAACCTTGCTGTCTTGTTTTCAAGTATTCATGTATTTCTAAGATGTTATTTCTTGCCCAGTGTGTACTTCAAACCATTAGGACAACTAGATAGAAAAATACATATTCTACCTGACCTAGTATTTATTTAGTATTACTAAATAAAAACGAGAAGAATATTGCTGCTTTGAGCGTGATACCTAATTTTTTTAATGTATTTAATTTTTAGGGCATAAAGTACAAATGTAAACAATTTTTCATGTTTATAAACATTAATTGAGATCAGTTTAAAGAATCCTTAGAACATCCTTAAGGATCTCATTTTGAAAATCACTTTCTGTAGATCAATAGCAATTGTTTTGGTTTAATGTTCAGGGAATAGCTTTATTAATGTCTAAAGATTTGTTTTAATAGTCTTTGAAGTCATAGCTATTTACTCCCTTTTAAAAAATTTATTTACTCACTTTTTTAAGAAAAATAAATGTGTCTAGGTTTTGGATGATATTAAAAAAAATAATAATTACTATCTCCTTTGGAGAGCTAAATAATCATCCATGTAAGTTACAATTGTTCTAATTGTTAATGCTGTCTCTGGTAGTAACTGGTAATTTTTTACTTTTTCATTCTTTTACTTGCAGCCAAACCTTTATTAAACAGTCTTTGGAATCCTTCAGTGCTTGCTTCAACTGCTCTCATAATGTTTGTTTGCCTCAATCTTGGTCCTTCCCCACAGTGTTTTGTGACTAATTCTTTGTAAGGGAGTGTCTGGGTAAAGCCTTGGGCCTTGAGTGAAAATAACTGCACTAAATGCATGAGTCACAATTAACCTAAAAATAATCACCAGGAAATGATCTTGTTTCCTACTTCAAGGACTAGTCAGTACTGTTTCTTGAAAGACTAAGAGAAAATAGAAAAATAAATATACTTTTAATCGCTATTAGAAAATGAATTTAAAAAATGAACGCTGGAAACCTGACTTCTTATGAATCTTTCCCCTTTGTAGTTGATTTTGATGTTGTCTCTGGAAACTTACTCTAACATGATGTTCAAATGAAAAACGGGTAGTATTTAAAAGTTTTAAACCTGTGTACTGTTCTACCCAGCTAATATTCTTTGCTTACTTTCCTCTGCTTTTTTCAAACCTTTTTACTCTCCAGAACTGCCTAAAGTTACAGAAGGTGCGTAACACCTTTTCTTCTTATTCTATTCCATGTTTTTATTACTTGCCATTGTTATGTACCATTGGTTGTATATTTTATGAAGTTGCATACAAGGATAAATTTATTACAAAATCTATATAGTAATAAAATTCATGTAGTATGTATTATTGGCTTCAGGAGGGTTGTTTGAAGGGTGATAAAATTCTTCTATAAAGCAGTTATGATCACTTAAAATATATGTTTATTTGGCATGTTTATTATGTAAGAAGCTGCACAGAATGGTTAGGGAAGTCTCTGCCCTCTAGTGGCCAATAATAATCGGACACATTCAACAGTTTACCATTTCCATAACCAAACAAAATAGTCTTAAAGAAGACAGATTTACATAGGACAGATTTACATACTGGAATTTATATGTAATTGCAACCAAAATTTTTAATCCTCTCCATTTTTTTTTTTTCGTATCTCTACCTACCTAATATATTATCCTCCTTCAGAGTAAATCCTTTATTACTTTGAATTAGCCAGCTTTTGTTCTGGGACAAATGAATGTATTTCAAGTTGCATTAAATATAAATATTCATATAAAATAATAAATACCTAAAGCATCTAGTTTTTTTGTTTAAATCATATCCCATTCTAGAAAATTGTTAACTTTGTTTATAGTTGTAAAATATCCTCTTAGGGGTTAAACATTATTTCTTTCATTTTACTTTCATACCTCCTTATAAGATGTGCCCACATGTTAGTATATTATTTCAAAAGAATGAACTGAGACATGTGTCTCAAGAGTTACTTGGTCATTTACTGTGAACACAGCATGAAGACCACTTAATGTTTTTGTAATTTCAAACTTCACATTGTTTTTCTCAGATTAGATTTAATAGGAAAACTTCCTAGCTCATCGCTAGCTATTTTATCTATGCATGTGAAATTCAGTGTTCAAGTTCAATTAATGTTTTAATTTTAAATTCAAGTTTTACACTTTAGTTCATCTTTAATCTCAGAATAAATTATGTATGATAGCTACATTTGTCATTTCAATTAAAAGTTACTTGAAAGAAAAAGGCATAACAGAGATGAAAAGAACAAAATAATGAAAGAAAAAATGTTACCTGGAGAAAGAAGGAAAGCAAATTTCTTCCAAGTGTTCTGAATTCATAGTCATTACTTTGTTAGAGCAACTGCCTCCTCAGGTAGGAAAAAAAGATTAGGTTCATTTCCTTGTGTTTTTGTTTCTGTATTTTAGCTTGTTTGGAGAAATTGTGACTAAAGTCTACTTTATATAAATCAGTGTATTAGATTGCATGCTTTTCATTAACATATGTGGCTCTTTATAAAAATAAAATTTGAGGGTATTCTTTTTAATGTTTTGAATCATACTTCCTATTTTTCAGCCACTAAATGTGACCCCTGCTTATAACTGATCTTACCTAGCTTGTGATTACTATATTATAATCCTTCCCACTTCTTGACTATTTTATTTTGAATTTTACATTCTTTAAGAATCTGTTCCAAGTGGAGAGAATCAGAGTGTGACAGGTGGGGATGAAGAATCAGTGGACGAGTACCAAGAGTTAAATGCCAGAGAAGAGCAGGATATTGAGATAATGATGGAGGGCTGTGAATATGCAATCTCTAATGCAGAAGCCTTTGCAGAAAAGTTGTCCCGGGAGTTGCAGGTGCTAGATGGGGTAAGACTTCCTTGTCATGTGTGAGTATGTGATGTGTAGCAAATTCTCAAGGCTGGTAATGTTCATATTTTGCTGCGTTGGCACTTTGGCCTTCTAGTGTGACAGTTACCCTCTTATGTATAAGCACATTAACAGCTGCCTTCCATCCTTCACCCTTCTTGTTCAAGAGATAAAGCCATTCCCATTAGGCTAGTGAAAGCAGTTGGCTACTTTCTAGCATTTAAAATACCCTTGATATGAAATGACAGAAGAGAAAAGGTAGCCAAGCAGAGACCACCATCTTTGGGGTTGATTTCCCTTAGTCATTAAGACCTATCTGAAAATAGAGTAAAATACAAAGAAAGTACAAATTTGGATGAGAGAAATGAGGTTGACATCAGTAAATGATGTACCAAAAGGGAACAGAGTAAGTGTAGTAAAAGCAGCCAGTTAGAAACAACCTTGGATGTGGCTACTAAAATAATGTAGAGCCTTTTAATTTATATTAATAGTTTCTGAGTCTAAGCTAAATGTACAAGGGCACTTATGTGAGAATAGTTTAAAACAAACCAGTTGGAATTTTTGTTCTGTTTTTAGGAAAAGATGGACTTCTATAACTCCCAAGGAAAGACCTCGTGCGTTTATACATGAAAGGTTCCAAAGTTCTGGAGTCTTACCAGATCCAGACGGAGTGTATGAGTGATGCAAGCACATAGGCTTGTAGGCTTGTATTACTCATTGCAAACATAGCTCAGAAGAGATTTCAAGGTGTTAAGGTAGAAAATGTCCTGGGAAGATCCAAACCCAGTTCTGTTACTAAAGAGATATCAGCATTCCAACAGAGAACGGTATAGAAAACATCATCTGTGAAATCACAGCATCAAACCAGAATGATATTCTTAACTCCTTGTCCAGATTTTTCATCATACCTATGTTACTCTCCTTAACCTGGCTTGGCAATTTATATTCTCTATTCTAATTAATATTGCATATATATTCTAAGTCATCACATTACTTTGCAGCTCAATATGAGATTTGGCAGCTTCTTTTTTCAGAGAATTTAAAATCAATACATAGAACATTTAGAAAACAGTAATCAGAGAATGGCAGTTCATAACTGCTTTTCATGGGGAAAAAAAATCATAGATGAAAATGAAGAATAAAGATGATAGAAGCTGCCTTTTGCATGTGGTCTTCCTAAGCCTATTAGTTCCAGTCACACTTTAGTTATAAATTATTTCTACATATTATCCTTCATCGACTGGTATTGTACTGCTATTCTCTCAGCTAAAAACTATATAAAAGATTATGCTTTTATTTACAATTTCCTATAAATGTTAAGTAACAGACTACCAGGCAGAAGAAGTGTTAGAGATGACATGGTCTCATGCCCCTAAATATACAGAAATGAGACCATGTCCTTTTGATGATATAGCTACTTACACAGTCTGTGGACAAACAGAATACTGAGGTATGGTCCCTAACTTTTATGTAGAAGGAGTATGCCCCCTTGAAACACTGTGCAAAATGTGAAACACAAAGTAATAAACTAAAGTAGATGTAGGTGTGTATCCATTTTTACTACATTTTAAAACAGATTTTGTCAACATATCTTTATGTTTCTTTTACACATTGAAACAATGTGAAATTTTATTTTTGTCTTTGACTATATAGGCCAACATTCAGTCAATCATGGCCTCTGAAAAACAAGTAAACACCTTGATGAAATTGCTGGATGAGGCCCTAAAGGAGGTAGATCAGATTGAATTGAAGCTCAGCAGTTATGAAGAAATGCTCCAAAGTGTGAAAGAACAAATGGATCAGATCTCTGAAAGCAACCATCTAATTCACCTTAGTAACACTAATAATGTGAAACTCTTGTCCGAGATAGAGTTCCTTGTGGTAAGTATTTTTATAAATTACTAATAAAAGCAAAAATAAAAATATTAGGGACAGTATATAAAATTTAACTGTAACATTTTCTAACAGTATATAAAATTTATTTCTAACATTTTCTAATTTCCTTATAAGAACAAATAATTCCAAAGCTCTAGTGATACAATTGAGCAACATCTAGCCTATATATTTCCAAAAGTTCTATGTGAAAGTGGTTTGTATTCCAGAACCACATGGACTTGGCCAAAGGTCATATAAAGGCCCTTCAGGAAGGAGATCTTGCCTCTTCCCGAGGCATTGAAGCCTGCACCAATGCTGCTGATGCTCTTCTGCAGTGCATGAATGTCGCTCTCCGGCCAGGTATGTTCTTTGGAATTGATAATACCTAACCAAGATTTAAGAGTAGGACTGTAACTTGATGTAAAAATCTTTTAAAAGAAACAACATGGGCCAAGTGGATTAGGATTACATTATTAGCTATGCAAACAAGTCTCACTTATTTCCCAACATATACCTATTTCCCAACACATATCTATAAGAATTTTTTCAGTTCCTTTTGATTGACCACCAATGATTCTAGCTAACTTCAAGATGATGTTTTGTTTGTTTAAAGACAAGGTTCTATTACATACCACAGGTTTGCCTGGTATATAAACTTGGTATGTAGCCCAGGCAACCCCAGACTTTCAGTTCTCTCACCTCAGCTTTATGATTGCTGAGTTTGCAGGTATGTATCAACCCAGGTAGCTCTCACCATTACCTTTAGTAAAATCTAGCACAAAGTCAATTCTTTGGTTAGGCCAAAAAGTATGTATGTATAGGCTGAGATTCTAAATCTTAGTGTACATTGTTAAAAACAAATGACCAAACCCCATCCCCAGACTCAGTGAGTCTGGGCTAGGGTCCTAGAATCCACGTTTCCTACAATTGCCATATTATGCTGAAGCAAAGCCACTATTGTAGTCTGGTTTTCCTCCTGCTTACATTTTATAAAGCAGATGAATAAACTCATGGTTAGAATGTTAGAATGTATTCTTTAGGAGTGCAGGTGTAGCTCAGTATTTTAGTGTGCTTACCTAGCATGCACAAAACACTGAGTTTAGGAAGGGAAATGGAGCAGGGAAGAAAATTGTAAACACTGAAAGCAGGGAAGAAAATGTTAAACATTGAAGGCATCTTCTTTTCCCTTATTAAATCTGTCAAGGAATGTTATTCTGCTTTCAGGCCATGACAAACTGCTGGCAGTCAAGCAGCAGCAGCAGCGTTTCAGTGATTTGCGAGAGCATTTTGCTCGGAGACTGGCCAGTCACCTCAACAATGTTTTTGTTCAGCAGGTAATTTTAATTTATTATTAAAACTGGCATGTTTCTGTAACTTATTTGTATATTACATTAACCTTAAATTCCCATAAAAATGTAATGTGACAACTAGGATTGGAATATATTCTTTCAAACATTTATTTGGTTTTAGGATTTTTAAATACATGCATATTTAACCATTGAGGTCCTATGGTCTTCAGCTGCCAAGAGTCTAGTTCCTTTGAGCTGAAACCATCTGATTCTAGAAATAAAATAGCTATAAATATAATTATTGATTGCATATACCATTTAGACATTCATATAAAAGTCTAAACTTGGTATATGTTGACTGTTGGTCTTGTTTTATTTTTCAGTATTTTGATGTGAGAAACAGGACTAGACTGAATATTTTAAATATTTCGTAGTCTCTACTATGTGCCTATTTAATATACTTTCAGGATTATGACTAGCAGCACATTGATAATCTTCACATGTACAATTTGACATTATATTTGGATGGAAAGAGATGTTATAATTAAGAATATGATAATGATATATTAGTAACTTTAAGAGTACCTTAGAAGCTAGATGAAGGTGGCTAATACCTGTAATCCTGGCCACTCAGGCTGAGATCTGAGATCATGTTTCAAAGTCAGCCTGGGCAGGAAGGTCCATGAGACATCACTAATTAACCACCAAAAAGTTGGAAGTAGAGAGCTGTGGCTCAAGTGGTAGAGCACCATCCATGAACAAAAAAGCTAAGGAACAAAAAAGCTAAGCCCAGGCCCTGAGTTCAAGCCCCTGTGCCAGCATTCACACACACACCCACAAGTACCTTAGAGTGATTTTAATAAAAGGCCATTTTAATGGCATTTTAATACCTACTGTAAACAATTATGTTTCTGATGTTTGTGTCTCTTTAATTCCTCTTATTATATTTGGGCTATTGAGTGGGAAACAAAAGAAAAATCTTTATTTATCAATAATGTTGTCTGAAAACATTGGATTCTTGCCTGGTTTTCACTTTGCAATATTCTAAAACAATTGTCTTTATATATTTTATTTCCAATTAGTTTACTCAGGCCCTCCTTCAACTCTATAACAGGTCCTACTTTCTTTCGGTTCCTGTGAGTACATCAGATTTGGCATAAGCTTCTCTGATTTTTTCCCCCCTCTGTAAAGTTTGCTCAACTTAGCAGCAGAATCTTTACAGCTTACTAATTAACTTTCTGATTAAGCTTCACATTAACAGTGAACAGTAACAGTCTTTAAATGTCCTGTTTGGCCAGAAGAGGCATTTTAATCTCATTCTGCTTGCCTTTCTCTTTTTTATTCTTTCCTTTACTCAATTTCTTCTTCATTCCTGTAGTGATTATTTATCAGGCAGTCAAAATGTAAACCAGACATTGACTGAGGATAGTGAGAGTCTGATCCTGCCCTCCTGTAGCTCACAAAGTAGGGTAGGAAGACAGATGTTCTCAGAAAGGGTAGAAGTGAGAAGAGCTGTGAGAGCAGAAGGGAGCACCACCTAACTGAGCATGGGAAGGGGATCACAGCAGACCACCTCCGACCAGAAGCATGACAGAGGGTGAACTAAATCAGCAGTGATACTCACTAGACCCTATGTTGAAAATAAGCTACACAATGTGTGAGAGGGCAGTGGCTGGAGAGAAAAACCTGGGAGAAAATGAGGAAAAAGGTGATACTGCTCAAAAAGAAATGTACTGTAGGGCTGAGAATGTGGCTCAGTGGTAGAGTACTTGCCTAGCATGCATGAGACCCTGGGTTCGATTCCTCAGTACATACACAGAAAAAGGGAAGTGGCACTTTGGTTCAAGTGGTAGAGCAAAAGAAGCTCAGGAACAGTGCCCAGACCCTGATTTCAAGCCCTAGGACTGGAAAAAACAAAACAAAATGAAAAAAACCCTCTCTGTACATCATCCTTACAATAAAAATAGATTTAAAAAAAAAAAAAAAGGAAAGCACATTTTAAAGTCAGTCACAGGGCCAGGCACCAGTGGCTCATGCCTATAGTACTAGCTTCGGATCACAGTTCAAAACCAGCTCATACAGGAAAGTATGAGATTCTTATCTCCAATTAACCACCAGAAAACTGGAAGTGGTGCTGTGGCTCAAGTGGTAGAGCGCTCACCTTGAACTGAAGAGCTCAGAGACAGTGGCCAGACCCAGAGTTCATGCCCCATGACTGACAGTTCAGCGAGAACTAACTCACATTTTTCTTACATGTTTCCTTAGTAACTTCTGTTTCTACATGATCCTTTAGTTTTTAACTGCTGTTAACATTAGGAGATGGTGTCAGAAATGCTAGTTAATAAGCAGCAGTCCTTTTTGTATCCTTAACTCTTCCTTGACATGCAATTGCTGTTTTGCTTCTGTGTCTTCTCAACTAATTGGCTTTAACTGAATGCTTCCAATTTCTAAGTTTAATACGTACTGTTCCACGTGAGTGATGCATGTTTAAAACCCGAATGTTCCAATTTGTGATATGCTGCAGAAGTCTGAAGAGGATTTCCAAGTGTGTGTGTGTGTGTGTGTGTGTGTGTGTGTGTGAAAGAGAGAGAGAGAGAGGGAGAGAGAGAGAGAGATTTTGTGTATCAAATCACCTAAGAAAAGAACATGGAGATTTCTATTCCTTGTTGAGAGACTAGCCAGGAAGATTTGATTAATATGTCATGATCTTATATCTCTTTCTCAGTCACTAAATTTTCATTATATGAAAACTGTCATCTGCTTTCACGATCTCCTTTTTTCAACTTTTTATTGGTATATATTAATTATATGAAGTTAGGGGTTTCATTATGATATTTGTATACATGCAGGTACTGAACTTTGATCTTATCCTCTTTATGTTTAATTCTGTATGTTAGATACTTCTTAACTTCCTTCCTTCCTTTATTTTGTCGGTCATAGGGCTTGAACTCAGGGTCTGGGTGCTGTCCCTGAGCTCTTTTGCTCAAGGCTAGTACTCTACCACTTTAAGCCACAGCTCCACTTTATTTTCTTTTTGAATTGGAGCAATTTTCCCACAAGCTGACTTAAAAATTATAATAAAGGACTCAGTAATGAGGGTGGTTTTAGTGGTTGGAATGTCTTTTTTTTTTTTTTTTTGCCAGTTGTGGGGCCTGAACTCTGGGCCTGGGCACTGTCCCTCAACTCTTCAGTTCAAGGCTAGCACTCTACCATTTGAGCCACAGCACCACTTCTGGCTTTTTCTGCTTATGTGGTGCTGAGGAATCGAACCCAGGGCCTCATGCATACAAAGCAAGCACTCTTAACACTGAGCTATCTTCCCAGCTGGAATGTCTTAACATTTTATGCTTCCACCTTACTTAAAGGTACTTGGCCATGTCACTAGCAAACTCATTCTTCTAGGTTAGGATTTTTTCTTTCTGAAAATTCTATTTAAAAGACTCTCTTCTTAAAATAAAAAGGCATACCAGTAAGTTTTTATTTTGCATGTGCATCACTAACTTCACTAGTTGTGTTTCAGATGACAGAAATCTCTTAAACAAATTTAAGCCTTTCAAGTTCAGAGTAGTTACTAAACTATTGCATATCAACTAGTATTTACACATTTATAATCACTTTATATAACTTTGCCAGGAAATTAATTAACTAGACTCCAAAATTAACAGGTTTGTTCCTTTAATATAGTTGCCAACAAATAACCTTTTGACTGTCTAGGCAAAGCAGATTGGATAAAAATCACTTTAAATTAATCTCACCATCTGCTCTTCTAAGCTTTCACCTCTTCGTTTCTTGAATACCAGCTTCAAGTTCCATGACAAATGTTGATAAGTAGCAGAGGAGACCTAGATAGTTCAAAGAGTCAGGAAGATTATCAAGTGATAGATAGATAGATATATTTATTAGCACTTGCAGTTTTTGAGTCTAGTTTAAAGGCTTTAAGGGCTTTTGTTTGACTTGTTTATAAAAGACAACAGAAATGAGACTATTGACCAAGGATTCAATTCTAGCTTTCTTCCTACGTGACCTGAGCAAATCACATAATCCCTAGAGATTTAGTTTCTTTTTTTTTTTTTTTCAGAAACAGATTATATAATTTGTATTTTTCAAAGCAAGTATCAAGATACATGGTTGGACTAAGGCTGGTTTTTAACTTAATTTACATAAAAGTCTTGTCCAAGTTTAAAAACAGACTTGTGTCACTTATCTAGCAAATTACCTTAACGAATGTTACTAGGGATTACCCTGGAAGCCCCAGGATATAGTCATTTATAGTCCTTCCAAGTCTAAAATTCTTTCTTTTACGTTTTTATCTGTTATTGAATGACTTCCCTATCTAGAGTCTTTGATGCAGTTGGTATAGTTTACTTGCTTAACAAATTATACAATACTATGGTGTTATTCTCAACTCCTTAAAAGGTGGAATGAGTAGATTTAATACAGTGCCATTCCTGCATGACTATGATTATTTTTATAGCAGTGGTGTTCACTTGATACAGGATATCATAAGTAGAAAGGTAAGTACTGCTTTATTTTTCTGGGTTTTATTAGTTTAGCTTGGCCACATCTGACAGTTGTTTAGAATTTTCTAATGTAATAATGTTTCTTTGCACTATTAATCATTTATTTACTTGTTTTACTCTAGGGTCATGATCAGAGTTCAACTCTTGCTCAGCACTCTGTTGAACTCACTTTACCCAATCATCATCCATTTCATAGAGACTTGCTCCGGTATGCCAAGTTGATGGAGTGGCTAAAGAGTACAGATTATGGAAAATATGAGGGACTAACAAAGGTACGGATTTAATGTCACTTATTCCCTGAATAGAGCATACCCATTTAGAATTAAAAGGTTGTTGCCAGGCATTAGTGGCTCATGCCTATTATCCTGGATACTCAGGAAACAGAAATCTGAGGATTACAATTCAAAGCCAGCCAAGGCAGGAATACTAGTAAGCCTCTTATCTCCATTTAATCACCAAAAAGCTGGAAGTGGAGTTGTGCTCAAATAGTTCAGTGTTAGTCTTGAGCACAGTGCCAGAAGTGGAGCTGTCTCACAAGTGGTACAGTGCTAGCCTTGAGCACAAAGCTCAGGGACAGTACCCAGGCCCTGAGTTCAACAGACACACAGCTTGAAATAGGGATGTACATTTTTAGCCAATCAGAAAATAATAGGATTTTTAAGGGCCCATTAATCAGGGATAATGTTTATTGTATTTACATGGGTATTAATTGTAGGAGGTATGTGTCTTCTAGGAATTTGTAGTCTTTCCTGTTTTGTTGTTGTTGTTGTTTGTCTTTTTCAAAAACAGACAAGCCCGGTACCGGTGGCTTATACCTGTAGTCTAGCTACTCAGGAGGCTGAGATCTGAGAATTGAGGTCCAGAGCCAGCCTGGGCATTCTTATCTCCAATAAACAACTCAGAAAACTGGAAGTGGCACTGTGGCTCAAGTGGTAGAGTGCTAGCATTGAGCTGAAGAGCTGAGGGACAGCGCCCAGGCCCAGAGTTCAAGCCCCATGACCAATAAAAAAAAAAAGAAAGAAAGAAAGGAAAGAACAAAGTGGTCTTTTTTTTTTGCCAGTCCTGGGGCTTGAACTCAGGACCTAGGCACTGTTGCTGAGCCTCTCCGTGCTCAAGGCTAGCGCTTTACCACTTGAGCCACAGTGCCACTTTCGGCCTTTTTTGTTTATATGGTACTGAGGAACCGAACCCAGGGCTTCATGCATGCTAGGCAAGCACTCTACCACTAAGCTACATTCCCAGCCCAACAAAGTGTTCTTAAGCAAGCATTGCACTTTTATGCCAGGTATCTGCAGCTTAACAAGTTAGCAAATTCCACCTTTGAAGAGTTTTAGAGAAGGTGGCACTTGAGCACAGATTTATATGTAAATGAGGGGTGAGCAATGAGAGCTCTGATAAAGAGCTCTCTTAGCGCTCTTGCAAGTTTTTTTGTAGCTCACTGGGCTGAGGGTGCCTAAGGGGGCCAACATAGGGGGACACTGTGAAGGGATTTGAGCGAAGCCTGAGAGGGGCTAGGCAGATCGCTGGGAATCCTGGCTTTCCGTGCATGACAATGAGAGTGGGGTGGTAGAATGACATGGTCTGACTTAGCTTTGATAATCGCCATTGCAGCAGGAAACCATTGCAGCAGGAAACCATAGGCACAGTACTTTTCTGACATTTATACAGTAATCTGTAGTTTGGAAGTTGAACGAACATCAGTGTCCTTTTAAAAAAAGAAATAGAGCTAAAAATTGCCACCTATCTAGCTCAAATATACAAATTACAAATAATGATCTAATTAATCCTGGCTGAAAGAACAGCTTCATTAAAATTCTGAGAAACATTTAAAATGTTTGCTTTTTAGGATTTTGTGGCCAAAAATTGCCACCTATCTAATTCAAATACCCAAATGGGTAATTATTCTCTCGATAGGCCTGGCTGAAAAAACAGCTTCATTAAAATTCTGAAAAACATTTTGATTTTTATCTTTACAATTTTGTGGACTTAAGAGTTTAAAAATAAAAATTTCAAGCTGTTCTAGTAGTCTAATCAGAATTATATGGACAATGATAACTCTAAAAGATATTTTGGAGTTGGAGAGAATGATAGGTTTTCTTTTGTGTAGTGAGACTGTTGAAGTTGTTGATTAAAAGCTTTGCCAGGCACCCGGTGGCTCACGCCTGTAATCCTAGCTACTCAGGAGGCTGAGATCTGAGGATCGAGGTTCAAAGCCAGCCCAGGCAGAAAAGTCTGTGAGACTCTTATCTCCAATAAACCATTCAAAAACCGGAAATGGCACTGTGGCTCAAGTGGTAGAGCACTGGCCTTACACTGAAGAGCTGAGGGACAGTGCCCAGGCCCAGAGAGCCCCACAACCGACCAAAAAAAAAAGGAATACTTAGTATTGTATATTCTGTTTATGAGAAGGACTTAGAAGAAGTATGTTACTAAGAAAGAGGCAGATTGTATATTTCTATGAATGTCCTGGGATCAATACATTAAAGTAGTGAGACATTCTTTTATATATCAGTCTTATTTTTTATTTTCTCTTGAGTGCAGCTTTGCCCATTTAGAGTAAAATCTGACTCCTTTACTTCTAAACTGATATAAGAAAGGGTACATAAAACCTGGTGAAAATGCAAAGTACTTTAAAACTGTAGTTTAGACATGCTTTTCAAAAAGAATTTAATCTCCTGAGGTGTTTATATATATCTTATGTAGCTAGATGAAATTATTTTTTCTTTCTTAGAATTAGCTTAGTAAGTGTTATTCAACCCTAGTGTTGTGTTATAATTGTTTTGTTTTCATTCAACAGAATTCTGACTTGGAGATATTTTAAGGAAAAACATTTACAATTCTGGAATTCTTTGCCTTTTGAAGTTTTAGGAAGGGTTTAACACTTTGAATAATTCAACATAACTTATATCTCCCTAAGAGTTTTGTGACAAGTACTTTGTCCCCTAGTGAATATTCAAATAAGTAATCAATAAGCTTTTTGCCTAATTATGTTCTCAGTGAGTACTATTACTCTGTCTTTATACATAATGCAGTATTCATGAGTGTAACTTAAAGTAAAAAGGCAAGACTCCAGCCAACCTAGTAATGATTTTTGCAATTATTCTCTGCTCAGAGAGTATTTTTGAGTGGCAGTATTAATGAGCTTTTTTAATGAAATTAACTTATTTCCCAAGAATATTACTTGTGGTTTGAGCTTTTGCTAGATTATGTATTTGTTTTTTCATAATCTCATTTGGTTGCTTAAGTATTGTCAAAAACAAGTTTATTTAAAAAGGAAGAAGGAAAAAAGAAACGAAAGACGGTAACAAACCAATGATTCTTTACTAAGAAATATTGCCTTAATTCTAATAGCTGTTTGCACTCAATTGGATATATACAGTAACCATTACTTGAAGCTATATTTATCAGTTTAAGATGGCAAAGGAAGGTGAAGTTTAGATTTCATAATAGAAGAAATAGCAAGGGACAATTTTTTATTTTATTTTTTGCTGTAGACATTAAAACTCAAACTCAGTAAGTACATTTAACTTGGAACTTGGAAAAAGACATGGTCTCCTGTGGGATTTTTGTGCATAGTGATAAGCAGATGTGATTTTTTTTAAATGAGTTTGTATGTTTAATAAAACATGTTTTCATTGAAGTTCAACTAGTCGAATCTGTTTTAGGAAAGCAAGTATGAAGACTGAGGTTTATTAAATTCTGACTGAAAATAACCCATTTGGGTCAACATTCCTGTCTTACAAAGGTTTACTGCAACTAAATATTCTCCATTTCCATTATTACTGCTAAGCAACACGTAGTATGAAGGAATATAATAAAGATCCCCATACTCTTTGGCTCTGTAATTTCACCCTTGAGCAGTCATCCCATGAAAACAATTTGTTAGAGATGAAGAATGTATTTAGCTTATCTGTAACTGCAAAACAATGAACCACTTCAGTGCTCTTTGTTGAGGAATTGGCTTACTAAATAATGGCATTCAGCAATAGATATAGAAATATGATTATTTTGGTGATACATGAAAGTAAATGCGTAAGTGTGATTATATTTGACTTGATATTTTTGTAAATTCTTAATATTACCATGCGTATTCAATTTTTGGGTGTTTCTGTGGTACTAGGATTTGAACTCAGTGTCTCACACTTGCTAGACAGGTAGCCATATCTCCAATCATTTTTTGCACTGGTTATTTTGAGATAGGGTCTTGCGTTTAACCTGCACCTTTATCTAGGCACGTTTCATTTTGTGGCTGGGTTGATGGACTAGTGCCACCAGACAGCTTCTTCTATTGAGATGGAGGCTTATGGTTTTCTGCCTAAGGCTAGCCTTGAACTGTGATCCTCCCACTTGCACCCTCCCAAAGTAACTGAAAAGACAAGACATACTCCACGATGCCTAACTATTGGTTGAGATGGAGTCTGTGTGTGTGTGAGAGAGAGAGAGAGAGAGAGCGAGAGAGAGCGAGCATGTACATATGTGTATAAGTGCTGGCTTTGAACTATGATCTTCCTGATTATAGCCTCTTAAGTAGCTAGGATTACAGATATGAGCCACCAGGACAAAGCTTCTGTTCAGTTTTTTGTTGTTGGTGGTGGTGGTTTGGGGGCTTGCACTGTCCCAGGACTTTTTAGTGCTCTACTACTTTGAGAGCAACAAGCACCACTTCTGGTTTTCATGGTTAATTGGAGATACGAGTCTCAAGGACTTTCCTGCCTGGGCTGGCTTTGAACATTAGTCCTCAGATCTCAGCCTCCCAGGTAGCTAGGATTACAGACTTGAGCCATTGCTGTCCATTGTTTTTTTTAAGATAGAAAATTCCCTACTTTTCATATTGTAGGAAATGAAAAATTTGGACCACAAAATAGAAAATTTACACCAAGTGCAAAAAATGTGAAGGGATATTTTATAAATGGAAGTTATTGTTTATGTTTTATTAATAAGTATATATTATGCTCATTTTAAGAATTACATGGATTATTTATCCCGACTATATGAAAGAGAAATCAAAGATTTCTTTGAAGTTGCGAAGATCAAGATGACTGGCACAACTAAAGAAAGCAAGAAGTTTGGTAAGCTTAGGCATTTTGATTCACTGTTTTCCTATTAAGAGTAGATTTATTTATTACAAATAATTCTCACAACAAGGTAGAAGACACAATAGGACTAATGAAAGAGGAAATCAAAAAGTCTGGTTTATCAATATTTCAAAGAAAGAAAGTATATCTGTAAATATATTACTAATTGAAATTCTGCAGTAATTGTATATTGCTTCTATAATTAAAATATATGAATGTATAGGGAAGACAATTAGTAAGAAAATGAAATGCTTTCTTGTAGACAAAGTGTTAGATAAGTGACCCATGTTGAGAATTCAGTTTCCAATTCCCTAAAACACCTTTTTTAACAGTTGGGAGCAAGTCATTGTTCTCTATAGAGAGATGAAAGTAATTCCTGGCTTCTTCTCACTGGCTATTTTGAATTTTAAAATATAAAGTTATTTTTCTCCCCTGTCAATAAGCTATTTAAAAATACTACCAAAATTTCTCCTTCACTGGTACCTTATTTTTATATAGCAATGTGGTTTTCATGCTGCTTCTAAATATTTTTATTGGATAAAAACATTCTTTGAAAGAATAGCCAGTAAAAATTAAGGCAGGCGATGTGCCGAGGCTATGTTCTGCTCTTGCATGTCCCATCTCTGGAGTTCCCTGGGTGGCGTCCAAACCTGGCCTTAAAGGGCTGCATTGTGTATTCCTCAGTGTGTCTATGTAACGCCCCTTTAGAATAATGAGTTGAGCATTTGCTTGTTGAAAGAGCCTATGTCCTAAGCAACTGCAGTAATCAGAAAAGAGGATTGAAAATTGCTAGAACATATTTCCATTCTTTTCTTTACTAGGTAATTATTCTGCAATTCAGTGTTTTTTAAAACTCCAATACCAATGTATTAATTAAACTAGTCCAGACATTTGAAATGGCTTTGAGTTTGTCTGTAAGTATGCTATACTTTGGTAATCTTGGGACAGAAGGCTTTTGGAAACAAATGCTAACTCATCCTAAAGGTTAATTGTTCTTAAACAGCATTGTGGTTATATCCTTGTTAATGTTTCACTGTGGATATGTTATGCCTTTTTTGAACAAAGAGCATATTATTAATTCAGTTACATGTTTAATGTTTTCATTAAGTATATTTGTCATCACTTGTTAGTGAACCATGTTATATTGAGATCTCTCTTCTTTTCAGTTTATGAAAACAAGTCAGATCACATTGTTAAATAAAATAATTAAAATACAACTTAAATGAAGTATAATCATATCTTAGTGTTATCATTGCATTAAAACCTAAAGTTTTTCTTTTCTTGCCCTTGAGATGTTCTTAAATTACCTCGCTTAAAAATATTTTTAATTTAAGATAGAAATGTGACTCAAGTAGTAGCTTTATAAGGCCCTGCACTCAAAACCCAGGACCATATAGATATTAAATTTGCATAAAACACATTTAGAAAGGACTTTTATAATTTTTAAATGTTACAACAAAATTCCTATATTGTATATGTCTATTAAATAACAAAGAAGAGGAAAGTAATTTATAACAACTGAGGTGTAGAAAATTATTTTGCCACCAAATACAAGAGAAACTAGAACTTCAGAGGATAAAATGTAGTTTGGTCCATCTTCAAATATCCGACTTGTTAGTTGCATTGGCAGTATAAATTTCAAGTTAAATATAGATGACTTAAGAAGTTCTGAATCTAGTAGAATGTAAATTTTTCTCAATGTATTTTTCAATGACTCAAATTTTGTATAAATGAATTTTTAATAGAAATTATAATTAAAATAGAAATGTGAAAATTTGGAAAGAGAACATTTCAGTGAGCCACAATTAACTAATTATAAATGAAATTCAACTTTCTTTAAATATTCTGGATCACATGCATACAAGAAACAGTCTGAGAAGAATTGAATGTTTCGTGTGAGATTTGATTTATCTAACAGAAGGCATGTACTACAGTCATGTAGATAAATAACTCTCTTTGAACAATACTTAGTTCATTCAGCTCTTTTAAAGTCATCTTATTCAAAATAAAGTTAAAGATGCCAGGGAAGTATCATGCTTTGTGGCAAGGTCTTTATAGAGATCATTTTCCATTTTGATTAATAGCTTTTTAATAATAGCCTTTTTTTAGGGGGGGTCCAGTCGTGGGCCTGAACTCTGGGCCTGGGCGCTGTCCCTCAGCTCTTCAGCTCAAGGCTAGCACGCTACCACTTGAGCCACAGCGCCACTTCGGCTTTTTTTCTGAGGAATCAAACCCAGGGCCTCAGGCATGCAAGGCAAGCGCTCTACCACTGAGCCACCTTCCCAGCCCCTAATAATAGCCTTTATTCAAAGGCATAAAATATTGTTTTGGTGTGTTTTTCTTTATGTTCTATTTAGAGAGTTGGCAAACAATTTAGTAATTATGATTCTTTTATTTTTAAACAGTTGTACAAAGGAGTTGCCATGGATTATCCATTTTCTTCTTTTCTTGACTCAATAGTGTGACAAATGAGTAGCTTCTACTTTTGCCTGAAGTATGGCAGGGATATATGTCAATGTAGGGGAGAGAAGAAGTTTTAAGATTGGAGATTTTACTCCCATATACATTACATAAGAATTACCCTTCTGTTTAATATTTTGAAACCTTCAAATTGGCAGGTAATAATCATTTAATCATTGTTTCTCCCCTATGTTGATTCTGAAAGTGGTTGAATACAAAGCTAAATTCAGAGCTGGTTGAATGAGTAATTTAGTAAACAACGATTTATCATCTACTATATAACAAGCACTATACTTGATAGTGGAAATGCAGCACTGAACAGAGACCTTGCCCCTACTGTGGATTCTTTAATGGTACTTCAAATTATCATACATATCTATTGTCACTTACTGATAAAAAAAAACCATGCTGTTTTTATGAGTTCCAAATTTTAACCAACAGCCACTCCTAGTAACTACATTCATGGTTGGCTATAAAATATAGGAAATTGTGTTCTAAAGTAGGCTCCACTCTGAAACTGGTGAGCAAAGCAAAATGACATATAAAGCCATAGTCAGCTAATATACTCTAATCCCTGTTGGCCACTTGAACATCCAGGCTTCTTGTTTCCTATTCCCTTGAGCCTCAGGTAGCCACGGGTAGGAAAATAGAGTGACAATAGTGTGACGATTTGGGAGCTTATACTTGGACTTTTGCCTTGAAAGTGTTGAAAAGATAGTGTCAGTTGACACTGTCTGTTTTTAAGGTGTATTTCAGTTATACTGCTTTAGTTTCATTCTGTGATGTCTTTGCCTTTTGCATTAACTTCTACTTTTGAGTTTTGAATGTTTTACAAGATAAGCTCTAAAATTGATCCATAAGTATTTAAAGTTTTAGAATAAACTAGGTAGCTAATGACCTAAGAGAGTTCTGATTCCCCTGTTATCTGTTCTTCAACTTTACCTTCCATACAAACATCTTCTATTGTTAGCTCTGTGATATACACCTTTCTAGGTATTCAGCAAGTTACTAAATAATCCAGCTTGGTATTTGGTTTGCATTTAAAAATTGTCTTAAAATCCTACTTAGATAATTTTTATTATATATAGTATAAAATTATTAAGCACACTAGAAATTCTTTTCAGTTTTAAGAGATTATAGAATTGTTTATACCTAAATCTACCAACTTATTTTAATAAGTTTCCACTTTATTAAATTATTGAGCTACATTTTCTCAAGAAACAGAAGCTTGCAAAATCATTCTATTTAATTTAAGTATGCCAGCTTCCAAAAAAAAGAAATTACTTAAAAGTATGTGTTTAGGGGGTTACAGATACATTTTTCCCTGAATATTTGAGTAAAAAAAGTTCATTAAAAGACAACCAAAATTTTTTCTCATAATCTTTCAAAACAGTAGCTGACCAACTAAATATGTGTTTACGCCTCTTGTTACTTGATGCTCATGGTTCTTTGCATGTGTCTTTTAAACTAGAGCTTTAACTTCCTCTTGTGCATGGTTTGTGCGAATTGCAGTTTATTAACTTGTCTTTGTCTTTGATGCTTGCAACCTAATCCATCACAGCTACACTGCCTCGAAAAGAAAGTGCTGTCAAACAGGAAACAGAGAGTGAGTATGCTTAGTGTACCAGTAGGTATTCTCAATGCATGTTTGTTTAGTGTGTAGCAATTAGTTATTTGCCTTGAAAACATTAATTCCAGGAATATCAATTGCACTGAATTGCCAGGTGTTGGAGAGAGAAAGCCAGCATGATGGTAGTGGTCTGGCTACATTGAAAAAATAAGTAATGTAGCTAAAATGAAACATTGAGTAGAACTTTGTGTCTAAAATTTATGAAAAGCCTTAACCATTATGTTTCTCTTTCCAGGCTATGTATATAAATATTCTTATAGGTATGGTTGTATTTTACATAAGGAAGCCCAAGTTTGTCTTGACTTGTCCCTTCATAGCAAGTAGCACAGTTTGACCGAGAAATATTCAAGAATAATATTTTTAAATACTTTCATTGTTTATATTTAATTCTGAATCAAAATACTCTCTTCTAAAAAATTAAATCTTTTAATTCTTTGATATATGTGTGCTATCGTCCAGCCATATGTTCTTATTTTGCTTTATGGCTATGATGGATACCTAAATTCTACCTAAAAGTAAATGGATCTTAGTGTGGCTAGTAAGAGATGTATTTACATTTTAGTTGTAATTTAAATGTAACAAGTTTTCAGGATTTTCTTTTCCTCTTAGTTTTTAAAGAACTGCAGTTAATCAGTTTACTTGCTTAGAAAAGCAGAATTTCCAGTTTCAGGAGCATATTAAGTTGAATCATATGTGATTGACTATTTTTTTAGGATAGAATGATAAGAGTTAACCTAATATATTGACCAAAGGTGGAAATTAATAATTTTGGAATTGGGCAGTTTTCTTCAGAAATATTAAATAGTCATGCTAGTGTGCTAGCTAAAATAGTACTCAGTTTTATCCATATTTCTGTCTTTTGAATGGGGGAAAAAACCCTCATCTACTTTAGTCTAGAGATAGCACCAGACAAGTTTGTTTTTAGAATGGGACTAGGATGAGTCATGGCAGAGGATAAACTATGTGATCTTTAAGATCCTTTCAGTCCCATTCAAGAATCTGTATGGTCTTGCTTCTTTTTACAGTATACTCTGGAATAGTACTTGAATCTTAATGAAAGATTATGACACAGTGCAACCTGTACTATGTGATGGACTTGTCCATCAACTAACATTCTGACGAACCAAGAAGATAGCCCTGATTGATACTTCATTCATTGATCTTACATTCAAAAAGATCCCAACTTTCAAAGACTTATTATTTCTTAGGTCTCCATGGAAGTTCTGGGAAACTCACTGGATCTACATCTAGTCTAAATAAACTCAGTGTTCAGAGTTCAGGGAATCGCAGATCCCAGTCATCTTCCCTGTTGGATATGGGAAATATGTCAACCTCTGATCTTGATGTTGCTGACAGAACAAAATTTGATAAGGTAAAATAATGAGTAGTTCTTGAACATTAACATTAGTTTTCTTTTCAGTGGCTGTTGGTGCTTACTTTAAGAGTGTTAAACTCTAAACTTTAGGCTGTTGTTTCCTCTTTAAAACATTAAAAATATGCCAGGCGCCGGTGGCTCATACCTGTAATCCTAGCTACTAAGGAGGCTGAGATCTGAGGATCAAGGTGAGAAGTCAGCCCAGGCAGGAAAGTCGGTGAGACTCTTTTTTTTTTTTTTTTTTTGTCGGTCGTTGGGCTTGAACTCTGGGCCTGGGCGCTGTCCCTCAGCTCTTCAGCTCAAGGCGAGCGCTCTACCACTTGAGCTACAGCGCCACTTCCGGTTTTGTGGTGGTTTATTGGAGATAGGAGTCTCACGGTCTCTCCTGTCCGGGCTGGCTTTGAACCGCGATCCTCAGATCTCAGCCTCCTGAGTAGCTAGGATTACAGGCGTGAGCCACCAGCGCCCGGCTCGGTGAGACTCTTATCTCCAATTAACCACCAGAAAACCGGAAGTGGCACTGTGGCTCAAGTGGTAGAGCACTCTCCTTGAGCTGAAGAGTTCAGGGACAGCACCCAGGCCCAGAATTCAAGCCCCACGACAGACCAAAAAACAAAAAGGCAAAAAACATTAAAAATAGTCAAATGGCAACTAATGTGTGAATTACCAATTAATTAATTAAAGTTTTATTAGAGTTTATGTCTTACAAATTATAAAGTGCTTGTATTACTTCTAAATTGTTTGAATAACTTCAAAATAAAGAAGAATAACAGGGCTGGGAAGGTAGCTTAGTAGTAGAGAGCTTGCTTAGCATACATTAACTCCAGGGTTCGATTCCTCAGTACCAAATAAACAGAAAAAGCTGAAATTGGCACTATGGCTCAAGTGGTAGAGTGCCAGCCTTGAGCAAATGAAGCTCAGGCATAGTGCCCAGGCCCTAATTTCAAGTCCCAGGACTGGCAAAAAAAAAAAAAGGCCGGGGGGCTGGGAAGGTGGCTCAGTGGTAGAGCGCTTGCCTTGCATGCCTGAGGCCCTGGGTTCAATTCCCCAGCACCACATAAGCAAAAAGAAAAAAAGCTGGAAGTGGCGCTGTGGCTCAAGTGGTAGAGCGCTAGCCTTGAGCTGAAGAGCTGAGGGACAGCGCCCAGGCCCAGAGTTCAGGCCCCAGGACCAGACCCAAAAAAAAAGAATAGCAGCCTAACTGTTGGCTGCACAGCCTCAAATAAGTTGTGAGTATTCATTACGGAATATTGTCTGGTCTTTGGTAGTATAACATTATCCTGCCAATCTTGAACCAGGCACTGGTGGCTTACGCCTGTAATCCTAGCTACTCACAGGAGGCTGAGATATGAGGATCATGGTTCAAAGACAGCTTGTGGAAGAAAGTCCATAAGACTCCTATCTCCAATTAACCTCCAAAAAGCCAAAAAATGGAGCCTCGGCACAAGTAATAGAGCACTACTCTTGAACAATAAAGCTCAGGGACAGCACCTAAACCCTGACTTCAAGCCCCAGGACCAGCACACACACATACACACAATCTTGAGTTTTTCTTTGGGATTCTGTTGGGATTACAAACTCATAGATACAGATTATTGATATTACAGCTCTATGGTTCCTACAACATGTGGAGTACTATTTTAATCATTTGGTGCAGTTCTTTAATTATAGAATCATTTTGGTTTTCTTTAGATCTTTGAACAGGTACTGAGTGAACTGGAGCCCCTGTGTCTAGCAGAACAGGACTTCATAAGTAAATTTTTCAAACTGCAGCAACATCCAAGTATGCCTGGAACAATGGTATGACTGTCATTTCTTTTGCCTCCTAGTTATGCTCTGTAACCTAATTAATATGTGATTACAATTTCAATATGTAAACAGAAAAAGAAAGCATTTGTGATGAAAAATTTTTAATTTTTTTGGTCATACTGCAAGTAAGGTCTTAGATCTGAGTCTGAATCTGTTTTATGACTTTGTAACTACTTAAGAGACTTTAAAACTATTATTTGATCTTCAGCTTTCTTCTTGGATAAAACAATAATGCTTTCATAATAAAGCATGCTGTTCAGGTGACAATAATGTAAGAGAATGAAATAAAAGATTTTTTTTTGTAAAATACTTTGGAAAACTTAAAACCACAATATAATACAATAGAGTGATTTTTTTAAATTATCTCAAAAGATTATATCTCAGATAACTTTTATATATATATAAAGAAGTTATATATATATATATAAAGTTTATATATATATATGTGTGTATATATATATATATATATATATATATATAAAGAAGTTATAAAATGAGTGAGATGGTTGAGAGTTCATTGTTGATTACCTAGGCGATAAATTTGCTTACTTGCTGACTTATGTAAGAATTTTTGACAGCTTTTTTTTTTTTTTTAATTTGGTGCGGGCCTCTGGGCTTGAACTCAGGAGCTGGGTACTGCACCTGAGCTTTTTTGTTCAAGGCTAGTACTCTACCACTTGAGCCACACATTTTGTGGCCCCTCCTCATACCTCATATGTACACACGTAAACACAAGTTCTAACCCCATGATAATTCTCAGATGAAATCTAAGAACAATTTCTTGAATATTCTTAAAGAGCATTCTAAGTTACATAGTTTTATTGGTAGTACTGCTATTTAAAAAAACTTTTTTTATAATATATTTTCTCCTGGGCATTTTAAGACTGAGCAGGCTTTTGCTATATAAATTAGTCAAGTTGTTGATCTTTTATTATATAAAGCACTTGAATAATTTTTTGCAGACTGAAGCAGAGGACATGGATGGAGGAACAGTATCACGACAATCTAATTCTGGCACATCTCTGTCTGCTTCATCTGAGTATGTACTATTAACCTCGGAAATAAACTTCAAGCTGAAGAGTCTAGATGATTTTCAGTAACCTGAGAGCACCCAGTATGGGCATGTATGCCTATTGTCTTACTAAGAACATTCTACTGGTCCTGTTGTATGGCTCTTCAAGTCTTCAGTAATACAGATGATCCAGTCAGTTCTGGTGTTGGCTGGCAAGAAGTAGCCTTTGAATTATACTATATTTTTTAGAAATCAATAAAGCACATTTCAGGATCAGCTTTACAAATGACATAAAGCTAATTTGAGTAGTGAAATTTAACTTCAATAAAATATTTTATATTGAAAACTGCTATAGAATAACAATTAGTTCATCATAGTTTGACATTTTAATTGAAATATTAAATTTTAATCAGATAGTGGATTAAAGGTGCCTTCATCTGAATTCTGACTTTCTATATTTTATATGTTTCCTGAACAGGAAAGATATGATTCGCCAAATGATGACTAAAATATTTCGTTGCATTGAACCAGAACTGAACAACCTAATTGCTTTAGGAGACAAGATTGATAGCTTTAATTCCCTTTACATGCTAGTCAAAATGAGTCATCATGTGTGGACTGCACAAAATGTGGACCCTGCTTCTTTTCTAAGTACTACATTGGGAAATGTTCTGGTGACTGTCAAAAGGAACTTTGACAAATGCATTGTAAGTTATTTTTTTAAAAAGTAATAATAACTTAAGAATTATAAGCCAGGTGCTGGTGTTCTGAGGATCCCAGTTCTAAGCCATTTAAGCCAGAAAATCTGTCCATTGGGCTCTTATCTCCAATTAACCACAAAAAGCTGGAAGTGGAGCTATAGCTCAAGTTGTAGAGTACCAGCCTTGAGAAAATGCTAAGGGGCAGTGCCCAGGCCCTAATGTTTAGACTGATAAGAATTGAGAATGGCCAGTGTTCTCAAACTTACCCACATGGCCACCAACCAAGATCCCATAAGCTCTGCTATCTGCTCAAAATGGGTATTCATTCACCTTGTCCTTGTCTTTCATAAATGATATACATAAGCATCATTTGTAGTTATTATAGACTTGAAGTTCATAATCCTTGATTATATCTTGTTTTTTAAAAAGTTTGAGGGCTGGAATGTGGCCTAGCCTGCATGAAGCCCTGGGTTCGATTCCTCAGTACCAAATACATAGAAAAAGCCAGAAGTGGTGCTGTGGCTCAAATGGTAGAGTGTTAGCCTTAAGCAAAAGAAGCTCAGGGACAGTGCCAGGCCCTGAGTTCAAGCCCCAGGACTGGCAAAAAAAAAAAAAAAGTTTGATTTCTTTTTCCCTTGATTTTATTTTCTTAAGTAAACCAGTAGAAAAATGTTTGAGTTTCTATTTGGTTTGGTTTTTAATTAATAGGATTTATCTTTCTTAGTTACCCTGTTTTGGTTCATTTTCAATAGTTCAAATTGTAAGGAAGCATCAGAAATGTTCCCGGTATGCATATCCTGCTTCCATGATGCATTCATGTATTTTCTAAATTACTTGGCTGGTTCTCCCATGTTTTCTGCCTAACTTTAGAGTAACCAAATAAGGCAAATGGAAGAAGTTAAGATCTCAAAGAAGAGTAAAGTAGGAATTCTACCATTTGTTGCTGAATTTGAGGAATTTGCTGGACTCGCAGAATCAATCTTTAAAAATGCTGAGCGTCGTGGAGATCTGGATAAAGCATATACCAAACTTATCAGAGGAGTATTTGTTAATGGTAAGCTTCTGTTACATTCTAAAGAATTTTTGTAAACCAAGTGTGATGCACACCTGTATTCTCAGAATTTGGGAAACTGAGAGGCCGATGGCTTTTTATAACTCAGAACTGGAGAGCTGATATATGTTCCTTATTTTCCACATAGTCTTTTTGGGGTTTTCAGATATCAAAGATTTTTTTAGATTTGAAAAATAAGAGGTACATACAACCTATTCATATTTATCAGCGACCACTCATATTTTAGTCTTCATGCAAGAAATGAACTCCCAGGTTGCATGTTAACAGTGGTCTTCTGAAGACAATGGGCAGTGATCTGCATGGTCCTTACAAGTAGATTTACTTCTCAGGCCTCAGTTTTCTTATCTGTCTCAGGATAGACACAAGTTGTATAATACTGTAATTCAAAGAGGAAATAAGCCTAGAGAAATGATGGACAGATTTCATGATTTTTTTTTCTTTCTTTTTCCTTTTAAAACTTAAAGAAAAGCTGATGGCATACACCTGTACACCTAGGCTACCCAGGAGGATGAGATCTCAGGATTGTGGTTTGAAATTAGCCTGGATAGGAAAGTCTATCTCCAATTAACCATAAGAAAACTCACAGGGAGCTGTGGCTCAACTGGTAAAGCACTATCCTTGAGCACAAAAGCTTAGAGACAGCCCAGGCTCTTGAGTTCAAGCTCCAGGACCAGCACCAAAAAAATAAAGTAGCTTTACTTTATCTGATTTTAATTTGCATGTTTTCAGACTTTTCAATGTCTCTTTCTCATAAATGTGTGTGTGTGTGTGTGTGTGTGTGTGTGTGTGTATTGTATGTATGTGTTTCTTTAAACTAAAATTTTTGTCATACCTTGTAGATACAGTTTTGGAAGCTTCTGGACTCTGTAATCCAATTGACTTTTCTTATTAGGTAATATAACCAGAAGCATTTAATGACAACATAGTATTCCATGTATCATTAAAATAGTATGTATTAGTTTCCAGTTAATATGTTTCAGTATACTTAGTTAATATATCATAATATATAATTTATCTTAGTATAATACAACTTAGTACACTAATTACCTTAGAATAAATTACTGGAAATGAAATTACTAGATCAAAAAAAAATTCCTTGTATTTCATAGTTTTTGCCAAATTCCAGTACAGAAGGCTTCTAGTGGTTTAATGCTCTGAGCAGCTGGTGAAGTTTTCCTTGCTATGTGTGCTGTACCAATGCTATATATTACTACTCTGTGCCAGTCTTTATTCCTTGCCAGGCTATAGATTATCTCATTATTTTATTTGCACTTTTTAACCCCGTCTTTGGTGTCTTGCTATGTAGTTTGCACATTTTAAGTCACATCTTTTCATCTTTCTCTTCTCACTTGAGACCATTCTTTGTAAGTCACAGTGTCGCATTGCTGTTTGAAATCAGCTGTGTTTTCTTTAGTGTTCATGGTTTTTGGTTTTTTTTTTACATTTTAAGTACTTGAAAAATTTAGATTTTGTGGAAAGATGTAAAATGGGAATCTAAATGTAATGTATTCAGAAGAATCAGTGGTTATCATAACATTATTTTCTTGCTGATTTGAGAAGGCAGAGTGTGTGTGGGTGGGTGTGTATAGTACTAGGTCAGGATGAATTCCTTTTTTGTCGGTCATGGTGCTTGAACTCTGGGCCTGGGTGCTGTCCTTCAGCTCTTCAGCTCAAGGCTAAAACTCTACTACTTGAGCCACAGCACCACTTCCAGTTTTCTGGTGGTTTATTGGAGATAAGAGTCTCACAGACTTTCCTGCCTGGGCTGGCTTTGAATTGCAGTCCTGAGATCTCAGCCTTCTAAGTAGCTAGTATTACAGCCCTGAGCCACCAGTGCCTGGCTAGGATGAATTCTTAATAAGGTGGCTATGAAGACCTTGCAATATGGTGTTTTATTCAGAAATGTGCTTAATTCTTAACCTTACAAATGAAAAAAAAAAAACTAATCACATGGTTAAAACTGTAGTCATACTCACACAGAGATGTTCTTATTCTCTGCTTTGATTTTAGTCGAGAAAGTTGCAAATGAAAGCCAGAAGACCCCCAGGGATGTGGTTATGATGGAAAACTTTCACCATATTTTTGCAACTCTTTCTCGTTTGAAAATCTCCTGTCTAGAAGCTGAAAAAAAGGAAGCTAAGCAAAAATACACTGATCACCTTCAGTCTTATGTCATTTACTCTTTAGGACAACCTCTTGAAAAACTAAATGTAAGTATATTTTCATTATATATAGTTCCTAGCTTTTACCCTGCATGCACTGTTTGCCCTAGCTTTTACCCTGCATGCACTGTTTGCTTGTGAGTAGCATACACATTTATCTTAAATTTGCTGATGTACTTACACAGGGGGTTGAGGCAGGAGGAACTCAGGTCTTATAGCTTCCAGTTGCCAGATACTGGCAGATAGTCTATGTAATTTATTTCTTTTACTTACTTTATTTTATTTTTGTTGCTGCTACTGCCGTTGTTGTTATTGTTGTTGTACTGCTACTTGGGCTTTGGCTCGTGGCCTAGGTGCTGTCCCTTAGTTTTTTGCTCAAGGCTGGAGCTCTACCACTTCAGTCACAGTTCCACTTAGGTTTTTTTTTTCTTGTGGTTAATTAGTGATAAGAGTCTGGTGGATTTTCCAGTCTGACTGGCTTTGAACTTCATTTTTCAGTCTCCTGAGTAGCTAGGATGACAGGGATGAGCACTGGTGCCTGGCCTCTTTTAATTCTTACAAATACTGATATAGCTGGTCACAGTGGTTCACTCCTGTAATCCTAGCTGTTCAGGAGGATTAGCGTGTACTAGACCTGTTTTTAATTCTCAGCACTAGAAAATTACAAAACAAAAAATAAATAAAAATGTAACATGAAATTGCAATTTCATTTATGTATGCACATTAAAAGATTAGAATTAACTGATCATCATTGATAACATAATAGGTGCTTACTACTTTATACTTTTATACATTATTTGGTTTTTATCCAGAGAATATATGCTATTCTGTAATCCTAGTTTTTAAATAATTTAAGTGACAAGGTAGTTTTTAGCTGTTACTTCTTTTTATGTCCTTGAAGCATTTCTTTGAAGGCGTTGAAGCTCGAGTAGCACAGGGAATAAGAGAGGAGGAGGTGAGCTACCAGCTTGCATTTAACAAACAAGAACTTCGTAAAGTCATTAAAGAATATCCTGGGAAGGAGGTGAAGAAAGGTCTGGATAACCTGTACAAGAAGGTTGACAAGCATTTGTGTGAAGAAGAGAACTTACTTCAGGTGAGCCTTGATCTTTTCACCTTCCTATCTGGAAGATATAACACTTTTCTTCAAAATAGTCCTCTACAAATGTTACCCACTTTTTCATTTTTGTGTAGAGGAAATCAACAAAGACCAAATTAAAGAGTTGTGAGGCCAGGCACTGGCAGCTCACGTCTGTAATCCTAGCTACTCAGGAAGCTGAGATCTGAGGATCATGGTTCGAAGCCAGCCTGGGCAGGAAAGGCTGTGAAACTCTTTATCTCCAATAAATTGCTAAAAAACTGGAAGAGGTGTTGTGGCTCAAGAGGTAGAGTGCTAGCCTTGAGCTGAAGAGCTGAGGGACAGCGCTGAGGCCCAGAGGTCAAGCCCTACCAAAAAAAGGGAAAAAAAGAGTTGTGAATAAGTAAGCAATAATATTTTCATCATTGTTGGCATTCTCCTGCTTATTTTATGTGCATTTTATTGAGTGAGGCATTAAGTTGCAGGGTGAAGTGCTTCTGAGTATGGGGACTAGAGTTAGAAGTAGATTCAAATTTAGATCTGCCAAGAGCTGCATGATTTAAGGCAAGGCACTTCACATCTCAGAGTAGAAAGACTGCCTCTCATGGGCTCTGTTGCTACTTGTCATTGCCATTTTATACATAAGAAGGCCAAAGCTTAGAGAGCTGGAGTGATTGGACAAAGATAATGAGACCATAGTTAAACGCTGAATTATACCACTGTTTGTTATAAACTGTGATGAAAAACCCAAAGGTGAATGAGAATAATTCCTATGTCAACATTATAGAAGGCTTCATAAGGGACATGAAACTTGTGTTAACTTCTGAAATTCATAATATTTTAATAAGCAAAGGCAAGCTAGAGGCTTCCAGGCAGAAGAAATAACATTAGCTAAAAACTGAAAAGCAAAAGATATAATACTGTTTAGGGAATATTGGTTAGTCTTAAATTGACAAGAACTTAGGATTTGTGCAGAGAAGAAACAAGAGAAAGTCCTAAAGAGGGCATTTGTTTACCTGCCAAGAAAGGATTATAGGAGTGCTCACTATCACCCTGTCTTCATGAATTTAAATACATGCATACAACACTTTGCACTGTGCTGATAGATTCTGCTTCAATAAATGTGAGCTGTCATGTCAATGTGTGTACCAAATTTGGTCTTCATATTTGTCTATATATTAGTCTGTACTGTTAGGTTATAAAGTATGTGATTCAGGGTGTGAGTCTGGCTCACTTGGTGTCCTCCACAGTATTAAGCAGTGTTTTGCATCATTAATTATAGATGAAGGAAAATTAAAACCAGCTATACTGGAATTGAAGCATTAATTTGGATATCATGTAATAACTGGTTAGTTCCATACATTATGTGTTTGTCTTATCTATTGTTGATATTGGAGTATGTATAAATGTATAGTACTAGCTAAAACATAGTGAATGCTTACACATGTCAAACACTGTCCTAAACAGTTCGCATATATTCACTCATTTAACCCTCATAAGGAAATAGGAGGAGAGGCTGGGCGTCAGTGGCTCATGCCTGTAATCCTAGCTACTCTGGAGGCTGAAATCTGAGGATTGAAATTCAAAGCCATCCTGGGCAGAAACTCTGTGAGATTCTTATCTCTAATAATCTACTCAGAAAACAGAAGTGTTGCTGTGGCTCAAATGGTAGAGAGCTTGCCTTGAGCTGAAGAGCGGCCCAGGCCCAGAATTCAAGCCCCAGGACCGACAAAAAAAAAGAAAATAGGAAGAGAAAGTATTCTTAATAGCTTGGTTTATAGTTGAAGAACTTGGGATGAATGGCTAAGCAGTGATGTATTAAATAGACCTTCAGAATTAAGTAGAAGGCCTAGAATTATGGCTCTGGTATGCATTTCTTAACTCCCACACTATACTAGATTTTTCGCCTATGTCTTGTCATTAATTGAACATACTTGATTAAGAATTCTTTCCATTCAGTTCAGTGGCTTTTATTTTCTTTTTAATAATAGGTGGTTTGGCACTCCATGCAAGATGAATTTATACGCCAGTACAAGCACTTTGAAGGTTTGATAGCTCGCTGTTACCCTGGGTCTGGTGTTACAATGGAATTTACTATTCAGGACATTTTGGATTATTGTTCCAGCATTGCTCAGTCACACTAAACATCATGAAAGAAGAAAAGATGAATGAGTAAGCTTTCTCACTGCATACAAAAATCAGGCAACTGCTTTGAGAACATAGACTTTTCTAATTTTTCTCTATTAAAAAATGGCAATTAAATAGGTGGTACTATAATGGAAACATTTAAGTGTAAAAGTACCTACCTGTGTAGCAGCCTTATTTGCCTCATAGGTTGTGTGCTAACTTAAAGCATTTATGTCATTATAAAATGCCGTTAGCACTTTCAAGTGAGGGAACAGGAGATTTCCCTGGATTGCCTCGTGTCTGTTTGAATGTGGTTTTCCAAAGTGTAATGCACTGGGACCTTTGGCATTCACTATTTACCTGTTGCTTGGGAAATCATGGACCTACTAAACTACTGTACAGAATGTTTTATCTAACAGGTGTGCAGAGCAGTTATGAACTTTGATTTTTGAGTATTATGTGACTTACCCTGTAGTGAATCTGAAATAAAAGCATTTTCAAAAAAGTTGGTACTTGATGACATTTTGTAGGTTTTTATGTGCTATTTCCTCCTATACAAAAGCAAATACAGAATCAGTATACAAAATTAATGTGCAGTTTTTTTTTTCCTGTGGGTGTGCCCAACCTGGGCTTTAACTCAGGGTCTGGGCTTTTTTGTTGAGCTTTTGTGCTCAAGCCTAGTGCTCTACCACTTGAGCCATAGCTCCACTTCTAGTTTTTTTGTGGTTAATTGGTGATAAGAGTCTCACGGATTTTCCTGCCCAAGTTAGTTTCAAACTGCAATCGTCAGATCTCAGCCTCCTGAGTAGCTAGGATAACAGGCGTGAGCGCCCAGTACCTAGCTAGCAAATTTGAAAGCACAAAACACTTAAAAGTATAATAAAAAAAAAGGTAATAAGACAAGAAAAAAACAATGACAATAAGAAAATAATAACATCAAAGATACTAAGTATTTATCTAATAAAAGATTTTGTACTCACAAATACTTACATTGAATCCCTAAGCTCCTCCAAAGTAGCTAAGATGTACTTGGCCCCTCTGAGATGCTTCTAAAGGCATCCAGGATTGCACTGATCTGAGCCATCCTTCACAATCTAGTTCTCCCTTTGCCTGTGTTTGGTTTAGGAGTGTGCATCTGTGTGAGTCAGTGAAATGCATAAGAGCTGCCAAGAAATCGTAGAAAAAATGTATCAGCCTGATAAAAGTACAGTTTATACAAGGCCTTTTGCCCTCCTCTTTTCTTTCTTCTTGGGATATAATGATAGTACTAGTTAGAGCTCTGGAAGCTCTGATTAGGAAAAGACTAGGAAAGACTAGGAGACTGGGCTGGCAAAGCAAAAATGTAGGATTTGATTAACACCAAAGTCTGCCCAGCCTAGCCTTCATGTTTATGAGATGACCCAGTGTCTTCATTGCCTAAGCCGCTGTCATTATTCTATGGTCTGCACATAGCTCCTTTTCCTATTTACAGTTTAATCTTCACTCATTCTTCCACTCATCAATTCATTTCTCCAAATAGATGGCACAGTAGAAAAGAGGATGTGCTTTGCAATCGGACAGCCCTAGGTTTGAGACCAGCCTTACCCAATACTAGTCCATACCTCTCTAAGCTTTGTTCCCTCTTCTACAGAAACAGGCTTGCCTACCTTATAACTATCATGAAAACTAAATAAAATAACATGCAAAAATTAACACAGTGCCTGACACTGTTTTCATTCCATGATAACCATCATTATTACATTGCTCTGTACCAAGAGCTTTCTCCTGTTCCAAGGGATGAACAAAAGGAAGGGTGGCTACATTTTCTGAATATTTAGTTTTGCATTTGATGATTAAATACTACCTCAGGATTTCCCCAAGCATAGTTAAATCTTATTACTCACAGCTTATACTTTAGATAATTCATATATCATACCATATGATCACTTTTTTCCTAGAGTATTATAAATGAACAAGCATATTCAATCATTACTAGGCTGGCTCCAGCCACTTGGAATTAAAATCAGAAGGTGGAAATGGAGCGGCAGACATCATTGTGAATTAGAAGAGCAGTACTTTTTTTTTGTTCATGGTTTTGTAGAACTAATATTGCTTCTCAAGAATAGTAATGCCAGGCTCTGGTGGCTCATGCCTGTGATCCTAACTATTCTATAGGAGGCTGAGATCTGAGAATTGCAGTTCAAAGCCAGCCCAGGCAGAAAAGTTCACAAGGCTCTCATCTCTAATTAACCACAAAAAGCAGGAAGTGGAGCTGTGGTTCATGTGGTAGAGCACTATCCTTGAGCACAAAAACTCAGGGTCAGTGCCAGGTCCTAAGTTCAGTCCCCAGGATTAGCACACATACACACAAAGAATATAACAAGTTATTGTTTTGCATTAAGTGCACCAGCAAGGTTAGTTTTATAATCATCTGCCATTAGCATTTTAGAGTTAAGTAGAGCATAGAAGATATACCAGAAAAAGACTAAAAATCTGACTGGGTTAATTGACAAGTGTCTTTGTGAGCATTCTGAAGAGAAAACTGTTAGTTTGCCTGGTTACTTGTGTCCAGTGAGAACAGACAAAAAAAGTATATGGAGAGATATTTAAAAAATGTAGATCCTCAAATGACATGAGTACATTATTAAAAATAGTAAAAATCAAAATAGTAAAGGAAAAGTGCAGTTATTTAAATTTTTAGGGGGGTTATTTTAACTTTGTGTGCTAGAGTATAAGAATATCTTCTCCAAACTTTGTGCTTATTTACTGGAAAACCTTAGGCAAGTGATTAACATTTTAGAAAGCACAATCATTATCTTTTTGGGTTTTATAAATGTTTTAATAGGTCTAGAAAGCTTTGAGAAGTGTGGAAGAAATTCTATGAGAATTTTAACGTATCTGGCATTTGCTATGTTTTAAGAGATTTGGATCCCTGGATGAACCAAAAGTTCTTTCTAGTTTATCACTAGAATTTGCCAAACTGAAACTAAGCCAATATTGATCACTCTACAACTACTTCGAGGTCAGCATTGACCCGTAAATAGTATAGCACTGAGAGGGAAAAAAAGAACTTTCTAAAAAAAATTTAAAGTTATGGAACAAGTTCACATTTCATTCAAAACATCTAATGCTTCTATAAGAAGGCTTGTAGGGAGTGCGTTACTTACCTCGACTCTTAGCTTGTCGGGGACGGTAACCGGGACTCGGGGTGCCTGCTCCTGCTCCTGTCGCCTTTGCCATCAAATCCACAGTCATCATGCGTGAGTGTATCTCCATCCACGTTGGCCAGGCTGGTGTCCAGATTGACGATGCCTTCTGGGAGCTCTACTGCCTGGAACACAGCATCCAGCCTGATGGCCAGATGCCAAGTGACAAGACCATTGGGGTAGATGACTTCTTCAACACCTTCTTCAGTGAGACAGGCACTGGCAAGCATGTGCCCAGGGCAGTGCTTGTAGACCTGGAACCCATAGTCATTGATGAAGTTCGAACTGGCACCTACCGTCAACTTTTCCACCCTGAGCAGCTCATCACAGTCAAGGAAGATGCTGCCAATAACTATGCCCGTGGGCACTACACCATTGGCAAGGAGATCATTGACCTCGTCTTGGACTGGATCAGAAAGCTGGCTGACCAGTGCACAGGTCTTCAGGGCTTCCTGGTCTTCCACAGCTTTGGTGGGGGAACTGGCTCTGGCTTCACTTCCCTGCTGATGGAGCGTCTCTCTGTGGACTATGGCAAGAAGTCCAAGCTGGAGTTCTCCATTTACCCCGCCCCCCAGGTGTCCACAGCTGTAGTTGAGCCCTACAACTCTATCCTCAGCACCCACACCACCCTGGAGCATTCTGATTGTGCCTTCATGGTGGACAATGAGGCCATCTATGACATCTGTCGTAGAAACCTCAATATTGAGCGCCCAACCTACACTAACCTGAACCGCCTTATTAGCCAGATTGTGTCTTCCATCACAGCTTCCCTGAGGTTTGATGGGGCCCTGAATGTTGACCTGACAGAATTCCAGACAGAATTCTGGTGCCCTATCCCCGCATTCACTTCCCCTTAGCCACATATGCCCCTGTCATCTCTGCTGAAAAAGCCTACCATGAACAGCTTTCTGTGGCAGAGATCACCAATGCTTGCTTAGAGCCAGCCAACCAGATGGTGAAATGTGACCCTCGCCATGGTAAATACATGGCCTGCTGCCTGTTGTACCATGGTGATGTGGTTCCCAAAGATGTTAATGCTGCCATCGCCACCATCAAGACCAAGCGTACCATCCAGTTTGTGGATTGGTGTCCCACTGGTTTCAAGGTTGGCATCAATTACCAGCCTCCCACTGTGGTTCCTGGTGGAGACCTGGCCAAGGTGCAGCGCACTGTGTGCATGCTGAGCAACACCACAGCCATTGCTGAGGCCTGGGCTGGCCTGGACCACAAGTTTGACCTGATGTATGCCAAGCGTGCCTTTGTCCACTGGTATGTGGGTGAGGAGATGGAGGAAGGAGAGTTTTCTGAGGCCCATGAGGACATGGCTGCCCTAGAGAAGGATTATGAGGAGGTTGGTGTGGATTCTGTTGAAGGAGAGGGTGAGGAAGAAGGAGAGGAGTACTAATCACTCATTCCTGTGACCCTGTAGCATGTCATGCTCCCAGAACTTCAGCTCCACCATTAGCTGGCAGTCACTAAAATGTTTCTGACTAGATTCTGTTCAACTGTGATCATGTCTGTCTTTTTCCATGTGTGAAAGGTTTTAATCCATTATGTCTCAAAAGTAAAGGCTTTAAGAAATTTTTAAAAAAAGAAGGCTTGTAGGAATGCTGGAGGGGATGCAGAGAAAGAGGAACCCTATTATACTGCTGGTGGGAATGTATACTTATACTTTGGAAAGCAGTCTGGAGGGTCCTCAGAAAGCTAAATATTGACCTCCCTTATGACCCAGTCATACCACTTCTAGGCATCTATCCTAAACAACAGGAACCAATATACAAGGACATATGCACTTCCATGTTCACAATAGCCAGGATATGGAAACAACCCAGATGTCCCACCACAGATGAATGGATCCAAAAATTGTGGTATCTATACACAATGGAATATTATGCAGCCATTAGAAATGACAAAATAATGGCATTTGCAGGGAAATGGATGGAGCTAGAAGAAATCATGTTGAGCGAGATAAGCCAAGAGCAAAGAGACAAACGGTACATGCTCTCCCTGATAAGTGGATGTTAAACCCAAAATGTTAGGTGATACGACAAAATTAACAGGACTTAAGAAACAAAGGACTTCCACTCATCTGGTCAAATCACTACTAAATAACCCCATGCTGCTGATCACATGTATGGTATATATGTGTACCCCGGAGGGGAACCAGGAAGACGACACAGAACTAGAGGGAATCAGGGAAAAACGTATAACAACAGAACCCATCAGCTGCACTGGACATTGACCAAAATGAACTAAGCAAGTCAATGGCAGCGATGGGAAAGAGGGAACAAGTGGGAAAGAGGGAACAGCTGATGCTATGCAAAACAAATGTACATATCACCCAATGTGGAAGAAATAACTGTATTGCAAAGCCCATAGAACTCATAAATGTTACAGACCGTGATAGACAATTTGCTCCAGGAAAGTTAGAATGTGTTTGTGACTTTAACTGAGCATCATTATCCCACAATACTGTGAAATTTGGGAAATTATATAATCACTTAATCACAATAAAAAAAATTGAAAAGAAAAAAGAAAAGGCTTGTAGGCTCTAACATTTTATGTGATTAGTCTTAAGATGTAGTAAAACCTATTTATGATAACTTTCCTTAGAATTTACAACAAACCAAAGTGACTTAATATTAACTACAGCCACAATTGTACTTCTAATTCATGCTCATAAAATTTCATATCCATATTTTTTTCTTTGGAGGAGTAATTGGTTGTGAGATTGACCAAACCCTAAACCAAATCACAAAAATGACGGCCCTAAGTAGAAGCTAGGTGAGAGAGTTAATAAGTATAGTGAATGATACTTGATTTTGCCTGCCTGTCTCCAGAGCGTCCCTTAAGAACTAGTCTTTTTTTCTGCTTCTTTCTCAACGTCTCTTACCTTTTATGTGCTTTTAGTTGATGTGTATGTGTAGTTTCTGTTTCTGTATGAAAAGTATTATTGGTCCTCACGAGGGAGGATGAAAGGAATTGAATTACTGCAGAAATGAGTTGAAATGTGTCTTGTGGATCATTCTGGATCTTGATGGGAATATCCATTCCAGGACCCACTCTACTAAGACTGGAAACATGACTTAATTAGCCAAACCAGACAAACTCTGCCTCTCTACTGGGGACCAGAGTCTTGAGCGGAATTGTTCTGAGTATAGTTGAAGCTAAAATCCTTCCAAACATCACACCAAAAGACACTATCCATAAGTACCTTAAATATATGATAAAGTTGATAAAATGCACAATGCTAACATATACTTGATTTTAAACAGACATAAATCAGTCATGTATTTCTTGGCAATAGCAGACAATGCAAACTCAACTGTCCCCAGAGTGAATGGATGGAATGGTGTGATGTCATTAGATCCACCAGAATGGCATCCACACTTCATGCTATCCCACCTCACCCCACCCTCCCATACTTCTGCCAGAATAGTCTCGTGAAGTTCTTTATATGAATTCCCCACAACCTCTAATAACTAGCTATTGTTCTTAGCCTGTAGAGACTCTGTGAGGTAGGCATGACTGTCATACACATGGACTGGCATAGTAAGGACTAAGAAATATACTTTCAATAATTTAATGCCTTTCCTGATGCATAAAACTCCTTTCCTTTTATCAGCGGCCAAGCATGACTAAGAAGGCAACAATTTCAGTCTTTCAGAGTTTCTTAAGCCAGCTGGAGAGGGAAAATAATACCCTTAAAATCCAAAGCTCCTTGAAGGAGGTGAAGGCTGATAAGGATTGCTCATTTTACAGGTGATTGGTAGAAGCGTGTTTGAGATGGCATGATTGACTATAGCAGGAGATATTAGGGAGTCTTGGTAAAGGTCATTTCTCCTTCTCTATGTAATCCATTCTCAGACAAAAAGTTTCTATTAGCCGGAAGCCAGTGACTCATGCCTAGAGTGCTAGCTACCCAGGAGGCTGAGATCTAAGGATCACAGTTCAAAGCCAGGCCCAACAGAAAAATCTGTGAGACTCATCTCCAATTAATCACCAGAAAAACAGAAGTGGCGCTGTGGCTGAAAGTGGAAAACTACTACCCTTGAGCAAAAAAGCTCAAGGATAGTATCCAGGACCAAAAAAATAAACTTTCTGTTGTTTTGCTTTGTTTTCTTAGGATACCAGAGACTAAACCTAGAGCTTTTAAGTACTAGACAAATGTATTACCACTGAGCTCTGATCCATTTTCTTGCAGGACACAGAATGATACTTTAAAATGGGAACAGATCTAACATCTTTATTTAAACCTTCTGATCCCAGTTACTGTTGATGTGCCAGGGAGAAACATTTTGTCCATTCCTGGGTCAGAATTCAAGTCCAGCAGAGAAGGCTTATCCTTATTGCATGATCTTCGTGGGTGGAACTGAGGGTGGGGGCTGGAGTCATCTGAAGTCTCTGTGAATCTTGTCTTGACTAATTGATGCTGGCTCTGTTGAGGGGCTTCAGTACTCTTCACCAAGGATAGTCTCTTTAAGATTAGTTTTGGCTTTGTTATAACATGGTGACTAAATTCCAAGAGAAAGTTGAGAGTGGGGAGAGGAAGGAAGAGAAAGAGTAGAGAGCTGAGCAAGAGTGAGATTCTAAATTCAAACTCCCAGGACCCCAGGTTCAATGAAGGTAATGAAAAGTATTCTAGGTATTTTAGAAAGAATTTATGAGCATGATGTGCTTACAAAATTAGTGGAAGAGCTGGACAGGCAAGAGTCACAGCACTACCACTAAATTTTCAGCTTCAACACTGCTATACACTGCTATACACTGCAGCATCAGCATACATCCCTACTACTTGTCTGATACTATGATGGAGGAGGAGATGGGTGGGGATTGAGATGACTTCTACAAAACAGGAAGTGGAGCTTGCTCCTTTGGGTACCAGACATGTGCTGGTTACAAACAGACTTTTTATATCTAAATGAATAGTTGAGTGTCATGTGCCAAGCACATGTCCATTTCTGCAATTGACTTTTCCCCACACACCTATGGAAGAGGCCTAAATGATTTTGTGGGTACACTGCCACAAAGCCCTGGAGCCACAATTCAAACCCAGGCTGCCTGACTTCAAGTGTGCCTCATGGTCATGTCACCAGTCAAAGGTGGTGATTACCTGCCAACTTGAGACAAAGCAAAGAAGGGCTTCCATCCTCAACCATCCCTCCATGAAGTGAGTGTACAATCTTCCAAAATGACCCAGGGATGACTACTGTTCACCAATGCTAGAAAACAAATATAATCTGATCCTGCTGCTTATTCATATGCCAAAATCTATTCAAGAAATTGACATATCAGGGCTGGGAAGGATCTCAGTGGTAGAGGGCTTGCCTTGCGTGCCTGAGGCCCTGGGTTCAATTCCTCAGCACCACATAAGCAAAAAGAAAAAAGCCAGAAGTGGCACTGTGGCTCAAGTAGCAGAGCGCTAGCCTTGAGCTGAAGAGCTGAGGGACAGCACCCAGGCCCAGAATTCAGGCCCCATGACCGGACCCCCCCCCCCAAAAAAAAATTGACTTATCTCATGCCCATTCTTTTCAGAATGTCAAGGCTTTGTCTTTAAAGCAGAATCATATTACCACCATTTGACATTGACAAATCCAACTGATCAATCACTAGTGCTTTCTACTTTCCTCTGGCACATTAGATAGCCAAGGCCATATTGACTACACTTTATGAGACATCAAAATAAGCCATGAAATCTTTGGCTATTATAGCTATAGCATCCATCATATAAAAACCCCAGAGCCCTGATGAAATGTTCTGTCACAATCTAATCACTTCTTTCTATTATTAGGCATGCAATCCTTCGTACAGGAAGTGCTTAAACAGGAAGCATTTAAAAGAAAACTATAGAGCCAGGCACTGGTGGTGCATACCTATAATCCCAGCTACTCAGGAGGCTGAGATCTGAGGATCTTAGTTCAAAGCCAACCCAGGCAGGAAAGTCCATGAGACTCTTGTCTTCAATGAACCACCAGAATACTGGAAGTGGCGCTGTGGCTCAAGTGGTAGAGCACTCGCCTTTTGCTGAGGAGCATAGCCCAGGTCCAGAGTTCAAGCCCCATAACTAACAGGAAAGAAAGGAAAAAAAAGAAAACTGTAAATAAATCCTCATCATTTCATCTTTGATCATTTTGATCAGATATAATGTGATCAAGAAAGTTTCAACAAATCCCTATGCATCTTAAGTTTTTCCAATCGTACATTTTCCCTAAATCACCATTAGTTAATTATATTGAATCACTCATTAACCATTTATTCACTGAACTTGTATTGATGGCCTGTGGGATTACAGAGATAAGATTACTTACTTGGGAGAGCTCGTGGTGTAGTGGGAGAAAACGGGCATCAGTGGCTCACACCTGCAATCCTAGCCACTCTGGAGGCTCAGATCTGAGGATCACAACTCAAAGCCAGCCCATGCATCAAAGTCCAGGAGACTCTTATCTCTAACCAGAAAACTGGAAATAGCACTGTGGCTCAAAGTGGTAAAGCGCTAGCCTTGAGCACAAAAAGCTCAATATCAGCACCCAGGCCCTGAGTTCAAGACCTAGGAGTAAGGGAAGTATACCTTTGCTTTACTCATAGCCTCTCCCTGTCCTCCAATTGCTGATGGAGAGAAGCGGCAAGAGAGACCTTACATAACCATGACAGAGAGACTGCTCTCTGGGGCTGCCAGATGTTTCAACTTGACTTTTGTCTTTCTGTCTTCTGGGTTCCTTGGAAACCCTCTCCTCCCTAAGGGTCTCTCCCTTGTCCTTCACGTCCTAAGAGGAAATGCCTATAGGCCCCCATTCATCTACACTGATTCTCAGCCTTTGGAGCGGTGCATCTCAACTCTGGGCGGAGGGGAACCCTATTTGTGGAGGTTGTCTTCCCTGGGGACCTCCCTCTATAGGACTGGAGCCTCTTAGGATTTCGTTGCGGATAACAAGCCCTCTAGACCATTTAAGTGGCAAGGACTTGCAAAAAGACTGTAGGAGGCTTGTAAAATTATTGGAAACAATTCTGGTGGTAAAATTTATAGAAACTAGGATTCCTCTCTGAGGAGGGCAAAACCACTTCAACCAATGCTACAGGATGCTCTTGATATCTCCCTCACAGAGATCTCTGCTGTGACATGCAAAGATACATTTCACCCGCAACAAACTCAGGAAGGTTATCTCCAAATCAGGGCTCTCTCCTCCAGTCAGAGAATATGCACCAAGTGGTCTCCTTTAACCCCTCCCATGGTACCTCTATCTTGAATGAAATTAGTTCTTTCTAAAGTCCTTGCTCTACCTTGGTATTGGGAGCGAGTAATAACTGATTCTGGCTTCTTAGCCAGTGACAGCTGTAGGATGGACATGGGCTAGGTGCCCAACCATGGCCAGCCAGAGGCTAGGAGACATCTTTCTTTATGGGGGAAGAACTGGAGGCATTTTTTTTTGTCCTGCTCAGGCAGTCTCCAGCTCCTTTTCTCACTTCTTGTTTTAGGTTTTTGACAACTACTACTGAAACACGGTATACCTGGATCAGATCCTTTTACTCTATGGTATGGAAGAATGAATCCATGGAAACAGAGAAGTAAAATGGTAAGTATTTATTGAAGAAAAAGATAAGCAGAAGCCAGGCATTGGTGGCTCATGCCTGTCATCCTAGCTACTCAAGAGGCTGAGATCTGAGGAGCGTGGTTCCAAGCCAGCCAGGCCAGGAAAGTCCCTGTGACATTCTTATTTCCAATTAATTAAAAACCAGAAGTGGCATTGTGACTCAAGAGGTTCAGTGCTAGCCTTGAGCAAAAGGAGCTTATGGACAGCACCCAGACCCAGAGTTCAAGACCCAGGACCACCGGGAAAAAAAAGAAAGTTAAGCAGAGCTCTGGCTCTAGCTCTGGCTCCCAAAGGAAAGCACTGTGTAAGTGCATTTGCAGTTGTTAATAAGGTTCCTCTAAGACAACGACATGACTCTCGGGATTATTGGACCATATCAATTCCCAGACCCAATCAGAAGCTTCACACAGCCTGCATGAGCTCCATTCTTGTTTAGCCCTTCTGTCTGGGTGGTCATTCTGGCATATATCTGTCTCTGGGATCGGATCAGTCTTTGTTCATATACAAGTGTTCCCAAGGCAATTGCCACAATATGATACCCAGGAGCTGGCATATGGGACTGGTCAAGGCCATGGTGATGTGATGCCCAGGAGCCCAAATATGGGGTTGCTCAAGGCCATGATGAGGGGTGCAGAACCTCTACAGGAGGGCGCCATTGCCCTGATTGCCTAGCCAGGTTCTTTTTCTGCTCTTACAACCATCTTGTGACCATGACCCAAAAGGTCTGAGTATAGTGAGGGCCACCCACTGAGGAGAGAAAGATGTAAATGCCCAGGTCCTAGATGGCACCACTGAACCACAAACCAAACCAACACTCACTCCTGCCAGGTATTTTGTCAAGTGGTACCGTGAAATGCCTTTGTGACTTAACCAAGTATTAGGCATTCTTACACTTGCAGCCAAATGCATCTTGAAGTTAGTCTAGTTTTTGCAGGATTCTCTCCCTTCCTTCCTTCCTTCCTTCCTTCCTTCCTTCCTTCCTTCCTTTCTTCCTTCCTTCCTTCCTTCCTCCCTCCCTCCTTCTTTTTCTTTCTTTCTTTCTTTCTTTTCTTTCTTTCTTTCTTTCTTTTCTTTCTTTTGCTAGTCCTGGGGCTCAAACTCTGGGCTTGCACATTGTCCCTGAGCTCCTTTTTTGGTCAAGGCTGGTGCTCTACCACTGGAACCACAGAGCCACATCCAGCCTTTTCTGTGATTAACTGGAGATAAGAATCTCATGGACCTATCTGTCCAGTCTGGCTTTGAACCATGATCCTCAGATCTCAGCCTCCTGGGGAGCTAGGATTACAGGTGTGAGCCCAGTTCTTTTTCTAAATTTTTCTAAATTCATGTGATGTTTATTCTATTTCATCAACTGGAATTTCAACATGTATGTTGGTTTGATGGGACTACTTAATGAAGTAGAACCAAAATGAATGTGAGAACTCAAAAAGCCAAGCTTAGAGACCCAAAAGGATTGGGAATCTGGAAGGCCGTTCTTCTTCCAGCAGAGAATGCCCAGGGATCCATGGAGAGGTCAATCAGTTCTGGTTTAACATGAATTTAGATCTATCCTGGGTGAGAGCTAATTTGACCCTAAACTGCTTGGGAGCCTGGCAGCAGACTTAAATGATAAGCTCTTTACTGTTTTAACTCTAGTTTCCAAAATGAGGAATTCATCTACCACTTGTATACAAAATATTGTTACCTGTTGACAATACTTTCTGCACAGACTTCCCTATACAAAATGCAAAAAAAAAAAAAAAAACTTGGTGGATAGAACCTTGGGATCTGAAGCTGGTGAAAGGCTGTATGTGCCCTGGTACCCCAAATCTCAATTCCATTTCTAGTCTTCATTAATACTTTGTCTCCAGTCTCGGTGTCTGTGAAGGGTTGGGGCACATGTCTTAACCAATAAGCATTGAACTGTATTACAGTTCTAGAAGCTAGAAATCTGAAGTCAAGACACTGATAGTATTGGTTCTTGTGAGGCCTGTAATAAGACAGTTTGTCTCTGCTACTGTCTAGTGGGCTGCTTGAAGGCCTCTGGCATTCCTTATATATGGCATTTTCCCTGTGCTCTCATGTTATGGGAACCAGGATGGTTCAAACCCAGAAAGGTTCCTAGAGGGCATGAACCTCAACCAGGGATGCCAAGCTTGTGATACAGGGTGCCGTATTCATAACCCCCATACTGGCTAAATTTGTGACATTGTCAGAATAAAGAATATAAGGACTAGTCTAGTTAGGTGGCAAGTCAATAGAACTTTATTTAACAGGAAGCCGAGCATATACCTGATGTGGGCACAGGAAGGCACCAAGTCCTTTGTGTAATATTTATATTTGTAAGACTCAAGGAATAGTTATAGGAGAAGTTTAAGTTCCCTTCAAATAAGCATTTTTTTGCCTGGCACCCTCATTTTGCTGTTGGAAAATTCTAATACAGCAAAGCATGGAGACAGCAAATCTGAGGTGATCTTACCAAGGGTTTTTGTATGGCATGGGTACCTGCTTCTTGTAACTGTAATTGCCATTGTCTCAATTAAAAAGAATCTCTAAGTGTTGTGTACGTTGCTCATTTGGAGTGAGGGCAGAGTAATGGTGTCTATCACTTTTCCCACCTCCTTGGGAATTGGGGCGAGCTAAGGGAAAAAAGATGTGCTCCCTTTATTTACAATGTTTAATTTTGCAGCCTTCATAGTCCTCCTTTCATTGTATCTTATGTTTTGGAACTAATTAATTGGAGATTGCCAAACACCCAGTCTCCTCAATTGACCATGAGCAGCTGCCAGATACTTCTTCTAGATCTTAGAGCATAAAAACCCATCATTAGGAGATATTTATTCTCTTGTAAATGGATCTCCTTTCAGCCCAAGAATGAACTCCATCAGATGCTTTTCTTGAAATATTTATTCAGGATACGCATATCTAGAAATAGTCAATGCAAGATTAAAATACAGGTTAGCTTCTAAAAAATTCTAATTTGAGAAGGTGGGGTGAGAGACTTCAAATTCCATATCAATAATGTTAATTTTTAGCTCATTTTGATATCTTTTCATCTCTTGGATTTGAACTTTTGTTTTCAAATCTCAGCATCCCTAACTCAGTCTGGCTTATTCAGACCATCTTCCCTCTGTACTGGATTTCTTTTCTTTACATGATGTTCATTTTGTAAGGACGGCAGTCATATTGGATTATGGCACCAAACTACTTCAGTATGACCTCATGTTAACTAAATAAATCTGCAGTGACCCCATTTTCAAATAAAGCTATATTTTAGACACTGGGAATTAGAAACCCAAAATGTGAATTCTGAAGAAGACTCAACCCATAACAATATAGAATTGAGTTTTAGAGCATGCATCCCTATTGGCATAAATTCAACAAAATGGCCTTAATTCTCATAGTTGTAGCGATGCAGTTCAGCTAACCATGGCTGACCTGTAACTAAGGGTCTCCCAACGCATTGGCCCTTCTATTTTCAGGTCAGCAAATCAGTCTTTCTCCTGTTCCTCAGCTTCTAAGGATTCTTGTAAACATATTAGGGCTCCTACATAGTCCGGGACAATTTTTGTGTCTTAAAGTCTTTAATATTCACTAAACAGTCCAAGTTCCTCTGGCCATATAACATGTTCACAGAGTTCCACAGATTAAGATGTGGACATCTCTTTTATTCTTCCTACTCTAGCTGTTAGTTCACAGTATATTCTTTCCTTCCTTCCTTTTTTGCAGTACTGAGATTTGATCAGCCTTGCTCAGCTGATACTCTACCAGTTGAGCCATGCCTCCAGTCCTGTTTTTTGCTGGTTATTTTAGAGTCTGGAGGACTTTTTTTTTTTTAACCCAGGCTGGCCTCAAATTGCCATCCTGAGTACAGGCATGAGCCACCAGGACCAGCTATACTTATTTCTTAGTGGCTACCTCTTTTCAAAAGACATCTGCCCCCCTTACCCCCCCCCCCCACTCCACAAATCTGCTTAATTGTACATATCCATGACATTATACAAAAGCCATCTACAGAACTCAATTCATTGCTTCTTAGAAACTGTATAAAAACAGACAAGGCACACAAAATGGATGTATGTGAATGGGTACAAAGTTATGTACCACCACAGCACAGTTACATGAGACACATCAGAAACTCCATTTGCAGAGCTAAAGCCTAATTGAAAAGGTAAAAAGAGGCAGCAGAAAACCATCAGCTCCTCTCTGATCATACACTCTGGCCATCCAGAAAGATTTTAGGTGAAAAATAGACCTTTAGGACCTGATTATGTGTTTTCTAGCTGTGAGCAGTTTTGATTCAATTGAACCCACAAATGTTTATTGTGGTAGATGCTACAAAAACAGTTGAGCCGGGTGCCGGTGGCTCATGCCTGTAATCCCAGCTACTCAGAAGGCTGAGATCTGAGATCACGGTTCAAAGCCAGCCCGGGCAGGAAAAGCTGTAAAACTCTATCTCCAATAAAACACCAGAAAAACGGAAGTGGCACTGTGGTTCAAGTGGTAGAGCGCTCGCCTTGAGCTGAAAAGCTGAGGGACAGCGCCCAGGCCCAGAGTTCAAGTCCCATGACCGACGAAAACAAAAACCATAGCTGAGTATAATGAGCCGGGTGCTGGTGGTTCACGCCTGCAATGCTAAAGATTTGACGGATAACGATGTCAGGTTAACCCCGGGCAGAAAAGTATCTCCAAAGTAACCAGCCAAAATGCAGACTGGAGGTGTGGCTCAAGGAATAACGAACAGGCCCCTGAGTTCCAGGCTCTGGCTCCAAACCCAAGTACGACGATGGGTGTCGAGTCCACAGGTACCAGAAGGGGAGCCAGTTGGGGGTCGATCGTGAATTGCATTGGATGGCAGTCAGAGAAGCCGGCGGACCATTCACCAGTGCCCGCGAAGCCTAATTAGCCCGGAGACCAGACGAGGTGCTCAGCACCTGCGGATTCCAGGACGCCTCCACTCGGGCACCCGGGGCCGGTTCGCGGCTGCGCGCTGCGGCCTCCGGCCACCAGGGGCGCCCAGCTCTCGCTCCGTCCGGGGCTCCATCGTTTCCGGGCACCGCGGCCCAGCGCCGCCATCGCCGTCCGCCGCTCCCGTTACCGGGGCAACCGCGGCGCCTCCTCGGGGTGAGCCCTGCCGGTCTCTCCGCGCCATTTTCAAACTGCCGTAGTTCGGGGCGGGTAACCGGGAGCTCGGGGAGCCGGAGGGCGGCGAGTGCGGGGGGCGAAGCGGCGGCCGGGGCTGCGGGTGAGTCCGGCCTGGGGGCGGCGCCTGGGCCTGGTCTTCCGGGACGCTGCGGGGTGCTGGGGGGGGGGCCGCGGAAGGGCGCGGGGACCCCGGACCCCCCCCCCCCGGAAGCCGCGCGCGCGCCCCGGACGCAGGGGTTGATTTAAAGTTCAAGTGCGCCGCGTACAAACCCCGCGACCCTTCCCCGCTCAGGCCCGGGAGACCCGGGGAGACCCGGGGACCCGAGGACTGGCCGGGGTTCGGCTCCCCGCCCTGGTGCCCACTGCGGAGAGGGCAGCGGAGATGAGCGGTGCCAGAGTTCAGACCCTCCGAGGTGACGTGGATGGGTCCGATGGGACGGGGAAGGGCGAGGGAGGGGGTCCCAGACTGAGTATTTCCTGCCCAGGATGGCTTCGAACCCGCGATCCTCAGATCTCAGCCTTCTGGGTAGCTGGGATGACAGGCGTGAGCCACCCGCGCCTGGGGGGGGGGGCCTCGGCCTTGGCTTGGATTCGTGTTGATGCTCCTGGGTTCCGTTTTTTGTCGCTTTCCCTCTCCATCCCTGCCCCCTCCCCCCACGCCCCGGCAGGAAGAGTTGGTGGGTGACCCCCCCCCAGCCCGGGTCTGTCAGGTAGGTTTTCCTCAGCCCCCCCCCCCCCCCCCATCTCGCAAATCGCTCTTATTCCTGGAAGGTGAAGCCTCCCTCGCTGGAAAGGCCCAGGCAGGACCCAGAGGGAGGTTTGGGAAAGGAGTACCAGGAACAGGCGCTGATTGACAAGTGGCCCCGGGCCGGGCAGGGCTGGACCGGACCCGGGAGACCCGGTGCCGCGCCACTGGGCAGCCTTCGTGGTGTTTTAGGAAGGGCGATAGCCGTGGTCCTTCACCCCCACAGGGCGCTTGTAAGGATCGGACTTGTGTGACTTATTCACAGGCACTCCCGTGCGATCAGCCGTGGAGAACAACAGGGTTGCCAAACCGTCGGTAGTTGGTGCAGAAATAGGAGCCCGAGGATGAGCTGGTTTATGGGAAAAGGGCAAAGTTTCTAAAGAAATGAACTTCTCATAACAACTTGGTGTGTGCGCGCGCGCGCACCAGTCCTAGGGCCTGCACTCAGGGCCTGGGTGCTGCCCCTGAGCTGTTTGGCTCAAGGCTAGTGTGCTCTGACACTTGAGCCGCAGCTCCACATCCCGCTTTTGTGTGTGTGTGTGGTTAATTGGAGAGTCTTACGGACTTTCCTGCCCCCGCTGACTGGGAACCACAATCTTCAGATCTAGTCTCCAGAGAGCTAGGATTACAGACGTGAGCCAACAGCTCCTGGCAGTATTCTTGTATTATTAGACCTTTGTTAGCCAGGTTAGCAATTGAGATTAGTCTGAAAATGTTTTCTCACCAATGGTCAATTTTAGTTTTAATATTTGCATTATTTGAGGAAGACAGGTATGTCTTAGAAATAAACATTTTGCGTTTTGCTTTCTGTTTAAGACTTTAGAAACATGATCAACTTTCTTTTCTTTTCTTTCCTGTCCTGGAGCTTGAACTCAGAACCCAGGCACTGTCCATTTAGTTTTTTCTCTCAAGGCTAGCAGTTGAGCCTCCTAAGTAGCTAAGATCACAAGTGTGAGCCACCAGCACCCAGCTTGGAGACTCACATTTTTGTCCAGGAGTGGCCTCAGACCATGATCCTTCCTCCTGTGCCTCCCACTTCATTGGGATTACAGGAATAATCAATCCACTATGCCTGATTTGTTTGTGGAGATTAAGTTTTGCTAAGATTAAGTTTTGGGAGGCTCTCTGCCTCCCAAGCAACCGAGGTTATAGTGGTGAAGCAATATGCTGCCTGTGCAGTGTCTGGCCTCTTCTGCTCAAATAATACTTTTGAGATTCATGCACGTTTGCTAATACGTATCAGTAGTTCCTTCCCTTTTATCCCTGAGTAATAGTGCATTTTATCAATATGAGTTTGCTTATCCTTTCGCTGTTCATGTGTTTTTAGGATGTTTCCAGTTTGGGCTCATTTTGAATAAATTTGCTGTGAATATTCTGTCATCTTTTTGTGAATGTTTGCTTTCATTTTCTAGTATAAATGCCTAGACATAAAATGATGGTGTTATTAGCCTAGCTTTTCCCCTGCTGATTTTTACCATCCTGTCCCCCAATGTGTGAGCATTTCATTTGCTCTTAATCTTTGCTAAAATGGAGTGTGGTCAGTTTTTTTAATTATAGCCATTCTAGTATGGGCAAAAGTATCCCTCATTGTGGTTTGAATTGGTATTTCCCTGGTGACTAATGTTGAGCATATTTTCATAAATTATTCCTCCAAAATAATCTTTTGCAAGGTACTTGTTCGTGTGTGTGTGTGTGTGTGTGTGTGTGTGTGTGTGTGTGTGTGTGTGTGTGTGTATTGGAGCCTTGATCTTAGGGCCTTGTGCTTTCACTTGGCTTTTTTGCTTAGAGCTGGTGCTCTAACACTTGAACCACTCTCCAGTCTGGCATTTTGCTGGCATTTGAGATAGAATCTTTGGGATTTTTTTCTGCTTGGGCTGGGCTGGGCTGGAACTGCCATAATCCTAGCTCAGCCTCCTGGGTAGGTAGGAAAATGGATGTGAGCCACTGGCCCCTAACCTGTTCAGGTCTTTTAACACAACTAAATTTTAGTTTTAGCTTAACCATTTATTTATTATTCAGTTATATGTTCCATTTAATTAATTAATTTAATTAATGCTGGTCCTGGGGCTTGAACTCAGGGCCTAGGTGCTGTCCCTGAGCTTCTTTTGCTCAAAGCTAGCACTCTAGCTCTTGAACCACAGCTCCACTTCTGGCATTTTGGTAGTTAATTGGAGATAAGTGTCTCTCACACACTGTTCTACCTGAGCTGGCTTTTAACTCTGATCCTCAGATATCAGCCTCTTGAATAGCTAGGATTACAGGTGTGAGCCACCAGCACAAGGCTTCCTTTTATATTTTATACATAAATCCTTCCTCAGATATTGTGAGTACTTTCTGGCCCTCTTTCATTTTCTTTTTTTTTTGGCCCGGTTGTGGGGCCTGAACTCTGGGCCTGAGCGCTGTCCCTCAGCTCTTCAGCTCAAGGCTAGCGCTCTACCACTTGAGCCACAGCGCCACTTCTGGCTTCTTTCTTTTTGCTTATGTGGTGCTGAGGAATCGAACGCAGGGCCTCAGGCATGCAAGGCAAGCGCTCTACCACTGAGCCAACTTCCTAGCCCCATTCATTTTCTTTCTTGAAGGAAGGGAAGTACTGAGGTTTGAGGTCAGGGCCTTGCACTTGCTAAGCTGGTGTTCTCAGCCACGCGTCTATCCCTTGCCTTTTTTATTTTTGTGATGGAGTAGTTTGAGGAGATATTTTTAATTTTGATGACAGTTTACAAGTAATTTTTCTTTTATGTTTAATGCTATCAAAAGAGTTCTAAGTTTGGTCAAAATAGATTGTATGCAACTATGAAAATAAAACAAGGAAAACTGTTGAAATTATTTCGGGCTGGGGAAGGAGTGTACGAGGAGGCAAGACTGATTGTAATATACTATACATATGCAGAGATGTAACCGTGAAATTCCCCTCTGTATGCTAATTTAAAAATCTGAAACAGTTAAAAAGAATTATCTATTTACCTCTGGGAATTTTTTGTTTTCTTCTACAATCTTTATTGGTTTAACTTTATATTTAAGATTTAGGAAGAGATATGTACTTTATAGTACAGCATCACAGATCATAAATGTTAGCTTTATAAGCAGTTAATTAATTTATCTTAAAAAGGAACGAAAATAATTGTTTCATATGAAAATAATGTTAGGTTATTGAGAAACACCAATAGCAGCTCTAATAACCGTGTTTCATTCTTCTTTTTTAGGACTTTAAATTTTGAAGTGAATAGACCTGGTTCTGGAAGGCGAGATGACCACAGCTGCAGAGAGGAAGTTTATTAACGTCAGAAGAAGATTAGATCAGCTGGGATACCGACAGACTCTGACAGTGGAGTGTTTGCCTTTGGTAGAGAGAATTTTCAGGTAAAGTGAGAAATACAGACCTAAATATAGCTAATCCAGTCCATTGGTGTAGTTTGTGGTTGCACTTCCTTCTTCGGTAAAGAAGTGGGTAGACATTTAAGTCCTTTGAGTTATTAAGTCATTTAAGTGACAGGGTCCTTATCTGTTTTTCTTCCAGTCCTGCTCTCCCAGCCCTTCCTGCAGGGCTCACTCACTGTTCACACTGCTTTTCTGAGCAGACATTTAGGAGGGTTTCTCTGTGAATGGAACTAGAGCTGAGGAAGTGCTGATACAGTCGAGAAATACTTTTCCTTTTTTTGTTGTTAAGAAGAGCTGGAGGGGCTGGGAAGGTGTCTCAGTGGTAGAGCGCTTGCCTTGCATGCATGAGGCCCTGGGTTCGATTCCTCAGCACCACATAAGCAAAAAGAAAAAAGCCAGAAGTGGCGCTGTGGCTCAAGTGGTAGAGGGCTAGCCTTGAGCTGAAGAGCTGAGGGACAGCGCCCAGGCCCAAAGTTCAGGCCCCACGACCGGACCCCCCCCCCAAAAAAAAAAGAAGAGCTGGAGATTGAACCCTCAGGTTAATTCTCTACCACTGAGTTGGACTCCCAGCCTGACTCTTCCCTCCCTCCTTTCTTTCCTTCTTTCTTGGTGCAATGCTGGGCTTGAGCTGTAGGTCTCAAGTTTTTACTTGGCTTCCTTTTGCTTCATCTTCACTAAGTATGTACTGAATAAATGTCCTTCTAGCCTACATTCTTAGATCCTTAGATCCTAAGATCCTTACATCCTTACTTGTGTGAGTCTTACTTGCTTAGCCTGGAGCATGTGTAGGCAGGCGATTCTGAGTGATTCAATGTGTATGTACTTCAGAGCGATCTTGTTTTGAGAAATTTTAGGGGACCTGATACTTTGAAAGAGCCTGAAAATTTGGTATCACTTAAGATATATTTTAAGGTTAGAAATGTATTTGGAAGTATGTTTTAAGTTTACTAAAATAATTAATGGAATGTTTTCTTGTATTTATATTTTCTATTTTTTAATTTCAGTGATTTAGTTCATACTACAGAAAGCCTTAGACAATTAAAACTATCTTCTGTGAAAGCTGAAAAAGAAAGTGCAAATTTTGATTTTGTCTTGGAGCCCTATAAGCTTGAAAATGCAAGATTGAGTAAGGAAAATAATGAATTATACCTGGAGCTAATGAGACTGAGAGAGTGCTCAGAACAAAACATTAGAGGTAAAGGAAAGTCGGTAATTTGTATGTACAACATCTTTGCTTTTTTGGCTTTGCATGTAGATAAGGCTAAAGTCTAATTTTGAAATTGCTGATTATAAAAAACGATAGCTCCCTGAATACCACCAGATGTGAATGGAAGTAGAGATAAGGAATTGCTGATATTAATAAATAAATATGCATTCTATAGCTAGGTCAGACCTCAATATATGTGGATTAAAATTTAGAGTTAAAATTGCTAGAATGTTAGCAATGAGGAAAAGTTCTTAAAATAGCTTTTGTTTTTCATTGAAAATGAAAGTGGTAAAGTAAAGGAAAGCCACGTTTAACCAAGTTTCTGACCTAGGAAGTAGATAGTATAGGATGATTTCAAAGATACCAGGCCTAAGATAGTTATATGATTATTCTTTAAAAAATTATTATTACTATTATTATTATTATTTGCCAGTATCAGGGTTTGAACTCAAAGTCTCAGACTCTTGCTCAGCTTGCTTGCTCCTGGTTGGTACTCTACCACTTTAGCCACACCTCCAGTCCTTGGTTATCTTACTGTAAATTTGTACTTTATGCCTGGCATGAATTCATGATCCAGTTTACTGGATCAAAAGCCATATTATATATTAAGCACTATAGCAATATAAAACAGTATTTCCCCTTTGTGTTTAGTGAGATATTTGCAGTTTTGTTAATAATGGTAGAATAATGGGCTTGAGACAAAGCATGCATAAGAAGAATCAGGTGGAGCCTTTCTTGATTTGACCTTTTGTATTTTGTGAAAGGGAAGAACTTCATAGATTTCTTGATCTTTAGTCTTTGACTCTTTTTCATCGTAAGAATTGAAAACAGCATTGAAGAAGAGTACACATGAAACAGCTGATCTGAAATTTCTAAATAACCAATATGTTCATAAACTCAGACTTTTGGAGAAAGAGAGTAAAGCTAAGAATGAAAAAATTCAACAACTTCAAGAAAAGAATTTGCATGCTGTAGTACAAACTCCAGGTAAGTCTATTCATTCTTAAATTTGTTAGGATTATAATAAAGACAAAATGGTGGGTTATTTATTCCTGAGGAACTGTTTTCTTTTCTTGTTTTTGCTAGTCCTGGGACTTGAACTCAGAGTCTGGGTACTGAACCTGAGCTTCTTTTGCTTAAGGCTAGCATCCTACCACTTGAGCCACATTCCCAGCCCAGACCTGTTAACTTTTAATGTACAACTCAAATCTTGGCCAGATGCTAAAAAATGATAAACTGTTGCCAGGTGCCAGTGGTTCATGCCTGTAATCCTAGCTACTCAGGAGGCTGAGATCTCAGGACCACAGTTCAAAGCCAGCCCGAGCAGGAAAGTCCATGAGACTCTTATTGCCAATATATTATCAAAAAACCAGAAGTAGAGCTTTGGCTCAAGTGGTATAGCGCTAGCCTTTAGCATAAAGCAGCTCAGTGACAGCATCTAGGCCTGAGTTCAAGCAAAAAAAAAAAAGATAATTTATCTATGCATTTTAGACCAGGACAAGTTTGATCATTCTATCCATTAGAAAAAGTTAAGTCCTGCTAGTTTTAAACATAATTAAGAAAATATTCCTTACTATTTGAGGTTATAGCATACTTACGTTACAGGTGACATCTATTTAGTTTGGTTTTGCTGTTTCAATTTTCAGTTATCTGGCTCTTTGACATTGTTTAATGAGGATGTATACTTTGCCAGTTTTTTGTTAGTAATAATGTCTTGAGCTCATAATAGTGAACTACAAGACACACTCAGCTTTTAGTCTTACTAAAACCTAATGTCTGTATAGTATAGTAGAGTGTCAGATTAAATCTGAGTCATATGTCACAAATGAAGGCACATAAACATTTTATAGTCATGACCAAATGAGTGGATAATGAAAATGTGATTTTGTTAAGTCAAATAAGCCAAATTCAGAAAGTCAAATTTGTTTTATTTCTCCTGATTTTTTTTTTTTAAGGTGGCAAGAAAAGAAGCATTGCTTTCAGGCGCCAGCGGATGCAAATTGATGAGCCAGTCCCCCCCTCTGAAATCAGTTCTTACCCAGTTCCTCAGCCTGATGACCCTTACATTGCAGACCTTCTGGAAGTGGCTGATAACAGGTACGTTAAATCATTTACAACTGGGGTTGTAACCCAGGGTAATCAATGCTCAGCATGCTGAGTTCGGTCCTTAGCATCAAAATAAAAATAATGTGTTTTTTTGTTTTGTTTTGTGGTGGTGGTTGTGGTGGTTCTGTGGTTTGAACTCAGCACTTGTTAGGCAGGATTCTACTATTTGAACCACACCTCCAATTGTTTTTGCTTTGGCTATTTTTCAGTGAGGTTTTAAATTTTTGCACCTAGTTGATCTCAGACTAAAATTTTCCTACCTGTGGCCACCTGTGTGACTAGGACCACAGGTGTGTGCCACTATTTATTGAAATGAAGTCTTACTTTTTTACCCAAGCTGATCTTGAACCCATGATCCTATGATCTCCACCACCTTAGTACTTCAGAATACAGGCATGAGCCATAGCACCCAGCTATAATCATACTGGTTTAGTTGACCATTGGTTGCTGTAAATCTCTTGGTAAGGAATGCTTTTGTCTTGGTAACCGTTGTGCCCTTTGTTCCTAGCACAAAATTTGTGTACAGGTACTCAAATATTGCCTTCTGAATTCTGTGGAATATTGCTGTGAAACTTTGATTTCAAATGGGTTATGTATGTGAAATTTTTGCTTTAAAGTAGTTTAGTGACATCAAGAACCTATTTCAGGAGCATTGCTTAGACATTTAGTTTCATCTTTTTTAGGCATCTCTTCAGATTTATTTCAAATGCCAGTTGGACATGAATAGATGTATAAGTGGATTTGAAAGTCTTCTCTCATGATTTCTCTAACTCTGTATTTATATTTCCTTAAACTGGAATCAGATATAAATTCTACTTAATTAAAAATTCATTAGACCTCTTGGGCAAGGCACTGTGCACGTGTTCTGAGATATGAAGAGGGAGGAATAAGATGGTATTGCTGTTCTTTAGAAGTCTGTAGTCAGTGGTAGAGATGAACGAGAAATACATGAGATGCCAGTAAGAAAATTATAAGAGGTTCAGCAAAACAAACGAGTAAGTACTACCAAAACAAGGGCATCTATGGGAAGCACTCACCCTGGATCCATTGAGGGAATATTGCACATAGTGCTTTGTAGATGGTGCAGAAAATATGGAGGAATTCTTTGCATTTAATTATCTTAGTATAATCTTAAAAAAAATTGGTTGAAGAACTGATGATTTCTTCACTAATTTTGCTTAGTCAGTATATGTACCAAAATGTACATACTTACTTAGGCATGCAGTATTTTGTGCCTTGCTCTTCTGTTAAAGTTATAAACTAACAGTCAGACAATATAGTGTTACATTCTTATTATAATCCCAGCTACTTGGGAGGCAGGGATAGTAGGATAGTGATTCAAGGCCATCTAGACAAAACTGTTAATGAGACCCCTGACTCAACATCTAGTTGGGCATGTTAGAATACACCTGTAATCCAAACTACTCAGGAAATGGAGGCAGGCATATAATAGTTCTAGAATATCCAGGATAAAAGCCTAAGTAAGACCCTACCTGGAAAATAAACTAACGCAACAAGGGCTGGGAATGTGGCTCAAGCGGTAGAGTGCTTGTCTAGCAAGTGTGTAGCCCTGAGTTTAAACTCCAGTACTGCCAGTTTTAAAAAATGTTACAGCCTGGGATCCCTTAGGTAAAATGTTAGTATTATTTAAAAATTGATTTGGGCTGCAGAGTTGGCAGCCTGTTTTTTGTTTTGTTTTGTCTTGTTAATCAATTAATTCATTTTTTGGCAGTCCTCAGAGCCTCACACTTGCTAGGCTGGTGTGACACCACTGAGCCATGCCTCCAGCCCTGTTTCTTACCGGCTTCTTTAGGATAGGGTCTCACTTTTACCCAGGCACATACCTGGGCAGTGATCCACTGACTTTAAGCCTTCCTGTCATCACTAAGATCACAGACATTCATCCAGCTTCCCTTCTGAGAAGACAGTCTTCTAGATTTTTCTGCTTGTGCTGTCCTGACTCCACGATCCTCCCAGTCTCAGCCTCCATGTCGTTTGGGATGACATGTGCATGCCACTGTGCCCAGCTATGGGTTGAGAAGAGGTCTCACAAGGTTTTTTACCTAGGCTAGTCTTGAATCATAATTTTCCTGAGCCATAAGTCTCATGTTGACAGTCTCTCAAGTGCTGGGATTATAGGCTTGAGCCACAGACCTGGCTGACATTAGTTCCTTTTGACTGTCTTGTTTAATAGAGGTAGGAATTTGTGGAGAGTACACTGTATCTATGGATCATCAAAATGAACCCTTGTGTTACCAATGCATATTAATGAGAAATTTCAAAATTCACAAACCAAAATAAAACCAGGTCTGCCTTTAAGTCTTTATCTTTCCTGTAAGAACCTATTGAGATATTACAAATCCATTTGAGTACTTGTAGAATTCAGATAGTTTGCACAAAATATGTTCTTTTAAAATTTACAGGTTATAGAACAAGTTGGTGTTTTTACCTTAGTCACTTGGAAAATTGTTCTCTTAATATTTTCTTTCAAGGATTGCATAGTAGTTTATTAAATAATCCAAAGCTAATTAGACTTAGAAAACTTGCTTTAGTCCCTTATTTCACATTGTGATGCTCTGAAGTTTGAACTAGACCTTCAACTTTTTGGACCTAAGAATTGGTAGTAGGACCTCAAAGAGTTGTTCTAAGTATCAAAATAGAATAGAGAGCTTGGCAATGGTGCTTCACTATAGTCCTAGATACTCAGGAGGCTGAGATCTAAGAAGTATGGTTTGAAGTCAGCTTTGGCAGGAAAGTCTATGAGACTCCTTTACTTAATTAACCACCAAAAATCCAGAAGTAGAGCTGTGGCTCAAGTGGTAGAATGCTAAGCTTGAGCAAAAAAGCTTAGGACAGTGCCCAAGACTTGAGTTCAAGCCCTAAGACTGGTATCCACGCTTGTGCATGGATACACACACACACACACACACACACACACACATACACACATACAGAGTAGTGTGATGAGTGCATTGGTACATTGGGTACATTGCATAATGTGCCCAAGTTTCAAGTTATTTACCACTGAGATTTCTACCTGTTCTCATGCAGTTCTCTCTCCAACATGACATAAGTCTATTAATGTTGCGGCTTTGGGACTCTGGCACGGCACTTCATCACTCATTAAGAAGCAGGAAGTGTGGAATTTGTCAAACAACCATCTACTTTCATATCATTCATTACAAATGTGTTTCAGGATTCAGGAACTTCAGCAGGAGGTCCAGCAGCTACAGAACAAGCTAGCAGTGATGGAAAGCGGAGTGAAAGACTACGGCAAGCAGGTAGGTCATCATTACTGCATATCCCTATAGCTGTAAGGATTCTGTGGTCATAACTACAATTGTCTTGTACCTGATATCACTGAGTTTTTATGCAGCTTTTATCTTTATCAGTTTTTTGGTAGAATTAATGCCTTGAATGGCCTGACAGCACTGGGCTCCCTTCATTATTCATTGAGGCGAATAGCATTTTTTTGTGTAGTTTTAGTTTTCTTTTAGGTGACACATCTATATCCCCAAATAAAATTTAATAAACACACTGTTCTTTCCATCTGAGGAGGGATTTTATTGATGTGTACTGTTTTTTGTTTTGATTTGATTCTTAGGGTGTGTGTGTGTGTGTGTGTGTGTGTGTGTGTGTGTGTGTGTGTGTGTGTGTGTGTGTGTGTGTGTGTGTGTTATAAAAATGTACTCCTAGAGCCCAGGCACTGGTGGCTTATACCTGTAATCTTAGCTATTCAGGAGGCTGAGATCTGAGAATTGTGATTTGAAGACACTACAGACAAGAAAGTCCATGAGATTCTTATCTCCAATAAACTACCAAAAGCTGGAAGTAGAATTCAAGTGGTAAAGTGTTAGCCTTGAACAAAAGATCTAAGGGACAGTGCCCAGGTCTTGAGTTCAAGCCCCAGATCTGGCACACACACAAAAAAATGAACTTCCAGAATATTCCCCTCTATCCTCTATTCTTCTTCTTCCCCCCATTCCTTCCTCTTCCTCCTGACAGTCTCCTGTCATGTTAATATTTTATATGTCTAGATTCTACATATGAATGAAAACGTATTTTTTTGAGTTTGGCTTTTCTCACTTAAGTATGCTGTTTTATAATTGTATGTGTTTGTCGTTTGAACATACATGTCTGAAAATTACTCTTTTGAGTGTTTGTATTTTGGTGTGTATTTTGCACAATCGGTTTTATGAAGCAGCAAGGGATTATTGAAGGCAGAGTTAAATCAGGCATAGTGAGCTCTTGTCCTTTTGTGCTTTCTGCTGATGTCTTAGTTAAATTGCAAGCTTGCTTTCTCAGTGTGCTTCCTGAAGCTTAACCTGGGTGACATGTTCCTCCCGTTCTGCTCATAGCTGCATATTCTATAGTGCTGTAACTATGTGTTGGTATAACTCTGTAAAGTACTTTGGCAGAAAGGAAATCATGTCAAGCAAGCATTACAAAGAGATGCTTAAAAATATCAAACATATTTGAGTTGGATGTTATTTTCCCGTTCCTATTCACACTTCTGTGACATTTTTCTAAGTACTTTATGAACATACCCCAGCCAGCCTTTGCCATCCTCTGCAATGTCTGTAATGTTGGTCCCCATGACCAAAACTTCCAACAAACTGTGGCTATCCGTCTACTTGAGCTCACTCTGCCCTTTGTCAGATATCACTGCTCTTCTTTTTGCTGAGTTTATTTTGTTTTCTTCAGCATGTATTTCACATTGTGAGGGTGGGGGTCTCAACAATAATAATAAGACAGTGACAAACACAATAACAAAAACACTACTGTAACTTTTGCTGTTTTCAAGCTCATTTCCAGACTTAGCATACCTTCTCAGGATTTACCATGGCTCAACTTCTTAATCTTTAAAAAAACAACTTTAAAGTCAGGTTCCAGTGGCACACACGTATAATCCAAGGTTCTTGGGAGGTAGAGACTGGAGGGATTATGGTTTGAGACCTTCCCAGGCAAAAAGTTCGTGACACACTATCTCATCAGAAAAAGCTGCGCGTGGTGGCACACATCTGTCAGTGCTAGCTTGAGGTGTGAGTATGTGTATTGCAGTCCAGGCTGACCCAGGCAGAAATGAGACTCTTCTCAAAAAAGAACCAGAGCAAAAAGGGTCAGAGACGTGTCTCAAGCAGTAGAGCACCTGCCTAGAGCATAGTATCCCTGAGTTCAAACCCCAGTACTGCTACTACAAAGCAGTTCTTATATGTACTCAGGCTTAAAATTTAATGGGTAGAGGATTATTCTTGCTATTAAGACCTAATTCTTCACACATGTGTAATCACCCACAAGTTGCCTTTTATTACAATCTAATCATAGTGAGCCATTTCTACTACCTCAAAAGTACTACATTGTGTTACGTTTTGTGTTACTACCTAGTGTGGTTTATATCCTTTTTGGATGTATTTGATAAGGCCTATGCTGCTTTCCACAGGCACAAACATACCATACAGAATAAGTAAGCCACTTCATTCCCTTAACTACTTTGATGCCATGTACTGTTTCCTTTGTTCTGCCATGAAACCAGCAAATTTTTGGTTTGCTTACTTGAGCTTTTTCTATGAAGGTGAATCTTCCTGAAAGTTATAGTCAATGCTTTAGTCATTCTACACCAGTTCTATGCACAATAATTGGTGAATGTTTGATCTTCATTTCCTTTTTCTTTTAAAATGTGTATTTACTTATTTATTTTGGAAAAGAAAAAGCCTGCAAGTATGTTTTTCATTCCAAATTCTTGCATGTGACTTAGTAATACCAATTTATGGTTAATAGTGATCTTTTTGATTAACTGCTTTCTGAATAATCAGTAATTAAATCTGCTCCGGCTTTTTATTTTTAATGTTGCGGTTGAGTACAACTCGGTTTCCTTAGTGTTTTGCATTTACTCATTCTCTTCAGCAGGCGCTGAAGTCGCTCAGACTCAGGTTTGGTATTTGAATGTATTTGTTTGCTAGCAACTTGCTTTTTGTATTAGAAAATTGCCTAATCGTAGGAGAGGGAAATTTTTTAAATTTAAAATTTTTTTTATTGTGAAAATACCATACAGAGGGGTTACAATTACATGGGCAAGGTAATGAGTACATTTCTTATCAAGCATTGTTGTCTCCTCCTTTGTTTCCCTTCCCAACCTTCTCCCCTCCCCCCTCTGGGCCCAAAGATGCTGGAGGGAATGTGAACAGAAGGGAACCTTACTGCATTGTTGGTGGGAGTGTAAACTTGTTCAACCACTTTGGAAAGCAGTATGGAGGTTCATCAAAAGACTCCACATATGACCCAGAAATCCCACTTTTGGGCATTTACCCAAATGATCACAAACAAGACCATACTAAAGCTACCAGCACAACTATGTTTATTGCAGCATTATTTACCATAGCTAAGATATGGAACCAACCCAGATGCCCCTCAGTAGACGAATGGATCAAGAAAATGTGGTATACATACACAATGGGATTCTATGCCTCCATCAGAAAGAATGGCATTGCCCCATTTGTTAGGAAATGGAAAGACTTGGAAAAAATGTTAAGTGAAGTAAGCCAGGCCCAAAGAAACATAGGTCCCATGGTTTCCCTTATTTGCAATAGCTAGTATATGTCTGAGACAAGCAGAAAAGGTCAAATAAGTTGATGTTAGGCGAAATGAACCCCAAGATAGGATTCAAATTTTTTTCTTTCTTGCTGTTGTTTCTAACACATTTATAAGATTTATAAGATGATTTCTTTGTTGCTTTGTATGTCCCTCCCCCACAGTATGACCCCTGCTTTCACTGTATTTGATGTTGGTATAATTTGTGGTATAATTTTTCATTAGAACCTATTTAATTAAAAATTAAACTAGAAAACAATTATTGTAAAATTAAGTTGGAATCAATTCAGTGAAAATATTTACTATGAAAACTGTGACAATCCAGTTGGCATTTTCTGTGCTACTTATTTTGTTCTGCATATATGCATTCTATCTGTGGGAAAATGTGAATGTTAATTTTTGCACAGACTCTGGGAGATAATAAAAAAGTACATTCCAAGATCTTGCTCGTTCCAGATCTTAGAAACTGATTGCCCCATTTTGTATCTCCAGATTGAGCTGAGAGAACGAGAGATAGAGCGCCTGTCAGTTGCTCTGGATGGTGGGCGGTCCCCTGATATCCTGTCTCTGAAGACCAAAAATAAAACCAACGAAAAGCTAATTGCTCATCTGAACGTTCAGGTAAAATCTCTTAGAATAATTGTTGATAATGGTCTATAGATTTGTACATGGGACAAGATTGCCCACTAAGCTATTATTTATTTGATAGAGACAAAGTGTCTAGAAATAGAGCACAGCTATTGAAAAACATTGTTCTTAAAGGATATTCAATGAATCAAGAATTATGACACGTCATAGAGTTTAAAATTCAAAAGAAGAGAATAAAATATGGACATATTGTGATCTTCAATTTGCTTTTTTTTAAATGTGAAAATGTACTTGGTAAGAAAACTTACTGAAAGAGAAATTCCAAAATGTATTAACAAAGCTTGTCTTTGTATGATGGTTGTCTTTGTATGATGATGGGATATATCCTTCTTTTTGGCTTACTTTATTTAAAAATTTTTTTAGTAGGACTGGGAAGGTGGCTCAGTGGTAGAGCGCTTGCCTTGCATGCATGAGGCCCTGGGTTCGATTCCTCAGCACCACATAAGCAGAAAAAAGTTGGAAGTGGCTCTGTGGCTCAAGTGGTAGGGTGTTAGCCTTGAGCTGAAGAGCCGAGGGACAGTGCCCAAGCCCAGAGTTCTGGCCCACGAATGACCAAAAAAAAAAAAAAATTAGCTATGCATTTTTATAGTATAAAAACAACATGTAAATATATAAATATTAACAAATATATAAGTATACATATATTTCTTTTATACTATTGTATATATGTTTATATATAGTATACACATATGTGTGTATATATATGGTATAATTCAGTGGTAGAGTACTTGCCTTGCGTGCACAAGGCCTTGAGTTTGATTCTCAGCATCACTAGTAAAACCTGCATTTGGTAGGGGATAGGGGGAGCAAGAGAGTTCCATAATGTAAAACACATTGCTGTATTTAGTAGTAAGAAATATCAGCAGTAGCTCTAGGAGAGTGCTATCCAATAGAATTGCAATGTGAGCTAAATATGAAATTTACTAGTTTCCAGATTTTACAAAGTAAAAAAAAAGTGGGATTAATTGTAATAATGTAATCCTGTATACATTTTACATTTATAGCACATCTGAGATTGAACCTTCCATAGTTCAAGCGCTTAGTAGGTACATCTAGATGTGAGTGGCTATTCAATTGGACAGCACCATTTAACATATCATTGTGATAATTCTGCTGATAATTTTAGATCTCTGGGTAAAAAGTTAATGCAAATTTCTTAGTTATTTTTTCCTTCTGTGCTAGAAAACCAAAGCTAATAGATACATAGTTGGATTAAATAACTCATTGTCAGTTTCTCAAAATCAGTATTGCAGTGTAAAAATATAAAGTAGCTGTTGTAATTTTTGTATCTTTTAAAATGTAGTTTTAAAAACTATTAGTTGGAAGGCTCAGTATTTAGGATAATTTTCCAGTTCATATACTTCATGACTTGAAAATTTAATTTAGGTTGACTTTCTTCAGCAAGCTAATAAAGAGTTGGAGAAGCACATTCAAGAGCTTTTGGAAACCAAGGAAACAGTGACAAGCGAAGTTGTTAGTTTAAGTAACAGAAATGAAAAACTCTGCCAAGAATTAAGTGAAATAGACCAGTTAGCGCAGCAATTGGAAAGACATAAAGAAGAAGTGTTGGAGTCTGCTAATAAAGAGCTTGGGGAAGCAAAGGTAATGCCATGTTTGGTTGTGGGAAGGTTCACTAACTGCTGGGTGGCAGTGAGCTTTGAGCCCTTCTGACTTCCTATTCAGGATAGAGGTATCTTTATCTGGTGTTTTCATTTTTTGCTTTTGTTAGTTTAGTTCTTAAGTTTTTTTCTACCTTGTAAATGATTGCATTTTTTTTCTAGTTGTTTAAATGTTTTTCTATAGTACATATGAGAAATTTCTTTTTTATTTGGTTGGTCGTGGAGCCTGAACTCTGGGCTTGGGCTCTGTCCCTGAGCTTTTCAGTTCAAGGCTAGCGCTCCACCACTTGAGCCACAGCACCACTTTGGCTTTTTTTGCTCATGTGGTGCTGAGGAATCAAACCTAGGGCCTCATAAATACATGGCAAGCACTCTACCACTGAGCCACCTTCCTAGCCCTTTGATAAATTTCTAACCCATCTTGATTTTCTTTGAGATTTCTGTCTATATCTTTGCCTTCTGAGAGAGCCTCTGAAGTTTATCCTCTGACTTTTTTGCTCAAGCACACCTAAAGGTGTTTTTAAAATTGTATGTCTTTGCTAACTTTGAAGTTAGTAGCTCACATTTTTCATCGTTTAGTTTAAATAGGTGCAAGCAGTAAAATTTCCAATGTACCATAATACTCAGTCCTAAATGAAACTATCTCATTTTTCTTTTAAATGTAGCCAGTAAAATCTAAATGACCTTTTCTCCTTGGAATATTCACAAAGTTTTATCCTATTTTACCATTTTATACCTGAATGTCTTTTTAATATCACTGTACCAGTCTAGATTAAACAGTACATGCATTAAAACTTTTTGGTTTTAGAAATTTCTTATGCCAACAAAATTAAGTGTTTTTTTCTCTGAACAGAGTAATTATTAGTTATCAGTGGGACAGATATACCAGAAATGTTGATAAATATTTAAAAACTAAACAGTTTTGTAGAACTACATTTTTTAGCAAAACTTAATGAGAGAAAGTAGTATCTTTTACAGCCTTCAGCAAGCTCCAACATTTCAGATATCTTTATCTGGTGTGCCATAAATTTTTAAATCTTGAACCGGTATGCTGCTATGTTATGAGATGTAAGCCTTTCTTCCAAGCAGTGTGAGAAAGGTGGCTGTAGTGGAAGAATAGGAGTTGAGACTCACATTATATCCAGATCATAAGCAAGTTCTTAGGAGAATCACTTTTTTTTTTTTTTGGTCAGTCTTGGGACTTGAACTCTGGGCCTGGGCGCTGTCCCTGAGCTCTTCAGTTCAAGGCTAGCGCTCTACCACTTGAGCCACAGTGCTACCGGTTTATTGGAGATAAAAGTCTCATGGACTTTCCTGCCTGGGCTGGCTTTGAAGTGTGATTCTCAGATCTCAGCCTCCTGAGTAGCTAGGATTGCAGACATGAGCCACTGACGCCTGGCTGGGTGAATCACTTTTAAGAAGCACTCTATATATAAACTAAAAATTTAGATTTTGATTCCTTAAAATTGTGCAAGGGCTGGGCATGTAGCTCAGTGACAAAGCACCTGTGTAGTATGAGTGACACCCTACCCTTTGTTTGGTCACTAGCACCACCAAAATACAAAGGAAAAGAAACTATTCATACCATAGTTTCAGATAGTACTTGGAAAGCCAGGAGAAACTGACAGACCCTCCCTCCCTCCCTCCCTTCTTTCCTTCCTTCCCTTGCTCCCTCCTTCCTAAGGAAGGCCTTCCTTCTTCATCCCTTCTTCCCTTCTCTCTCCCTCCTTTCCTTCTTTATAATAATTATTTTCTTTTTGTTTGTTATTTTTACATAGATTCTCATGGATTTTTGTGTGTTTGTTTTTTATCATTGTTGTTTGCCTCAGCTGGCCTTGGACTGTGATTCTCATGATCTCTGCCTCTTGAGTAGTTGGAATTATAGATGTGAGCCACTGCCCCTAGCCCGAGTTGAATTTATACATTGTCATATCACTAATCAGTGGAATAGAACACCACTAATAAAAAGCCCACAGCAACTCAGTGTTGAAAAACAAAAAGTCCTTCCTCTAAAGCCAGGAACAAGTATAGGAGACATACTCTCATCACTTTAACACTGAGCTTGGCTCATTAATGGCAAAGTAATAGATGCCCATAATCCTAGCATTTGAGAGGCCAATACAGGCATCTCATGAGCTTGATATCATTCTTGGTCTATATTACCAGAGCTTATCCAAAAAAAAACCCCAACAAAAACTATAGTGCTGAAAATCCTACCAAGAGCAGTTAGACAAGAAAAAGAAAAAGCGGGGCTGGGAAAGTGGCTCAGTAGTAGAGCGCTTGCCTTGCATGACTGAGGCCCTGAGTTCGATTCCCCAGCACCACATTAGCAAAAACAAAGCCGGATGTGGTGTTGTGGCTCAAGTGGTAGAGCGCTAGCCTTGAGCTGAAGAGCTGAGAGACAGCGCCCAGGCCCAGAGTTCAGGCCCATGACCAGACACCCAAAAAAAAAAAAAAAAGAAAAAGAAAAAGGAAAAGCATGCAGATTGTAACTGAAAGTAAACTTACCTCTATACACAGGATGTGACTTCAGGTGTCATGAGCCCTAAAAATTCCACACCAAATAATAGAATTAAACCAGGCACTAGTACTCACACCTGAAAACATAGTTACTTAGGAGGCTTGGACCTGGAGGATCTCAGTTTGAAGCCAGCCCTGGCATAAAAGTCTGTTAAGATGACATTTCCAGCCAAGTGCTGGTGGCTCATACCTGCAATCCTAACTACTCAGGAGGCTGAGATCTGAGGATCACAGTTCAAAGCTAGACTGGGCAGAAAATTTCATGAGATTCTTATCTCCAATAAACTACTTAGAAAAAGCCAAAAGTGGCGCTGTGGCTCAAATGGTAGAGCACAGCCTTGAGCACAAAGGCTTAGGGACAGGGCCCCAGCCCTGAGTTGAAGCTCCATGACCAGCAAAAAAAAGACTACGTGTCCAATTAATCAACAAAATGTAGAGCTGGAGGAGTAGCTCAAGTGGTAGAGCTGGCTAGGCAGTCATGAGGCCTTTGAGTCCAAGCCCTAGTACCAGGAGAAGAAAATCGAATTAATGGATTTAATAAAGTTACATTTGATAAAATACAAAAATTAGGTGCAATTCTATAAGCAAAAAATCTAAAAATGAGATTAAGTACCTTACCAACATGGTAAAAAACTATGAAACATTGCTAAAAGTTAATGAAGATACAGATAAATACAAAGACATACTGTATTCATAAGTTGGAATACTTAACCATTACTAAATTATCCAAAATCATCTACAGATTCAGCAGTCTGTTATCAAAATCCTAGTAACAGGTTTTTCAGAAATAGATAAAATCCTAAAATTCATACAGAATCTCAAGAGACCTTGGAAAGCCAATAGTCTTAGGAAGATGTAATTCATGGAGCTTTGATTCTGCTTTTGTGGTTTTAGTTCACTGATACTCTTTGTCTCATCCCTTTTTTGTTCCTCCTTCTGCATCCTCTGTGCTCTGTACACTAGGTACTTAACATGGCTTCTCATGGCCTGTCTACAAGTCTCAGAAATGACAACTTGGCTAACAAAAGACTACTATTGAGTCATAATATTTTAATGGCCTCTTGACCTCTGGGTTGCAGTATAGGGGATCCAAGTTGGTAAAAGCAAGTGGGGAAGATTAGGATATAATAGTACCATAAGACACTCTAAAAAATTAAGGCCCAAGGAAAGTCCTACAAGTACACAGTAGGTAAAAAACATTTTGAAGTGGCCCTTTCAGATATTATATATATGTTCTGTAAGCATTGAGGATACCAAAAGAATAAAGAGAACCTCAACTCTGCTTCCTCTTCATTGAGACTACTAGGGCTAAGGCTTCAAGTCCTACTAGTGAGGGGAATGTGAACTACTTGAAAAATTACTCAGTCTTACTGTGCTCTGCCTTAATGATAGATATTCATAGGCCTTTAGATCTTTACCTAATAGGCTTTTTATTCCTAGAAAGAGATTAAAAGAAACCTCAGTGAAATGCGGAATCTTGAAGAAACAATGGCAGAACTTAAACTGGTAAGTTAGTCATACTAAATTGCCAGCATTTTAAGTGGGAAATGCTTTACTGAACATATATTTTAAATTGAGATATAATTTACATACAATATTCACTCATTCAAGTGTTGTCTGTTTTATGCAACTGTCACTATTGTTTAATCAAAGCATTTTTGCCCCGTAACAATAAGACTTTTACTCTTTAGCACTCACTCCCTGACAACCAGCATCTACTTTAGATGCTGTAGATACTATATTGTAACTATTCCATATGGTAGTCCAAATGTACTGAACTTCTTTCATTCAGCATGGTGCTCACTATTTGTATGTATGCAAATGTTGTATGTATAAATGTTGAATGACTCATTATGCTGGTCTCAGGCCTGTGACCAAGTTTCAGTAGTGGGGGCTGACATTAATGCCTCTGTTACTACTTTCTGGTCTTTCTTTTATCTTCTAGTGCTTTGTTGTTTGTATTAATACAATTAATGATAGTATTAGTAGTTAATATTTATTAAGTACTTAACCATAGTGGAAATGCTGGGCACTAACTACTCCCCACCTTTTAAACATAAGCTTTTATAATTTTTCATGCATAAGTACATATTCATTTAGAATCAAGTAGAAAAATATAATGTAACAGTTCTTCCATCCACAAAGAAGCATTGTTAATCTTTAAGTTCTCTGGTGCTGCTTTTAGCTACCATTGTTAATTGACTTTAATTGAAACTGTATGCATGAATAATTAAAAGTGTGTTTATGAATACATATGTGTGGATTGCAGTTCTCTAAGTGCTTATAAACATCTATTTAAACTTTCAAGTGCTATAATGTTTTACAATGTTATTAGAAATTGTGTTTATAGTATTAAAAACTTATAGGAATTAAATGCATGCCATAAAGAAAAGGAAAGACTGAGTGATGAACTCCTTCTGAAATCAGACCTGGAAACTGTTGTTTATCAGCTTGAACAAGAAAAGCAAAGACTTAACAAAAAGTTGGAAAGTTTTACAAGTACAGGTAAGATATACAATGTTAGCAACTTGAAAAGTAATTGAGATTTGTTCTTAATATATTCCTTTTTATTTTTGATTATTTAAGTTGTTATACAAAGGGGTTTTGTTTCAACCTGTAGTTTATTATTTTTCTTAGTAGATCATCTACATTCATTTAATAGATGTTTGTAGAGAGCTTGACATGAACCAGAATCCACATTAGGCATTGTAGATAGGGGAGAAACCCCTCATCTCTAGGAACTTTCAGTATTGTAATATGTTTGATTGGTTAGTCCAAGAAACCCTGCTTGAACATTTTACAGTATCTATTTTTTTGAGACAGACTGGTAATAGAATGAAAACCAAAGAGCATTCCTTCATTGTTTCTTGGAATGAATGTCAACTCATGAATTTGACAGCTGCATATGGTAAATGCTCACTGTGTATCTGCTGAATAAATGGAAGAAGAGATGGTAACAAATCAGAATATATCATGAAAATATTCAGTGCCTCACAGTTTTAACAAGTATTATCTAAATTAGGTCATACTATAAGAACAATAAGAAATTGCCAGTATTCAGGTACTTTCATTTATGAAGAGTTAATTTCTGTGGTAAAACTAGTAACTGTGAGCAGGGTACAATGGTATGGGCTTGTAGTCCCAGCCACTTTAAACACTGAGGCAGGAAGATTGCTTGAGCCCAGAACTTTGAGATCCGTGTAAGCCAAATAAAAAATGAAAAACTGATCATTGTACTTACTTGAAAAAGACTTGTTTTGATCTCTTTGTATATGCATGAAATTCAAGCTTAGTGTTTGATTTGCTCATGTCCTGTTTGTTTGCAAATGTATTTGTGTTTCACTGCGTTTTCAGATATCTAGAAAGTACCATGTGGAAATGTATTGCTTTATTTTGAAGGTACTAGATAATACCCTGTGATTAGAAAAAAAAAACAGGGGGATTTGACTCAGTGGATTTTTATTTAAACTTTTAATGTTTCACTTTTTTCCATTTTCCTCTTTTAATATTTATCTCCTTGACACTTGTGAGTGATACACAAAATAATTCACGATTTCTTGTTGCTTTCATTTTAAAAAGAAATTGACATTACACTTTAATTTGCAGAAAGAAAACTTACTCTGGAAGTTGAGAGGATGAGGCTGGAACATGGAATAAAACGTCGAGACAAGTCACCCTCTCGTTTAGATACATTTCTGAAAGGTATAGAAGAAGAACGAGATTATTATAAAAGAGAACTAGAACGACTCCAACATATAATACAACGAAGATCTTCCTCTATGAATTATTGTGCACGTGAAAAACTTCCAATACTTAAAACATTAGAAAAGGTAATACCTCTGTAAAAGAGTAATCAGTAAGGTGGAGAATACTGTTATGAAACTTCTGTTTTATTATTATATTACATATAACTTTATTCACTTTGTTTTTTTTTTTTTTTTTTTTTTGGTCGATTGTGGGGTTTGAACTCTGGGCCTGGCCGCTGTCCATGAGCTCTTAGCTCAAGGCAAGCACTCTACCACTTGAGCCACAGTGCCACTTCTGGTTTTCTGAGTGGTTAACTGAAGATGAGTCTCATGGGGGCTGGGAATGTGGCTCAGTGGTAGAGTGCTTGTCTTGCATGCATGAGGCCCTGGATTCAATTCTTCAGCACCACATAAGCAGAAAAAGTTGGAAGTGGCCCTCTGGCTCAAGTGGTAGAGCACTAGTCTTAAGCTGAAGAGCTGAGGGACAGTGCCTAGGCCAAGAGTCGAGGCACAATGGCGACTAAACAAACAAAAATAAAAGTTTCATGGACCTTTCTGCCCATGCTGGCTTTGAACCATGATCCTCTGATCTCAGCCTCCTGAGTAGCTAGGATTATACTGATGCCCAACTTCACGTTTGCTTTTTAAAAGTCATTATTTTGATCTTTGTTTTCTGCTGCAACCTATTCTGTAGGCACTGGCATTAAGTAGGGAAATGACATTCCTCTCTTCTCCTCCTTTTCCACAAGGTAGAAATGCTGTTTCATGGATTAAGTAGGAAAATGACCCCTTAACAAGGTAGAAATGCTGATTGCTAGATTAAGGAAAGGTGGATTAGCTGTGTCATGGAGAAAAGTGCAAAGCATCGGCTTAGGAACTAGAGCCCAGGGACTCTGCTTATGGACTCTTCTCTCTAATGATTTACTTCCTGGATCACCTCTGTTCCTCCTGGTAGCAGAGTCTCTTTGACCACATAGCGGGCAGGCTTCATTTGTTTGCAGCGTTGGTTGGACCAATCAGGATGGAGCATTACATTTTGTCGATTGAGCATCTTCTTTGCTGTGGGAAATGGCTAGAAATTGGAAGTGAGTTCTGAACACATGTGTCCACTCTATACATTTGCAAGTTGACAGTTTAAAAGTGTTCACTTTGAAAGCTTGACATGGTGGTAATCATAGCCTATAGTTTCAGCTACTTGGGAAGTTAAGTCAGATGGATGAAAAGTTTAAAGCCAGACTGGCCAATAAAACAAGATCCTATCTCAAAAAAAAAAAAAAAAAAGATGAAAGCTAGCAAGCTGGGTGTGGTGGCTCACACCTACAATCCTAACTATAGTATCACTATGTAGCTCAGGTTGTCCTCAAACTCATTGTGTAGCTAACTGGCCTCAAACTCATGATCTTCCTATCTTAGTGTCCCTTGTGCGGCTGTTATCAGTGAACACTACCATGCCTGGCTTCAAAGCTGTTAGCCTGAATATTTGATTCAGTTGCTTTGAACAGATTCATAATTAAAGGACAAATGGGAGTGGTAATGATAAGGTATTAGTACAATGAGATACCTTTCCCCCTTCAATTTGCTTATTTTCTTGAAATGTTGTTTAGTGGCACAGACCACCCCTTTTCTAGAATTCAGAAATTGGACTGTATTGGAATATTTTAAAGCCCCCAAAATAAACCAAAGTAATGGGTAATACATGAGTAAAGTGGGTATGAATGAGGAGGCATGGAAGACAGACAAGTTCCTGATCTTGTGTGACTGTGTAGTAAGGAGTGATGAAAAGGAGTTAATTATTATATATTAATACTAATGTATTCTTACCTACATGCAAGATACATTTAGAGATGAGTTCAGCCAACACATGTTCAGGAATGTATGCTTTCCTAGGTGCCATATTGGGAACTGAATGTGTAGTGAAAAAGCCTGGATATCTACTATGTCCCTCATGGAACTTAAATTTTAGTAGACATACATTAAAAACAAACTCATGTTTGTTTTTGCACATACTACCACTGAGCTATTTCTGCAACCCTTAATTTAATCTCATTTATAATAAATGTTAATGAAGAGTAGAATAGATATGAAAGCTTGAAATTAGTCCATAAAAGATATAAATTAACTGGAGAATCTAGAGGAATTCATTATGGAAAGTGACATTGAACTGAGTTCTAAACAGTAATGAAAATAGACTTAAATCTTTATTCATTGAGTCCTTTTCTAGAATCTGTACAGATCACTTCCTTTCTGTAATTTTTAAAATTTAGATATCATTGGGTTATGGATCTCATTTTATAATTTCATGTCTGTACTGAATTATCAGATAATCCCAATTTGAGATGCCTACATTTAGTACTTTAACAATAAAATGCTATAAATGTGCCATCTTTATTTTTCACAGTTAACACTGGAACTTTTGAATTGAACTGGAATAGTAGGTATATTCTTGTTTTAGAAATATTGAAAGCAAGGTATGTTAAGGTGGTACATTGACTCACTGATAAGCTTATACTACTTGGTAGAAGTATTTGCATTGATCTGATTGTAAAAATAGACCTTGTATAGGTGTCATTTGAGGATGGTTGGGGTTAGGCCTGGTTGGAAAATTGATCTTAATATTCAGTCTTATTGATCACTGAAAAATAAGTGACACTGTTAGAGTTACTTGCACTGGGTGAACAAATACACGGATACCCACCTGATCCCTTCCCTGGAGAGGATTTAAAGTAATGGTGCTTAAAAATTTCCAGGACTCAAAATCACTTTTAAGCCTTAAAAAACAAAGTTAAGGAACCCTACCGTCTTAAGTTTCTAAGTCTGGAATAAGCCCCAAATTTGTATGTGTTGCAAGTTCCTGGGCGTTACTGCTGTTTCTGGTGGGGCTTATCAGGTCCAGGAGAGCTGTGGAAGGATCTGATAGGACCTGATTGAATGTTGACAGCTGGGTCCCCAGAGAATTCCCCTCAGTACTGCCAGTGTTATCATTTACTCCGATAGATTTTTTTCTGTTAAAAATGTTTTCCTTTATTACATTAAAAGAATTCTGTGCCTTTTGTCTATTAGCCTTGCTCAGTCATCCTCATCACTGGCATCTTTGTGACAACCATGTGGTGATAATTATAACAAATGGTAACTTCTGTCTTTCAATTATGTTTCAGGATGATTACAATTCAGAAATTCATGTGATCACAAAAGAAAGAGATGAACTTCAGCGTATGCTAGAAAGATTTGAAAAATACATGGAAGATATACAGTCCAATGTTAAATTATTGACAGCAGAAAGAGATAAACTGAGTACCTTATATACTGAAGTAAGAAATGTATTATAATTAACCCAACTGTTTTCTAAATGATAGAACCGGTTAACCATGGTGAAGCCAATATGTATTCATCAAAGTTCTTTTAACATATGGACCTTGTGATATTCCTTCATAATTAGAATTTTAATTAGTAGTATATTCTCATCTTGTTCTCAAAGCACATATTTCACTTTTTTACATCTATTCTCCCTTCTAGCTTGTGCATGTGACAGATCAAAACTACCTGAACAGGCCTCACTCTGAGCCTAATTTATTCTGGGATTTAGATATGTACCATATGTCTGAATGCCAGAATAAACTTAGGTAGCTCACTTGCTGTTTGGACTATTGGCTATTAAAGGTGTAAACACTAGTGAAAAAGGCTCTGCTATGGAAGAGGAAATCAATATAATATGGCCCCTTTCCCATGCCTCACTTGTCCTAAGGGCAAAGTGAGTCTAAGCAAAGCCTGGTGTCTGTCATCAGATTTTGTCCTGTCAGTCTTCTTGCTGTTTTGACAGGAGGTGAAATTTTTGCTTATTTTAGGGTTTGGCATACAAATTAATCCACTTTTGGAGTTTCTTGACAGTACTTAAATTTCAGCTCTCTTGGGTCTGCCTAGCTAATTTCTGTTTGTCTGTCTAGTCTCCAGCATTTTGTAGTTACTACATCTTTCAAATATCCTTTTTGGTTTTATCATTTGATTTGAATCCTTTCCCCATTACTTTGTTGGAATTTGGGAAGACAGTGGAAATAGCATGTATTTAGTTTATCTTTTCAAAATAGTGGATGCATTCAAAGTGTTTATTTATGTCTTTAATTCTCTAAGGCTCAAGAAGAACTATCTACATTAAGACAAGAATCCTCCCAAACCACAGTCCCTAGTAATCTCGTTAGTCTTATGGAAAAGGAAAAGGAACTTGCAATGTCTGACTTAAGAAGACTTATGTCAGAAAGGGAAGCCTTAAAAGAAAAGTTAAAAGTAAGTAGTCCGGGGCTGGGAATGTTGCTTAGTGATAGAGTATTTGCCTAGCATGCATGAAGCCCCTGGGTTCGATTCCCCAATACCACATCAACAGAAAAAGCCGGAAGTGGCACTGTGGCTCAAATGGTAGAATACAAGCCTTGAGAGGCTCAGGGACAGAGCCCAGGCCCTGGGTTCAAGCCCCAGGACTGACAAAAAAAAAATTAATACAATTCACATATTAACGTGTATTTTCCTATGACACTGCTAATGATGCACATCTACATGGTATGGGCAAGTGGCCCAAGCTGGCAGACCCAGCTTGCCCTATTAGGCTCAGCCTGTAGCTAAGAGTGCTTTCACTTTCTACATTGCTTTCAAAAAACAAAATAAAACAAAAAAATTAAAAGCAAAAAAAAAAAAACAAAAACAAGAGAAGACTATTTCATTGTGAGAAAGTGTTACTGGAATATGTTTACAGCCTGTAGTTTTTTTGTGTGTGTGTGCCAGTTAAGACATGCAGTAGAGACATTCATTCTACAATATGTGCTGTCTGGTTTTTTACAGAAAATATTTGTTGACCCCTGAACTCAAAGGGAAGTTTTTCATGTGAAGAATGACACTTTTTAAAAAAATAAATAAAAGAATGCCATACAGTTGACCCATTTAAAAAAAGTATAATTCAGTGGTTTTTAGTATATTCATAATGTACAATCTTTACCACAGTCAACTTTGGACACACTAGGAAACTTTGTATCCATTTACTGTCAGTTTCTTTCCTCATGGGTCTCCTCAGACACAGGCAACCTGTGACATACTTTCTGTCTCTGGATTTGTCTATTCTGGGCATTTCGTATATATTGAATCATTGAATATGTGGGTTTTGTTTTGTTGTGTTACAGTGCCAGGAATTGAGCAATAGGCCTTTGAACATATAAAGCAAGCAATCTACCATGGAGTGAACTATATCCCCAGTTGAAATATGTCATATTTTTATATCTGGCATTAGCATGTACTTTGAGGTTCATCTACAAACAATCCTTGAACATTTGTTTGTAAGTTTTTAGCGTGGTCATGTGTTCATGTTTCTTGGGCATATCCTGCTTATACGGTAGCTCTCTAGGTCATCTGCTGAATTTCCATAATCACCAAGGCCAAACTATTTTCCAGAGTTGGCTTACCATGTTACACCCCCACTATCGTGAAGAAGGGCTCTAGCTTCTCTACATCCACTTCAGTGCTACTCTTACCTGCCATTTTTATTATACTCTTTCATTATGGTTTTGATTTGCATTTCCTCAGTGCTTAATGATGTTAAGCATCTTTTCAGGTGCCTATTGGCCAGTTTAATTTAATTTGATCATTTAAAAAAAAAAAATCTGTTGAGATTTTTTGCCATTTTAACATTAGGTAGTTTTCCTCATTATTATTGACTGAAAGTGTTTTCATATATTTTTGAAACAGCCCCTTCCTTGTCAGTACTGCCTTGCAGATGCTTCTGTGGGTCTTTGAAGTCCAATTTATCCTGTTTCCTTAGTTGCTTGTGTTTTAGAGTCATATCTACAGGAAGTATTTTAAAATTCCTTTTGTAATCTCCCCCCAAATAAATATGTTAGTATTTGTGAAGTACTTAACAATGTTCAGCACATTATGAGTATTATTATTATGAAATCTGTTCTTTCCATGCAGTTTATGTTATAAAATTAATGCTTTGAAAGTAACAGCTAAACTTAGGGGAAAAAATAGGCATTTTAATGGTAGTCTTTATGTTACAAATTTGACCCCCCATAATGCAGTTTGCAAATGTTTTCAATTGGAATCTTTGATAAAATGCCTTCCAAAAAGTTTTTTCCTATAAAATTCAGTGTTAAAATGACCAACACGAGGTCTGGGAATGTGGCTTGGTGGTAGAGTGCTTGCCTTACATGCATGAAGCCCTGGATTCGATTCCTCAGTACCTTATACACAGAAGTGGCACTGTGGCTTAAGTGGTAGAGTGCTAGCCTTGAGCAAAAGAAGCTCAGGGACAGTGCCCAGACTCTGAGTTCCAGACTCAGGACTGGCAAAAAAGAAAAAAAAAAAAAAGACCAAACACAAAACTTGTGTGTAATATGGTAACTTTTAGCACAGGCTACTCATTTTTCTTTTCCATGTGTGTTGAAGTGACCAAAAATGTAAAAATAGCTCTTTAAATATTTAAACAGTAGTACTGAAAACTTGGGACGAGTAACATTCAAACTACTAGAATCCTTTTGGGTTGTGGAAGACAGGATTTTATGAGTTTTCAATGAACTTTTACTTAACAACTGAATCCCTCAGTCTCCTAGTGAGAAAGCTACTCTGCTCCTAACCCAGTTGTCAAGTCTAGGTGTTAGGGCTAAAGTGTCCCTGAAAGCTCCTGTCTTCTAAATATTAACTGGATTCCAGCAGTGCTACTTCATTTCCAATATTGAACAAAAGTAAGCTTTAACCATGGGGGAGGATCTGTCCCAAGTGCCTTCTGTACGTGCTCTGTCTTGGAAATTATAAAAGTCTTTTCTCATTGGTGCTGCTTACAGATGATGTCTCTGAATTACAGTGATCTTTAAGTAATTTGCCTAGCCTCCCCCATTGTGCGTTACAAGGAGTCTGACTCCTGTGTACTTGTTACTTTCTTCTACTCTGTACTTCCTTCTTTGTGTCTGCTCCCAGCCTGTTCTGGTTATTAATTTTTTTGGGGGGGGGTCCTGTCGTGGGGCCTGAATTCTGGGCCTGGGCGCTGTCCCTCAGCTCTTCAGCTCAAGGCAAGCACTCTACCACTTGAGCCACAGCACCATTTCCAGCTTTTTTCTTTTTGCTTATGTGGTGCTGAGGAATCGAACCCAGGGCCTCAGACATGCAAGGCAAGCGCTCTACCACTGAGCCACCTTCCAGCCTACTTATTAAGTTTTCATCTGCATTGTTAGACTTCATTTTTATCCCTATTTAACACTCAGAATTATCTTTCAGAAATGTCTGTGTCACTTTCTATTTAATTAAAATCCACAAACTGTTTTACAAACACTGTAGTGATTGCTCCTTGCCTACTTCTAGGTCTAGTGTCTTTTTCCCTAAACTCACCTTTGCTGTTCCTTACTCCTGTTTTTCATAAAATTCCAACCTTACTGGCCTTTTTCTTGCCTTTTGTCTTCTCTGTAAACAATTGAAAGATTCATTCATTCACTTCTCCTAATTCCCTTCTCTAGTGCATTCTTATTCATCTTTAAATTCAGCTTAAATATCAGATGGCAAATAAATGCTAGCCCTAGATGCCTTTTTGTGCCCTGTTTTTCTTAGATCTCTTATGGGGCAACAGTCCTTACTTACTCTGCTAAGCTTTTGGTTTTTTTATACTTGTGCTAATATGGATTAAAATGTGTAAGTCTTTTTTTTTAATTGTGAAAATACTGTACAGAGAGGTTACAATTAGATGGGCAAGATAATGAGTACATTTCTTATCAAGCATTGTAGCCTCTTCCTTTGTTTCCCCTTCCCATCCCTTCCCATCCTTCCCCCCCACCCCCTACCCTCCCTTACCCCCGCACTAAAGTTGTAAAGTTCATTTTCGACATAAAGACTTGTACATCTCATTGTTGCAATGGGTCCACCTGTATCCCTATTTAAACGATTTGTGTGTAAGTCTTTATAAATGAATCTGCCATGCCATGTCTTTTATAGACACACCTGGAGGTAGAGATTGTAGATGATAGCCTGTTGTGCTTTCCTAAATCCAGAAGCAATTTTTTTAAAATAATGATCTTTCTAAAACAGATCTATGGTTTATGAAAAGAAAACATAGCCCTATAGACTTTCTTACTTACTTTGGTCACTTTGTTTTATTATCAGATATAAACGAGCAATTTTCTACAAAATTCTCTTTCAGAACATCCAAGAAATGAATGTTTTTGGAAAAGCAGAATTAGAGAAGACTGTTGAACATTTGACACATGTTAATCATCAGGTAATTTGTTAAACTAGTTTTGGGACACATTGTGTTTTTATGAATGGCTGTGGCTGATAAACTCCGGGTGGACTATGTAACATAATATTGCTGGCAAAGCTGCTACACAGCTACACAGTTGGTACTGTGTGTGCCAAAGGCTGAAATGGGTTCCAGTCCACTTCTGTCTGCTGAACCTATAGGAAAACTGCCTGACCTTTCTGTGCCTCAGTTCCCTTATTTATAAAGTATTAGGGCTATTGCTTTTCAGTCGTTTTGTGAAAATTAAATGGATTAGTAATACAAGTAAAGAACTTAGAAAAGTGCATATTGAAGGGCTCAGTTGCTATTGATGATTATTGTGGTTTTGGTCTTGTAAAAATAATTACATAACACAGCATAAAATAGGAAGTGTCCTCTCAGGGGCTCAAGTCCCTTATATAAAACAAATAGTATTTGCATATCCTATGCATATCTTCCCATATGCATTTTTTTGTGTCAGTACTGGGGCTTGAACTCAGAGTCAGAGTAATCTCCCTTAGCTTTTACCCTCAAGGCTGTCACTCTGCCACTTGAGTCACAGCTTTACTTTGGCTTTTTGATGGTTAATTTAGATCTTGCCTGGGCCTAGCTTTGAACCACAGTCCGTAAATCTTAACCTCCTAAGTAACTAGAATAACAGGTATGAGGCAACAATGCCTGGTAACTTCCCATTTACTTTTAAATCACATTTAGATCACTTATGATACCTTATGCAAAATCAGTGCTATGTACATAATGTTACAATATATAGATTAGGGAATGATAACATGTATATGCTCTCAATACAGATGCATCCATCACAAGACTAAGTACATCGCATAGAACCCACTTAGCCAAATCTAGATACTATGAACATACATGCTTTGAGAATGTATACTGAGTTCCAGAAGCATCAAAAAATATAAAGATAAATAAAAATACATGCTTTTTAATAGTGAGAAATACAATATGCCTATGGATAAATTTCTAGGCCCTTTATAGAAAAGATTGTTCAGCCTTATTGAAAAAAGGACTATATAAGTGAAGGAATGTATATGAAAAACTTGACATATGTTATTTAAAGCAATATAAATTCTCCCCAAGTTGCTCTGTGGAGTTGGTATAGTTCCAGCTAAAATCTCAAGTAGTGTGTGTGTGTATATGTTATGGAAATTGTCAATAGCTTCTAAAATACACATGGAAACAAAAGAATCCAACATTTTAAAGACCATGATGGTAGGTTTGCCCTACCAGGTATGAAGGCTGTAGAGTCGTTGTAATTAAGATAGGAGTGGAAGGCTAGGAATGTGACTTAGTGGTAGAGTGCTTGCCTAGCATGCATGAAGCCCTGGGTTCGATTTCTCAGTACCTCATAAACAGAAAAAGCCAGAAGTGGTGCTGTGGCTCAAGAGGTAAGAGTGCTAGCCGTGAGCAAAAAGAAAGTTTAGGGACAGTGCTCAGGTTCTGAGTTCATGCCCCTGGACTGGCAAAAAGAGAAGGAAGGAAGGAAGGGAGGGAGGAAGGGAGGGAGCGAGGAAGGGAAGGAAGAAAGGAAGGAAGGAAAGAAGGAAGGAAGGAAGGGAGAAAAGAAAAGAAAGAAAAGGATTGGATTGGGCCTATAAGAATCCCTTGAGGGTAAACACAGAATCCCAACACACCAGAGAACTCAGAAAAAGAGTGGTTACCAACTAATGGCTTCTGGGACAGGTGGCTATTTACATTGAAAGAGGAAAAAGTTTTCTCTTCCCTCAAATATATCATACCTCCACATCATTTCAAGATTTATTTCATGAATGTTCAAAACATACTGCATTTTTTTTTCTGGTCCTAGGTTTGAACTCAGGGCCTGGACTCTATCCCTGAGCCATTTTGTGCTCAAGGCTCTATCACTTGAGCCGCAGCTCCACTTCAGCCTTTTCTGTTTATGTGGTACTGAGGAATTGATCCCAGGGCTTCATGCATGTTAGGCAAGCACTCTACCACTAAGCCCAATTTGCTACATTATAAATACCATTTTTCAAAGCATATTACATTTTGTAAAGAAATGCAGGAGAAAATCTTGAGACATCATAATCTTGAAGAATTAATAAGAGAAGTATTTATATAGTATTTACTGTATGTCAGGCCCTTGTCTCAACGTTTTTTTTTTGGGGGGGGGTCCAGTTGTAGGGCCTGAACTCTGGGCCTGGGCGCTGTCCCTCAGCTCTTCAGCTCAAGGCTAGTGCTCTACCACTTGAGCCACAGCACCACTTCCGGCTTTTTTCTTTTTGCTTATGTGGTGCTGGGGAATCGAACTCAGGGCCTCAGGCATGCAAGGCAAGCACTCTACCACTGAGCCACCTTCCCAGCCCCTGTCTCAACATTTTATATGTATTATTTAATTTTCATAACAACTATGTAGAGTAATACTAACATTATCCTTTTCTCAGAAAGTAAACTGAGGCCAAAGGAAATATGTCTAAGACCATGTGACTAGTGCCAGAACATGAATGAGTTGATTTGTGAAAGGAAATAGATAAATAGGACCCATAATAAAGATACCTCTATTAATCTAATTATGATGCATTGAAAAGACAAACCATTAGTGGGAAAAGAACTTGCTATACATTTAACACCCTCTCACCTCTACCTACATCTCAAAAAAGTTCAAGAGGTGTGGCTAAACACAACATTTCATGGTGGAGGAAATTACAATAACTAATAAATCTAAAAAGATGTTTTACGGCTGGGAAGGTAGCTAGGTGGTAGAGTACTTGCCTTGCATGCATGAGGCCCTGGGTTCGATTCCTCAGCACCACATAAGCAGAAAAAGCTGGAAGTGGCGCTGTGGCTCAAGTGGTAGGGCGCTAGCCTTGAGCTGAAGAGCTGAGGGACAGTGCTCAGGCCCAGAGTTCAGACCCACAACCAGCAAGAAAAAAAAAAAGATGTTTTACTCTACTGGGCACCAGTGGCTCATGCCTATAATCCTAGCTACTCAGTAGGCTGAGATCTGAGGATCACAACTTGAAGCCAGCCCAGACAGGAAAGTTTGTAAGATTCTTATCTCCAGTTAACCACCCAAAAGCTACAACTGGAGCTGTGGCTCAAGTGGTATAGCAGTAGCCTTGAGTATAAAAGCTCAGAGACAGTGCCTAGGCCCTGAGTTCTAGCCCTAGGACCAGAAGATGAACAACAACAAAAAGATGTTCTACCTCAGTAATACAAAGTTAAACCACAGTAAAATCATTTTCCACACACATCAGATCACCAGAAATTGGCAACCTGTAAAAAGTACTAGCACAAGCTGGTGTAATCCTAACTACTCAGGAGGCTGAGATCTGAGGATCATGGTTCAAAGCCACCATGGGACAGGAAAGTCCATGAGAATCTTATCTCCAATAAACCACAAGAAAACTGGAAGTGGTGCTGTGGCTCAAGCGTTATAGTGCTCTCCTTGAGCTGAAGAACACAGGGACAGCGCTCAAGCCCACAGTTCAAGCCCTACAACTGACCAAAAAAAAAAATATTTGCACATAGATTTATGTGGCTCCTGAGAATGTAAACAAACACTTCTTGCAGAATAATGTAGCCTTGTATTAGTCAGCCTATTGTCAGTGTGACAGTAACCTGAGAAAAACAACGTAAAGGAGAAAAGGCTTATTTTGACTCTCAATTTCAGAGGTTTTCGACCCTAGTTGTCTGGCTCCATTGCTTTGGACCTGAGGTGAGGCAGAGAGGGTGAGCTGAGAGGGTTTGCTGATGGAGCAGAATGCTCCCCTCATGACAGAGAACACAGGGAATGAAAGAAAGGAACAGGTGACAAGATACTTCCTTCAGAGGTCCTGCAGACTCACTTCCTCTGCCTAGGCTCCTGAAGTGTCACCTCCTCCCACAGCACTATTGCCTGGAGACCACACCTACCACAGCTGAACCTGTGGGGCATTAAGTTTAATTATAGTATATGCCCTTCAGAAGAATTATATTTTATGTCCTTCAGGAGAATTTTCATTTCCTCCCATGAATCACACTCATTTTATGTTTGGGTTAATATGTTTTCTGCTTTGGTTCTTCTTCAATTCTTTTCTACTTATGTTTTTTCTTCAGAGATTCCTCCACTTTTGTTCTTTACTATGGTCTCCTTTCTTTCATTGTTGTTATAGATTTATTCTCCTCTCTTTCATTTCAGTAATAGAAGAAAGGAACATATTCCCATCCTGACATCTTTTAATTTTTTGCAAATCTAAGTTATTTCCTTAATTTTCTTCCAGAATATTAGTATGCCTATGAAAGATGAAATTAGATGTTAACATATATGCCTATTATTTTTTCATTTAAATTATAGCTTGAAGATGAGAAATATGAATTACAAACTAAAATGTTAATAATGAAAGAAACAATAGACTCATTAGAGAACAAATCAAATCTTCAAGCTCAAAAACTTAACCATGTGGCCGGTGACTCATCTCATCAGAAAACAGAGATGAATTCCCTTAGGTAAGTCATTGAAACTTGTAGTATTTCACATCAGGGACAGGCTTCAAGCCTTGGAGCAGAATCAGCCAAGAGCTTCTGAAAAGCATGTTCTCCAGGGTTCTCTTTTGCTAAGGAAATCTAATTAGGTGTTTTTTTTTTCCCCCCAAACTTTCACCAATCAGTATAATTATAGGCATGTTTGGTACCTTCACCTTTTTAAAACCCCATTAACAGAAACTTCATTTCCTTTGTAATCATAGATTATATTTACTTTGTAAATTTGCCAAAATTTTCATTTTATGTCAAAAGTAATTATTACACAATCCAATTATAGGTATTTTTTTCCTCATGTTAAAAATAAATAAATCAGTGAAAACAAGCCAGGCACTGGTGACTCACATCTATAATCCTTGCTACTCAAGAGGCTGAGATCTGAGGATTGCAGTTGGAAGCCAGCCTGGGAAGGAAAGTTTATTAGACTCTTATCTCCAGTTAACCACCAAAAAAGCAGAAAGTGGAGTTGTAGCTCAAGTGGTAGAGCAGTGGCCTTGAGTACAAAAGCTCAGGGATAAGCCTTGAGTACAGTAGCTCAGGGATAATGTCCAGGCCTTGAGTTCAAGCCCCAAGACTGGCACAAAAACAAACAGAACAAAAAAAATACTCCAAATTACTTGTGCTTTATAGTATAGGATTATTGAAAATTTCAGACTCTTGCTACCTGTATCTTCTTGATTTCCTTTTTTTTTTTTTTTTCTTTGTAACTCTTTCTGATTTAGAAACATGTGTATGTGTGGGCACCAGTACCAGGACTTGAACTTCAGACCTTATGTTCTCATGTGGCTTCTTTGCTTATGCTGATGCTTGAGTCATCCCCCCAACCCAGTCTTTGCCTAGTGAATTGGTGATAGAGTCTGGCTAACTTTTCTACAGAGATCTCAGAGGTCTCAGTCTCCTGAATAGCTAAGATTATAGACATGAAACACTTTTAGCCAGCTAGAAAATGTTGTGTTGCTTTTGAGTTGGTGAGGTTGGAACTCGCTTGCTTGCTTGCTTGCTTGCTTAGCTGACACTCTGCTGCTTAAGCCATACCTCCAGCCCAGAAACATACTTTTTTTAACCCAGGGGAAATAAGAGGGACATGAGTGTAAACATCACTTTTAGAAAGCTAATTGCTAGCAATGTGGAACTTGGACTAGAAGTCTTTTAGGCAAACGATAGAGACCAAAGGTCAGAACTGAAACATTGGAAGTGAACTTAGAAAATGAAGAGAGGTCTTACATAAAATCCAAGGGTTTAGCTGATGTGAGGACAAAGAAGCAATAGTCTAGATTGTAACCTTAGAATATTGGATTCTTGGTTAAGACACTGGGAAAGGGATTGCAGCTAGGAAACTGAGAAGAACTTAAAACTACCAAGGAGCTCCTAAGAGTATACAATTAATTTTTGATTTTTATACTATATTATTTTTAGGAAGATGGAACCATTTTGGAGAAGAATGGTGAACAGCAAGAAATATTATGTAATATAATGACATTGATTATACTGGAAGAGATTTAAAATAAAAGAATCTTAAATAAGAAATGAAAATATTTTAAGACCTCTCATTTGAGAAATCATTACTATGAGAGATAAAGAATACCATTTGTTTTTGTCCACTGATTCTCTAGGATAGTCAATGAGCAGCTACAGCGGTCAATTGATGAGTATCAGCACCGACTCTCCATAAAAAGAAGTGAACTCGAATCCGCCCAAGAGAAAATTAAAATACTAGAGGAAAAAATAGGTAAGTGTTCCTAAGTCTCACCTTGGCTAATCCTAGTTTACTCTATCTAACAAGCATTTCTCTTCATGTATAGATAACCTAACCCTGCAGATGACATCCCAGAATGAGGAAGTTCATGTCATGAAGAAGACCATTGGTGTTATTGATAAAGAGAAAGACATTCTCCAGGAGACAGTAGATGAGAAGACTGAAAAGATTGCGAACTTTCAAGAAAACCTAGCTAATAAGGTTTGTGATTGTTCGCTACTATTTTCTAGCATGTGGACAGAAAATAATTTTATCCCTCATTTCCAATATGAAGTTGTTAGAGTTCCTAAGAGCAGGACTGTGTGACATGTTTACATTTCTTTTTATCCTCATCATTTGAATTTTCAAAATGGGATCTTAATCTGTTTCTAGAATTTTATAAGGTCTCATTTTATGATTTTATGAGATCTCATTAAAACAAGCTATAAATAAATCACTGAAGTTCTCAGGAAGGGTGAAAATATGCTGATATGGGAAACAAATGAATGGGATAGGAGAACCCATTTCACTTAAAGTTCTCTTCATGCAAATTTTATGTAATTGAACTATTATACTTAACCACTGTGTAAATATGATAGATCATACAAATTTAGCTAAAGATATTTCTGTTTGAATGGCTTAGAATGTTTTATATTTCCATAGGAAAAAGTTATTGCTCAGATGAAGAAAACTATCTCAGAATATGAATTATCTATGAAGTAAGTAATTAATGAGATGGCATCTATTTTTTTTAAGGAAATACTCAATGAATACAGCTTTATCTATTTGGAAACTATCTAGTAATAGGAATATTTCCCCATTTTTTTCCCAGCAGCAACATTTTTCTCATTCTCCTTAAAAATAATGTTCTTTTTAACTCCTCTTCCATCATCTCTATCTGATTACTTGATACTGATTACTCAGTAGCTTTTCTCTTAAGCTTGTACTTGCTGTTTATTTTGAATATAATTATCCTGTTCAGATCTTAAAACTCAGATGGCTGTGAAAAAGCAATTTGGGATTTTATTCTGCACCTAATCCTATCTTCAGTACTGTCACAAAATTTTAAGTGTTATATCTAGTCTTTCCAGAGAGACCATAAGCTGCTTTATTAAAAACAGGTCACTAATTGTATATTCTGTATTCCTTCACATCTTAATAGTGGGGATATAAATATTTAACAAATATTTACCAGTTGAACATATTATGCTTTACTCGTAAGGGTCTACTTAGCTTTTGGAATAATATGTTTTTCATTTACATATGCTGATTGATACAGATCTGCAATGGCTGATTTCCCTAATTAATCAGGATCTAAATGGAGCAGTTATAATTCTTGTACTCTTACTATACTTAATTCAGGATACAAGTATTTTTGTTAAACAAATGACAGATTTTCAAAAAGCTCTCTTTATTATTACCACATTATTCATTTAAAAGCCAGCTAAAGGAAACATTGGGTAATCGAGACCGGGAGATATGCTGCCTCCGACGCCAGCTTGATACAGTTCAGAAAGAACTGGATGAAGTGGGGAAATCGAGAGAGGTGGCTTTTAAGGAAAACAGAAGATTACAAGATGATCTGGCTACAGTGGCAAGAGAGAACCAGGTACGAACACCATGTGCATAAACTTAAAGTTTATAAAATCTAAGTATTTTCTTCTAAATGTAATGATATAAACAAAAAAATTATTCTTTAAGAAGAACTGTTTGTCATACTGCTAAAGCCTTGTAGTCTAGAATGTTCTGTTGTGTTTGTCATACTGCTAAAGCCTTGTAGTCTAGAATGTTCTGTTACAGATTGTCTACTAGGCACAACTGTGATCCCACCATTTTGATTTTTGTTGCAAAAGACCTAAAACTGAGAGCTCAGAACTCCACCAAGCAGAGGTCATTATCACAATATTGTGATATTGAGGCCTCAGCATTGCCCCAGAGCAATGGTCTGTGTATTCAAGATTCCTGCTGGGTGCCAGTGGCTCATACCTGTAATCCTAGCCACTCAGGAGGCTGAGATCTGAGTATCATAGTTTGAAGCCAGCCTATGCAGGAAATCCGTGAGACTCTTACTTCCAAATAACCACCAGAAAACCAGAAGTAGCACTATGGCTCCAAGTGGTAGAGCGCTAGCCTTGAGTAATAAAAGCTCTGGGACAGTATCCAGGCCCTGAGTTCAACCCCCATGTCCAACAACAACAAAAAAGATTCCTGATCAATTTTAATCATTAGTGCTAGCTTCCATTGGCTTAGAGATAAACCTGGAATTAAATTAGTGAATATTTTAGAATGCCAACTATTGAAAGGCATCATTTATGCTGATTTATTATAGAATTATGTAAGGAAAACTAAGTGCTTTTCCTGTTTAAGTACTTTTTAATGTAACTTTGAGACATAATAATAGAGACCTAATAATAGTGGTATATCCTACTATACTAGACAGCCAGGTGCTGGTGGCTCATGCCTGTAATCCTCGTTACTTAGGAGGCTGATATCTGAGGATCTGAGGCCATGAATATCCATGAGGCTCTTAAAAAAAAGTTTGTAGTATTATTGTAAAGCATATTGCTGATATGTGAATTTTGGGAAAAAAATAAAAGATTAACAAAAGAAGTCAACCCCTAGCCATAACCATAACTAAGCTTTTAGTATAGAAGTGAGATACATGGTCAGGATTATTTCACGAGAGGTATGGTCAAGTTTGGTGAAAAAGTCAAGCGCAGACCAGAAAAACTGTATGAAAATAGTATTTTGGGAGTTTTTCTTTTCCCTTTCCCTCTTATTCCCCAGTTCCAAAGGAGCCACTTGAATTTAAGAAAACTTCCTTGGATACTGTGCTCACTGTGTCTGGTTTGTCTGCAACTTCTAACTGCAGGAAATCTCATTGGAATTGGAAGCAGCGGTGCAAGAGAAAGAAGAAATGAAGAGTAGAGTTCATAACTACATAACTGAGGTGTCGCGATGGGAGAGCTTAATGGCCTCGAAGGTGACAACACTGTTGAACTTGCATTTAAGGCTGACTTAGATCTGGGTACTGTCTCAGCTTTTTTGCTTAAAGCTGGTGCTCTACCACCTGAGCACCAAGTCACTTCCATCTTTTTGGTGTGATTGATAGTAGATAAGAGTCTTACAGCCTTTTTTTTTTTTTTGCCAGTTCTGGGGCTTGAACTCAGGGCCTGGGCACTGTCCCTAAACTTCTTTCCTCAAGGTTAGCATTCTACCACCTGAGACACCACGCCACTTCCAGCTTTTTCTGTTTATGTGGTACTGAGGAATCCAACCCAGGGCTTCATGCATGCTAGGCAAACACTAAGCCACATTCCTAGTCCATCTCACAGATTTTCCTGTCCAGGTTGGCCTCCTGAGTAGCTAAGATTACAGGTGTGAACCACCAGTGCCCAGCTTAGACAGCACTTCCTTGAATTAATTGGCTGCTATACCAGTACCCAGCTAACACTGGCCTGTTAAACTTGTTATTATCGTTCTCATGTTTGTTTATTTTGCCTCCACTATTAGATATTAAATATTTGAGAGTAGAGATATTGTCCATTAGCTACATGTTTCCCCAGAGACCTTAGTGTAGTTACTGTGACAGATATCCACTGACAGATTTCCTAGTATGTGTGTGTGTGTGTTTTAACATTAATGTTCCACTAATAGTTATTAATTCTGAAATTACTGAATTATGTTAACCTAGGAAAAAGAAAATCAAGATTTGCTAAACAGATTTCAGATGCTCCATAGCCGTGCTGAGGACTGGGAGGTGAAAGCCCATCAGGCTGAAGGAGAAAGCAGCTCCGTGCGCCTGGAGCTCCTTTCTATTGACACAGAGAGGAGACATCTTCGAGAACGGGTGGAGCTCCTAGAGAAAGAAATACAGGAGGTGAGGCTTTATTCATTTGGTAACCCAAAGAGCATTTAAAGATATTTTACTGAAGTAAGTGTGTGTATATATATGCAAGCATATTGTGGGGTGTATGTGTGTATGAGTGCACATGCACTTGTGTGCACGTGTGCGTCCGTGCTCATGCTGGATGTCGGACCCAATGCTCTTGCTGATTTCTTTCTCACGGCTGGTATTCTATAACGTGAGCCATTCCTCCAGCCCACGTTTTTCTGGCAGATTGGAAAATGGAGTGTTTTCTGCCTGGGCTGGCTTCAAATGATAGTCCTCCACATTTTAGTCTTCTGATTATAGGTATGAGCCACCAATTCCCAGCTTATATGTAAGCCTTCATAAGTCATGTTCAGTGGCAGTGCTTTGTCATCCGTTTTGAAGCCCTGTTACTGTATTTTTACTGTAGTTAAGGATAGGTAACCATTTTAACTGTTTTCAAGTGTACAATCCTGTGGCATTAAATGCATTCAGAGTGGTGTGAGTAATCACTGCTGTCTCCAGGAGTTTCCATCTATCCCAGCTAAACTTCTGCATATTAAACTCTACTCCCTGTTCTTCCCTAGCTTCAGCTCCTAGCGACCACAATTCCACTTGCTTTCTGCTGAATTTGACTCCTCTGTGTTCCTCCTATAAGTGTCCCTCCTATTTGTCCTTTAGTGGCTGGCTTTTTCCACTTAGCCTTAAGATTCATTTTACCTCAAGATTCATCCATATTTTGGCATGTTTCATTCCTTCTTAAAGCTTAGTAGTAGTCCATTATAAGTATATACTACATTTCGTTTATCCATTTATCTTTTGACAAGCATTTAGTTTGTTTAAATAGCCACCTTTTGACTATTGAAAATAATGTTACTATGAATACATAGGGCTATGCAAGTACCTGTTCAGATCCTTCCTTCTTCCCTCCCTTTCTTCTTTCCCTCCTCCTTTCCTTTCCTAATAGAAGTGAAGTAATATTTCACTGGAGTTTTGGCTTTTCTTTTCATAATGATTGGTATTGTTGAACATATTTTGCTTATTAAGTCTTCTTTGGAGAAATGTCTACTCAAATTATTTTCCATTTTAAAATCAGGTTTTTGTTGTTATAGGAGTTCTTTACATAGTCTAGAGATAAATGCTTTACTAAATGTTAGAAAACATACTATCTGTATAATTTTTTTCTTGGTTAGAAAACTAACAGCTGGAAATGCTTCTTAACCATCAAGAGTTCCTCAGAAGCCATGCCTTTTTTAATTGTTCACATTCTTATGTGATATATGAACTTAATTTTGTTTATTATATTTGAAGTCTGTTAAAATAATCATTTTTATTTTTCTGTTTTGGTCATCATGGGTATTGAACTTGGCCTGAGTGCTGTTCCTCAGCTCTTTTGCTCAAGGCTAGCTCTCTCCACTTTTTTTTTTTTGCCTGTTGTGGGCATGAATTCTGGGCCTGGGCGCTGTCCCTCAGCTCTTCAGCTCTTCAGCTCTACCACTTGAGCCACAGTGCCACTTCCAGCTTTTTCTGCTCATGTGGTGCTGAGGAATCCAACCCACAGCTTCATGCATGCGAGGCAAGCACTCTAGTGTTGAGCTAACTTCCCAGCCCGTGGCTCTCTCCACTTTGAGACACAACAACACTTCAGTTTTCTGGTGTTTAATTGGAGATAAGAGTCTCATGGACTTTCCTGCCCAGGCTGGCTTTGAACCAGATCCTCACATCTCAGTGTCCAGACTATCTGGGTTTACAGGCATAAGCCACCAATGTCCATCTAAAATAATATCTTTGTAAGTGTAGAGTTCTTCTCAAACTGTAGAAGTACAATTTAATAAGTTTAAAATTTTCACTCAAATTTTATAATTGTGAGAAATTTGAAATGTGGATTCTTCTAGGAAAAATTTTTTATTAATATTTTAAATTTTGCTGTTTCAAAGTTACTGAAATCATATAAAGTTATATGTTATTAGAATAGACTTTAATATGACTTCATGTTTTTAATTTAAAAATGAACCCCAGTTTTGAAAATTTAGAATTTTAATTGAGATAATTGGCTAATGTGTTTCTCATAGAAAAGACATCATTACAATAAAGAGAAATTATAAAAGGAAAAATTTTTATATAGCTTCAAGGATTCCTTATATTCAAACCACTGAGACACAATTTTCACTTTTTTGCATCTTTCACTTTTGCATCTCATATATATGAGATATATATATATAAATCATGGTAACTAAAGTAGCTCATATATATGAGATATATATATATATATATATATATATATATCTCATATATATGAGCTACTTTAGTTACCATGATTAATCGTGTATCACTTGTACATTCAGTAGTCATTTTAAGTAGCAAGCTACTTCCTGAGTGTTAGAAAATGTGCAAAAATTGACTTTCATTCTTTTCTACAGTGAAATAATGGTTGCACAGCCCTTAAAATTATTGAATACTTTAAATTTTTAACTTATTTTGATGTTTTTTTTCAGCACTTAAATGCACATCATGCTTATGAATCTCAGATCTCATCAATGGCAAAGGCCATGTCTAGATTAGAAGAGGAACTGAGACAGCAAGAAAACGAGAAAACAACAATACTGAATGATTTGTCGTCACTTAGAGAACTTTGCATTAAGCTTGATTCAGGCAAGGATGTCATGACACAGCAACTGAACACCAAAAACCTTGAGTTGGAGAGGGTAAGGATAATGAGAAATTATCTTGGCACGTTGTTCCATTGAGCCTTCCCTATGTGTTTCACTGTTCCACGCACCTTCCAGTTTATATCGTCCCTTTTGAGTAGTTACTTTGACAACAGATTCTTTGCCTGTCTGATGTGGCAATGAAATTAGGTGTTTTCTATTTTGGATTAGATGAGTCTTGAAAAGATGATTGATTTGGAGTATACACCATACATCCTTTCTCTGTTTAAAGATAAGATGGAAGGAAAGATTGTTCAGTGCTTACTCAGTGGAATGTTCTTCCTGATGAAAATCTTAAAGTATTAACTTAATTAAGCAAGCTTCTTCACTACAACTTCTCACTCCCAGATTGAAGCTTACTTCAAACAAGCTAGTATATATTTTCAGACATGGTATTTTTCAGTTTTCACTCTTCTAGTAGTATGTTTTCAGGCACTGAGTAGGTATGGTATTGGCTTGGCTCAGTCATCAGATAGTGTGTTTAGTGGACCAGAGAATTTCCCGGTTCTGCAGTTTAAGATTTTTTGTTGGTGACCCTCTTTTGACAAAGTAGCACAAGTAAAAACTATTAGAGAATTAGAGTATATCTTATAGCCAAGTAAGGCTCCGTAGGAGTTACTTCATATTTTTTAATGAAATGTTTTTCTTATCAAGAAATGGCTTGAAATCTTTAGCCAATACCCAGAATGAAGCAGTCAATGGCTAAATGGCTCTGCAGAGCTCTGTTGTCAGAGTAATAATTTTCCAGATTAAGCCTAAAACTCTACTGAATTAATCTTTGTTTTTCCTGTAGACTATGGTAGAATTAGAAAATGTAAAATCAGAATCAGAGCTGTTAAAAAAACAACTATCAAGTGAGAGACTTACAATTAAAAACCTTGAATCATTGTTGGCTACAAACAGAGATAAAGAATTTCATTCGCATTTAAGTGTCCATGAGAAGGATACAGAAATTCAGCTGCTTAAGGAGAAGTTAACCCTTTCAGAAAGCAAATTGTAAGTGTTATAAGTCAACTGATATGAGGAAAGTACATGTCAAAGTGTATTTTCAGTTTGGGGGAGGACGTTTGTGGTTATAAAGATTCGTATAAAATCAAAGTATCTGACTTCTATATCTGCCACTATTGGAAACGTGGAGGAATAGCTTAGGAGAGTCCTGGTGTTTGGAGCTGTAGACGTCTACCTTTGCCATTGAGATGGTGTCATGGAGTGCATGTTAGGGATTGCCCACATTTGAGAGTGGAAGAGTTACCTGTATCTTATGATGCAGATGAGGAAAAAGGCTGAGAAAGGCTAAGATTTGACCTTCAAAAGTGTATCGCTGCCTTTGGGGAGATGATGGTGGTGTTATTTCATAATGGAGAGAGTTTGGGGGGGCATGTATATGGAAGTGGGTTGGAAACGTAGAGTAGATGGTAGAAGTGGAAGAATGAGCTTTTCAAGCTGTACATGGTAGTATTCCCTTGTAATCTTAGCAACTTGGGAATCTCCAGCAAGAGGATCTCAAGTTCAAGGCCAGCCCAGGTAAAGGTATCAGGATTGTATCTCAAAAAAACAAACAAAAAAACAAACAAAAAAACATGAAAAGGCTAGGGGCCATGGCTCAAGTGGTAGAGCATTTGCCTACCATGAGATAGATAGGCCTTGGGTTCAATCCTTATTACTGAAAAAAATTAATAAATACATAAAGGAAGTTAAAAAACAATTGTTAAAAACAAATGAAAGAAGAGCTAATGAAAATATGCTCCATCTTGGTGTTACAATTCATATGTTGTTCATATTTGTATCCCTAACCCTGATACCACTCCTGGCACATAAAGCCTCAGCATAAATAGTAACCCAGGTAAACTAGAAAGAAAACTTCCTGATGGACTCATTCCCCAGAAGTTTAGAGCACTCTATTTGATATCTTCTTTTTCTGTCCTTAAGTATCACCTCTATTTGTATTTGCACTTGACTCTGTGATATAGAACATGTTTTAATTATTACTGTGATTTTTAAATTTGTTTTTAAGAACTAGTCAGCTCCGAGAAAACACCATGCTTCGAGCTAAAATGGCACAATTGCAAACAGATTATGATACTCTGAAAAGGCAGATTTCAAATGAAAGATATGAACGGTAAGAAAAATATTTTAGCAGTGTTTTCTTATGTTCTCTGTCCTATTCTGGGAAGGATTAATAGGGCTTACAAATGTCAAGCTTTCTTTTAGCATTCATTTGGGAATTAAGTATCTTTGGTAATTCTTTCAAAAAATATTGTGGAAGATAATGTGCCTAAATAAATAAATGAAATCAAAGTATTGCATAAATATAATGTTCCACTGTATAAAATTAGGGCATCATTTCAGTGGGTTTTGACAGATAATTAAGAACAATGTCTACAAGGGACCTCCAAAATTTGGTCCAAGTTGGAAGCTGAAATACAAATAATCATAAAGGTGATGATGATTATTGTTGTAGTAGTGATTACAAAATATGTACCAAGCACCAGGTATCTGTCCCATTAATCTTGCAAACAGTCTCCTGCTATAGTATATTATAGGAAGCTGAAGGTCATAAATGGCAGTCCAGGCACATGTGTCCAGTTCTGTCCACCTCTATATTTGCTTTCATGCTTATATTTCAAGTCATTTGCTTTGTGTTGAAAAATTTAATCCCCAAATAGAAGAGATGAGACCTGCTTTAAAAATTAAAACCAGAGGGCTGGGATGGTAGCTCAGTGGTAGAGTGCTGGCCTTGCATGCCTGAGGCCCTGGGTTCGATTCCTCAGCACCACATAAGCAAAAAGAAAAAAGCCGGAAGTGGCGCTGTGGCTCAAGTGGTAGAGTGCTAGCCTTGAGCTGAAGAGCTGAGGGACAGTGCCCAGGCGCAGAGTTCAGGCCCCACAACCGGACCCAAAAACAAAACAAAAAAAAAAATTAAAACCAGAGCCAGATGCCAGTGGCTTACGCCTGTAATCCTAGCTACTCAGGAGGCTGAGATCTGAGGATTGTGGTTCAAAGCCAGCCTGGGCAGGAAAGTCCGTGAGTCTCTTATCTCCAATAAACTACTAGAAAACCAGAAGTGCGTTGTGGCTCAAGCGGTAGAGCACTCGCCTTGAGCTGAAGAGCACAGGGACACCGCCCAAGCCCAGAGTTCAAGCCCCACAAGCTGCCAAAAAAAAAAAATTAAAACCACACATCGAACTGAAACCCCATTATTCAACTACTTGGTGATAATAAGAGTAAAAAAGAATTAAAATCAAAGTCTACATTGTAATTTCATCACTCTCTAATTAATACTGTATCTATCCTCAAATACTGTATCATTCTCAAATAGTGGTAAAATTACCTGTTAGGTCAGATTTTTAGTTCTCACATTCTCATCCATTTATATAAAAAAAAAACCTTTTAAGTAAGGGACTATTTGCAGAATAGAAGGAATTTGCTGTGTTTTTGATTTCAAAGAAATAGAAAACTTTAGGTTGCAGCAGTGATGTTAATTTCTTCTAATTTAGAAGTTGTTTTCTGAATGTGCCAGACTATACATATATAATGATTTCTATTTGTTAATGATAAATTCTCTTCATCGAGGATCCTGAGCCAAGATTTGCATAGCCAGAATTAAAGACCTCCTCACCTTTGAGTCCTCCCTTTTTGTTGTCCTTGTCCCCCCAAAAAACGATGTCTTTCTTGCTCCTTAACATCTAGCCAAGTTTTGTATTCTCATATGGCATTGCCATCATCCCTCCATTCTCAAGAGACAAAATGGTGCTTGTGAACAAGGGGAAGAGGTAGCAAAAAGACTTAGCTATCATAGCGGACTGGTGGCTCACACCTGTAATCTTAGCTACATGGAAGGCTAAATGTGGGAGGAACTTGATTCAAGGCTATCTAGGCAGAAAAGTTGATCCTCCTCTTGTTCTTAGCTAGGAGCAGTGGCATGCTCCTGTCATCTGTATTCGAGGCTGAAATTTGTCAACCTGGTAAACTTTTTTTTTTTTACTGAAATATGTTATGATCATATTTTGCTTCTAAATTACTCTTTTAATGATATCCTAGTGTTCCAACATGATTATAACATAATTACCTTGAGTAGTCTCTTACAATGTATATTCTTTTTTGAGTTTTATTTTATTGTAATGCTGTACCGAGGGGTTACAGTTAGCACTCTACCACTTGAGCTACAGCGCCACTTCTGGCTTTTTTCTTTTTGCTTATGTGGTGCTGAGGAATCGAACCCAGGGCCTCATGCATGCAAGGCAATCACTCTACCACTGAGCCGCCTTCCCAGCCCCGAAATGTATATTTTTATAACTGAAATCTCTTCCCACTACTTAAGAATCCTATAACACGTAGGCTTTGTATTTAGTAAAAGTACTAAGGCTGGACCAGGGTGTGGTATGTGCTTGTAGTTCCAGATACTTGGGAGGCTGAGGTAGGAGGATTGCTTGTGCTCATGAGTTCAAGATAAGCCTGGGTACACAATAACAAGACCATGTCTCAAATAGTTTTGTGCTTTTGATTTACTCTTTGTGCTTTTTTAAATAAAAACACATTTAGTAGAAATATTGATTAATTTAGCAGGCATTACTTAATTGACATAATACCAACAGTCCTATATTGCTCTTGGATTTTCCATGGTAGTTACATTTAATCTCTCATTTGATTTTTACCAACAGAGAACGAGCAATCCAAGAGATGCGTCGCCATGGCCTTCCTACACCGCCCCTCAGTTCCACTCTGAAGTCTCCTTTACAGACTGCTGAACATGTAGATGTATAGTAACCAGAAATGAATGTAAGTAACACTAAGGAGAGGCAAAACTAATTCAGAAAATAACGTAGTAAAGACAGGGGCTGGTGGTTCATTCCTATAATCCTAGCTACTCAGGAGGCTGAGATCTGAGGATCACAGTTTGGAGCCATCCTGGGTGGAGAAATCCTTTAAGACTCTTATCTCCAATTAACCAGTTAAAAAACAAAAAGCAAGAAAGGAAGTGGAAATGTAGCACAAGTTGGTGGAGAGCTGTGAGTAAATAAATAAAGCCAGTTGAGAGCACAAGGCTTGGAGTTCAAGTCTCATTACCGGCACACACACGCATACACAAACCCCATTATTTTAGAAAGTAATGTAATAATATTGAACACAGAGCAGATTTTGTAAAGTAAATTATAGTCTCTTCTTTTTTTGGCAGTGCTGGGGTCCAAAGCCTTGGACACTGCTACTGAGCTACGTACTCATCCCTCATGTAAATTATATTTACAAAAAAGTGGCAAAAATAGATGCATAGTTAATGGACTTTCATGCTGAACATAGCTCCCTAATGTATACCAGATCAAGAAGCAAAACATTACCTCCATTTGCCTCCATTGTAATAATAAGCCCTGCTCTCAAAGAAGCTGTCCTCACTGTGGAAAGCACAGATTTTTTATTTTTTGCTTTGTTTTGGACATTTTAACCCAGCACAAAGCCTTGACTAAAGCAAATAAATGTGCATATGAGATCAATTGTATATTTCTAGCTTCTCTTCCTCTACCATACATTTAGGAAATACATCCATATTGTGTGGACTTCAGGTGATTTAGTCTTGTTGCTGCATAATGGAATACAAATGCAAACAAAGCAAATCCATTTAGTTACCGTACTATGGACAGGCATGTGGGCTATTACAAGGAGTGCTCTGAGTGTAGACTTAGGAATGAATTGCTGTCACTGACATAGGCACTGAATCTACATATGTTTAAGTTGATAAGCAAAACTGTTTGCCCAAGTAGTCTCAAAGAGGGTGTATTTGACCAAGGAGGAGTCAAAAGAATGTGCTTAGTCACTGGAGATCAAAAAGAATGGAAAGAAGTTAACCAGAACTCTGAGAACTGCAGACACACTGACAGAAACTGTTGTTGAGTCAGTCTTTCTTTAGATTAATGCATTTCTTTGCCTCTTTTCCTCAAAATACTGAGCATAAAGGGTAACGCACATTTCCTCAATGACTCAGAACCTCATTATGAATACTCCTTATGGGCTTGAACACACTGCTGTCCCTTGTTTATAAGACCTATGTTTAAGTGCTTCCTGATTGTTATGCTTTTGCCTTACAGGTTTGTTTAAAACTTTTCTTTTCCTTTTTCACTTTGAGGACTACTTCCATGCTCTGCAACCCCTGTGCCCTCACTTCTGAGCTGCTGAGTTATTTCGAGTGTGGTTAGATGGCTGACCCTCTTGTCATGAAGCCTTAACATAGTGTGATGACATTGTTTCACACTTGATTCACAGATGCAGTTTAGGCGGGGGGTTGACCAGTTATAGTCCGTGGTCCAAGCCCACCCCATTGGCTCTTTTTATAACTTAAGCTTTCCTGGAGTAGAGCTACAGTTTGCACACCTTCTGAAGTGGATTTTTGCACAGGGTCAAGTAATTGTAACCGACCTTGTGGCCTGCATATCTAAAATTCTTATTTCTTGGCTCTTAACAGCATCCGTGTAGCCTCTGGAAAACTCAACTGAAATCTGTGAGAAAACAAGAGTGGAAAGGCAGATAATTTCTTGATTTTATGAAAGCTGGCTTCACCTTGTAAACTCTGTAAAAAATCTTGGGCGGGTAGGGTGCCAGGGGTCCCCAGACTACATTTAAGAGCCACCAATACCAGAGCTGGAGTTGTAGCACAACGGTAGGGCTTCTGCTGAGTTTGAGTTTGTACCAAGCAGCTGCAAATCAAATCAAAAATCATAAGCCTCCACATTCATGCATATATATACATCTTATCTATTAAAGTGTTTATAGGTGTAAAAGAACTTCAGTCTCTAAGTCTGTGATAAATAAGCCTTCTAATTGCATGTATGTGTATATGTAATACAAACTTGGTCACGTTAGTTGCTTTTGAAGTGTACCACTCAGTGATCCTGATGCTTCTTGGGGCTGTGAGCTGTCAGGACTGTTTCTAAAACCTTTTCATCACCTCAACATTACACACACATGAAACTATAGTTCTCTACTCCTGTCTCCCCACACCTTCCTCTCCTCCAGCTAACCTCTTCTCTGTAGCATTGCATTTGCTGAGTCTAGGGTTTCCTGTAAATGGTATCACACATTTGCCCTTTTGTGTGTGGCTTGTTTTGCTTAGAACAGTGTTGTGGGATAGTCTACATTAAAAAAAAAAATCTTTCTCATCAGTTGTTTCCACCATGTGTCTGCTATAAATGTTGGCGCTGTGAGCATTGGTGTACACTGGGTCCTAGTCCTTGTTTTGGGTCCGTCGGTATTCACCGTGGACTATACCTGCCAGGTCCTGGGTCACTCAGTTCACTTTTGGGATGCCCTGGTTTGTATTCCCATCAGCACTGAGCAAGGGCTCTGGTTCTCTACCGCCTGTCCTACTTGATATTTACCATTTTAAAGCTGTCACCATCCCACTACATGGGGATTCGAAACAAATACGTAATTTTTAATTTTGGAATCATGAATTTTCCTCATATCCTAATGTGAGATTGTTAAGTAGTAAGCCATTTTCATTTGTATTTTCTTAATAGTGTCACTAAAACTTTTAAAAAGATTTCCTCCCAAAAGCATTTAGAAACAAATGGCTTGTTTGTGGAATAGTTTCTCAGATTACTGGCTCAATAGTTAAAAATAAATATCGCCAGGCACTTAAGCCTATAATCCCAGCTGCTTGGAAGGTGGATGTCTGGAGGATGGAGGTGAAGCCAATGCAGGCAAAAACTTAGTGAGATCCCATCTCAACAGATAAGCTGACACGGTACGCAAGAGGTATGGGTAGGAGGATCTCCAGGCCTGGATGGAAACACACAAAATCATATCTAAAAAATAACTAAAGGATAGCAGGGCTAGCTAGGGATAGAGTAAGTACCTAGCAAGCTGAGGCCTTGGTGTGAGTCCCATATGGGTTGTGGGGGAGGGAGGGGCGGGGGGCAGTGGTGTATACACATATGCACATACATAAGAAAGATCTAATTTTTGTTCTATTTTTTCACTGTTATATCCAATATGCAATACTTGAAAAGAACCTAAGTAGTTTTTCTCCCTCTCCCACGCCCTCTGCACACTTCTAACACCAGATTCTCCATCACACACCAGTTAGATATCTTATAGTTAGATTCTTAAAGGGAGATAACGTCAGGTCCTACAGGTAAGGGGCTCCACCCACTTCAGATGCCCGTTGGAAGCCCAGGTAGTGACCTCTGCTTCTCACTTGCTCTAAGTCCAGCTGCCCACAAGCCCTGCCCTGCCTCAGGTATCATTCATTTGCTAAAGTGACTCCAATTCAGGCAAGCACTTTATATTGTATCCATTATTACAAAGATCCAGATGAGCGGCCAGGGGAAGGACACCAGTGGAGGAGGTGCGCAGAGCCTCCATGCCCTCGGGATTCCTCCCACACCCTCTGCACCTGCCGAGGCCTCTCACTTCCAACTGTCCTGCTGCCTGGAGCAACCCAAATGCATCTCTTTGGAGTTTTTATGGAAGTTTCGTGAAGTCATTAGTGGTCACCCCCTCTCCCCTCCCCACTGCTCAGGCATTGATCTCTGGTGGACCAGTCCCACCCTAAAGCTAAGGGCCCCCGCCGCTAGTCATCTGTTAGCATACAAAGGCACTTACCAACCAGGAGATTCTGAGGCATGTGCGCCAGGAATCAGAGGCACACGTGGAATATGTACTTATATTGTGTTACCATACCTGCTCACTGAGAAAAACATGAATATGGAAACCCAAATTAAGCCTTTAAACTATAACACAGTCCCTTTCTCAAGTGGTAGAACTGGGTTTAGAGCATAATATTTGTTTTACTAGAGACTACAATTTAGAACAGAATTTAATTTGTTTGTTATGACTATGTCATGTAACCTTGTTTATCATTTTTTTTTCTTAATCCATCTTTCCTTTTTCTACTTTTCAGAATAATGGTTTTCAAGAGACCCTGTGGGGATTTTTTAAAAGAACACAACAGTAATGAAATATATGAAGTACTTGTTCCTGCAAATCATGAACATTGACACAAATTCTACCTCTGTCAACTTTTATTTAAATCAGTGAATATTTATGTAAGAAATTTGGTTGAAAAGAACTCTGTATATTTTCATATGTATGACAAAAATACATATATTAATAGTGCTTAAGTGATGCAAGGTCTATTTTTGTATTATTCCTGACTTAATTACTCTTTAAAATGTACTTATACTGTGAATTAATATAATGTAGTGTTCACATTACGCTTTAGTAATGTTTCTTAATAAGACATAATACATGCATGGAAATGTTCGTATAGTCCTGGTTTTGAGTGTGCTTTGATTTTTTATTTTATTTATTTATTTAATTTTCTCAGTTCTGGAGCTTGAACTTGGGGCCTGGGTATTGTCCCTGAGCTCTTTTGTTCAAGACTAGCACTCTACCACTTTGGGCCACAGCGCCACTTCTGGTTTTCTGGTGGTTAATAAATGGAGATAAAAAGTCTCAGGTACTTTCTTGTCTGCCTGGTCTGGCTTTGAACTGAGATCCTCAGATCTCAACCCCCTGAGTGAGTAGCTAGGATTACAGGCGTGAGCCACCCTGTTTATCCCCACACCTCAGTGTAGTCATGAAGAAGGATCACTTTGAGGGTGAGTCTCACGCGTGTTTCTTGCAAAAATGCAGTGTTCATCACAGATCTGCTCTACCATCACCGGAAAAATATGTTCATGTCTAGGCTCAATAGCAGAAGTCTTGATAAAATAATTACCATGTGTAATTACTAATAGAATAAATGGTGGGAAAGATACATTTACATATTATATGCATTATAGTATTTTGGCTGACACACTCGTAGAATACAAATTTATAACCAAGCTAAAAGCTATATTCAGTTTTGCAAAACAACAGAACACAAATTTGGGGCATTTTTTCCAGTAAATTCTTCAGTGTGTTAAGACTTAAGGGTATATGGAATAAATAGAGTAAAACATGTTAACATTTTGGTGTACATTCAGTGATACCTCCTTTTTGCTTCTAACCTATGTATTGTAACTGACCAGTCTTTTAGGGTGATGTGTAAATGCTGACACAACAGGTCATATACATTGAAATCAGCCTCTCACAACTGACTTTCCAGGTTGTAATTTTAAAGGATCTCAGTGTATACATATATTAATCAATGAGCAGAAGTACACAACAGAATGTCAGGTAGAAAAACTAGTGGTGTTTAAATGACACATATGTGCAGAAAGCCCAGTTGAGTCCAGTGGATGCTGTGATTGTACAGGCACACTGGGAAAGGGAAGGACCACACCTGTGTGCGATACAATGTGTTTCTGTGTATAATGAGGTGTGGTTGGGGTGTGTGTGTGCTTGGGGGAGGGAGGTGCTGTTGTGTATAAGGTGCTGTGTCCCATGCCCTCTGCCAGCACTCAGCATGGCTTTGGGTACAGAGTAGCTTGCTTTTCTACCATCTCTGATTTTACTTATCCCTTCTCTATTTTCTGAGTGAATTTACATATTCTAGCAAAATACAAGAAAACTGGGGCTTTGTAGTATAGTATGGAAAATGTTTTAATAAATTTGTGTATTTGTTCCACCCATCCCCCAAAGCAAGAGCAAAACATGTTGTTAATTGTATCACTTTTAATATTTACTATAATCAGAAACATAAACTTTCCATAATTATTCTTTTCATAACCATGACACTACAATTTCAAATTAGTTTTAACTTAAAGTACTGAAAGTTGGGTGGGGTATTTTAAATTTTGTTGTAAGTAATTTTAAATTATGGAGTTTGACAAATTTGTCAATAAACATGCTAGTCAACTTATTTTCTTTCTTACATATGTTTTCTGTGATTTTATATTTGCATTCTTAATTCTAAATTCTAACAAATGCTAATAAAATAACTAAATTCTAATAAAATTTATTCAAATCAATTTTTGGGAAGTCGCTGCATTTATGTTCCAGACACTTTTTGTTAACTGACCCCTTTATATTCAGTTAGTTACAGATTTAAGAAATGAGTTCAGAGTTTTTATTGACAAACTATCAACAAAATGCCCAAGCTGGTCTTGAACCATGATCTCTTGATCATCTCTGAAGTAGTTAGGATTACAGGTTTTGGCCACCTTGTCTGGCTTCTTTATTTGCCATAGACAGACAGATAGGTCCTGGTACGTAACCTAAATTTCTCTGTCCATATAAACTGAAAATTTGAATCTTGTTTATCTCCAACTACTGCAGCATCTATATCTGAACTGCGCATCTGTCCCTGAACATCTGGAAGTGGCTGGAGAAACATCCACTTTACACTCATGGGCCTGCCCCTTACCACCATGTGACGGTCCTTGACAGTTTCCTTCTCAGTCTCCACTCAGCTCTCCCAGCAATGGATCTCTATTGAAATCTTTATCCTCCCTCCTCTCAGACTTTTATCACTGAGAAAGTGGAAATCACAAGAGTATCAACATATTCATTAATAACACCTACCTGTACCCACATAATTGCTTTGTTTATGTTAGAACATGAATTACCACCCTCCTAGTCATTTCATCTAGTTATGGCCAGTGTCTGTCCCTTGGAAAAGATGCCTGTAGTCAGCTGCACATTCTTGAGTAATTTTTGCTGTTGAGTTTTCCCACTTGCATACTTACCATGGATTTTTAATCTCCCATGCCAATAAAACCTTCCCACTTTTGTACTTGAGCAAAACTTCCTTCTCTACACTGACATCACCACCCCTCCCAGAGCTCCGACCTACTCCACTCTTGACTGAACTCCCATTACTGGGGTGAGCCATTTGTGTCAGAAGAAAGTTCAAGGGCTTATAATCAGTCTTCCTTCCACTGGTGCTTGCTCTCAGCAGCATTTGATAGATTGACTTTTTGATCCTTTCAAGTTTCAATTTTTTTTTTTTTGGCTAGGCACTGGTGGTTCACACCTGAAATCTTAGCTACTCAGGAGGCTGAGATCTGAGGATCTGTTTAGAAGCCAGCCCAGGGACGAAAGTCCATGAGATTTTTGTTATTGTTGTTGTTGTGGGCCTTGAACTGTGGGCCTGGATGCTGTCTCTGAGCTCTTCAGCTCAAGGCTAGCAGCTCTACCACTTGAGCCACAGCACCACTTCTGGTTTTCTGGTGGTTATTTGGAGATAGGAGTCTCATGGACTTTCCTGCTCTGGCTGGCTTTGAACCTCGATCCTCAGATCTCAGCTTCCTGTGTAGCTAGGATTATAGGCATGAGCCTATAATCCAACGCCGGACCCCATGATACTCTTATCTCCAATAAACTACCAGAAAAGCAGTAGAACTAACTAGCTTTGAGCAAAAGAAGCTCAGGGCCAGCACCCAGGCCCTGAAATCAAACCCCATGGCTGACAGACAAAAAAATTTTAGCCTAGCTGCTTTTCAGTCTCTTTTATTATATTTTCAAACTTTTCTATTTTCTGATTGTCATTGCTGCTGTTTAGAAGGTGATGAGGGTTTGTTTGTTTGTTTTTTTTTAATTTTAAAACAGAGTTGATCACTTTTACCATATTTAGGCACACACTAATATTAAGTACTTCCACATTGTGGTGAAATAACTTCCAAACTTTTTGCTTGTTTTTGTTTTATTCTAGGTTGTTTTTGAGATGAGGTCTTATTGTGTAGCCTAGGCTGGCTTTCAGTGTCCTATGCAGGCCATTAACTCATCCTACCTCAACCTCCTGAGTTCTAGGGTTTAGAGAGATGCTCTGTCATGCCCAGCTTTACTTCCCCTCCCCCTTTTTTTTTGGTGGTGATGGTACTGGTGTTTGAACTCAGGATTGTTTCTCTCATGTATTTGGTTACAGTAGTGATTTAAAAAAAAAAAAAGCTGTCTATTATGGGTGGAAATAAGATTGAAGACCTAAGAAGGCATCACAAAAGGAGAAAAGCACCATGGAAGGTCAGAGTAGGAATGCCAGCATCCTGGCAGTAAGGAACCCATAAAAGAGAACTACTAAAATGGGTGCTGGTTGTTCATAGCTATAATTCTAACTACCCAGCAGGCTGAGAGCTCAGGATCTTGGGTCAAAGCCAGCTGAGGCAGACAATTCAAGGAGATCCTTATCTCCGCTTAACTAGCAAAAGGCCAGAGAGAGGTAAGGAGTATTAGAAAAGACAGCAGAAAATAAGAAAAATGGAGGCAATCATAATTCTAGTGTGTATTAACAATCTTAGAGGGAACTTGGAATGTTGCTCACTGGTGGAGTACTTTCCTAATGTGAGACCAAGAAAACACACACACACACACACACACACACACGCATTCAGAGACTAGCATAGTGGTAGACGAGTGCGTGTTTGACATATTAAAGGCCTTGGATTCATCCCAAGTACCAAAATAAATAAAAATAAAAGGGCTCAGAGAAAGCCAAGTAGGAGAGTAGGAAAAAGCCACATTTAGACATAATGAAAATGTAAATACCAAAGATGAGGGAAATTATATTAAAAAAAAAAAAAGGTTCCCAGAGAGAAAGCAGATGGCCTAAAAAGGAACAAGAATCTAACAGACAGGCTTCTCTCAAGAGCTACCCTGGAAACTAAAGCAACACAACATTTTCAGAATCCTGAGAAGAATTTTGAATCTTGTTTTATAGCTAGCCACGCCCTCCTTCAAATCTGGAGGTGTAATAAAAATATTCTTAAGCATATAAAAATCTCAGTTCTGTCAAGTGATGATTTGTATTAAAAAGTATTATTGGCCAGGGCACGGTGCCCAAAAGTCAGGAGAAACCAATAAATCTGAATCAGCTGTATTGGAAGATTGCCAGTCTCTGTGTGTGTAACACGTGCAAGGTAGAGCCCATGTTTGTGGAGCAAAGTGATTCCGGAGCAGCCATGCTCACAGGAGACTTTTTCTAGAACCTAGATAAGGGTTCTAAGCCTCTGCTTGACTCAGGCAGACATGATGATCTGCCAAGCTGTAATATAGTGTCTAGGGAACAAAGAAAGTATTCATTGCTATTGGTTTGGGCCCTGCTCCAAGAACTGCTGATTTGTGGGTTTGTGGATAGAAAGGACCAATCAGAAGGCCCAAAGGAGGCACCTTCTGTCTTCACTACCAAAAAGACACAATAGGGAGCTGAGCCTTTGTTTTGATGGCTTGAGTTCTTGGGTTGCTATGAATCTGCCCACACAATCTCAAGAAAGTCCTTTAGACAGCAGTCTTCTTGATGTTGCTGGTGGATGAATGGAAACACCGCCAACAGAGGCCCTGAGACTCCTCCAGCTTCTAATTTGCTACGGGATTTCATCTCATGATAAAAAGCTGAAGTCAGAGGGAAGA